AATTATGCCGTGCATGACTTCCGTGTGAGGATTATCATGTTTGGATGTGCTGTTTACCTTCGTCATCTATTCACGTCACGTGATACAAAAATTAGTATATGTGAACCTAGCGAAACGGCCGCGAGCACTCTAGGAACGTGGTATGTCGTCATGTTCATACATGACACGCCTGTCATTATTATCATGTTTGCACCGGACACATTTCTTCTCATCCACTGACATCACGTAACACCGAATTTGGTATAGGTGGTGGAGCTAGCGAAATGGACGCGAGTGCATCATGAAGGGCCCAATATACTCCAACGTCAAGTTGACGCGCGCGCACGCTGGGCACAGCGACTCTATACGTTAAACAAACGCGAGGGCTTTATAGTCTGACGCCAGGCGCGAACGGTGCGACCAGCGTCCGTCGGCACGGCCCGACGCCAACCGGTGCGAACCGCGACCTGCTGCATTTCACACCCACTACGTTACCCAGACAGCACAGCGTCTGCCTCTTTTCGTCACGGAGGGACGCCGGACGCGCTGTCAAAGCAACGCAACGCTGCGCGCGCTTGCAAATTTATAGCAGGACCGGCTGCTGGCGTGGCAACGCCGGTGTGAAAATGAACGTCGGCGCGCACGCGCACCGTGTTACGTCGAAGAGTATTGGCGCCTTGGCTGTGGCATGTAATCATGTTGTCACATGACACGCATCTCATGATTATGTTCGCACCAGTCACATACCTCTGTCATTCACTGACGTCACGTAATACCAAATTTGGCATATGTGAAGATAGCAAAACGGCCGTGATTGCATCATGAGTGTGGCATGTAGTCATGTTGTTACATGACACGCACGTCGTGATTTTCTTGTTGGGGTCTGTCGCTTGTGTTCACCATGCAATCATGTCATACTATACCAGTTTTCCAACATGTCATGTGAACGAAACCACCGCAAGAGCTGCCGGAGCATAAAATGTAAAACATGACATTCACGACATACATGTCATGATTTTCATGTTATGATTAGTCAAGTATGTTCTTCTTACAGTCATGTTATGCCATACAAAGTTTGGAATCGATACCAATATCGAAACGGCCAGGAGAGCTAAAAGTTGTAGGCGGCTAGATAGATAGATAGATAGATAGATAGATAGATAGATAGATAGATAGATAGATAGATAGATAGATAGATAGATAGATAGATAGATAGATACGCTCAATGTCGCCGAAGTTCGCTAAGGAATGCTTCGCATTTAAAACGGCGCCATTACGGCTAACTGGAAGTGTCGTGAACGACAGAAATATCGTCTGCTCCGCCATCTTAGAGCACGCATATCGTGGACGTGCCCCTTAGAATGTGTGTTTTTTTTTATGTCAACTTAATAAAATTGCATGAACATGCGTGTTATCGTACGCTGGTCTGGGCTTCCCACTGGTGGGTTTGCAGTGTCTGATCCCCGTATTCAGAAATGCTGCTGGGCATGAACTGGACGTACCAACGATTTCAATGCAGCGCGAACGCGTTTCGTACGCGCTCACTTTAGGCGGTGCCAAGGTAGTCCAAACCATGGAGGAAGGAAAAAACAAACAAACGCACAGGCGCGTTTTCAACGAGCTACATTGAAAAGTGCTTTCAACGCACGAAAGTGGGATTCAGTGGCAGGGAGAATTGCTCACAACGAGCAACGCGGCGACGTTCTGTAGTAATCGTTATATCTGGTTTTGTCCGATTTGCCTGGGCACACCGCTAGAGGTCCGCGTCGTCTGCTTGCTGGCAGTTACAGCAGCAATGATAAATAAATTCGCGACTGCAAGATTTTTAACAGTCGTTATCCTAACTTACCGTATGTACATTACGTATATACAGGGACGTTTCCACTAAAGTGAAATTTCTTTGCAGCTGGCCTTTAACCCCTTGTAAGCTTGAAACAGTTATGTGCTTTCGTGTGACGAGGGTGTGAAACCGGTAGAATATTAAGAGAACCACCTTTGCGTCACACTTTTTAATGGTGCATTCGGCCTCACGCATATGCCTCATGCCAGGATTGGCTGAAGTTTTTTTGAAGGAGCAACTGCAGTGGCAGAACCTCTCGCTAATACGGGCCATGATATATTGAGCAAAAACACTGAAATTACTGCTCAACGTCAATACATTGACAGCGGTGGTTCACATTTCACACCGGCGACTGACAGAATCCGCCCGCAAGCTCAAGGATGAGTCATTAATCAACTTCCCTTAATTAAGCGAAACAACCGCTTACTAATGTATAGGCCACAGGAGTTTTGAAACCTCATGACACCCTTAGTTCTATAACGGTGTTGTGTTTACAAAAAGGCTAAGCGGAAGCGAAACCGCCGCACATATCATTTTGCAAATTCCTCTTAAGTGTGTTTTGATTGCTTGAAACCACGTGAAGAGTGCAAAGTGGTGTACGGTATGTGATCATCACTTTCCGGCAAACCTGGTCACCTAACCTCTATCGGAATTCGCACTATGGATACTTGTGCGCAAGTATCCACAGTGCGAATGCAAAACTGAAGTGTAGTACGTTAAAATGAATTTCACAATGTTTTTGTCGATAAATTTACGGGAGGCGTAATCTTTGTCCCTACTTTGAAGAATATGATCTAAAGCATTGCCTCCCAGATGCGGCGCACAGCAATTCATCTGTAGAGCAGACGACGGATGACAACTTGCCCTAAAGCGTGTTCTTCAGTCTAACGCGGCAGTCTTCGTACCCCAAATGATAAAAATTTGATATGAATCGTTTATGAACTCATTCAACATTCAATTCTCTTACCCAACGTGTTGCAAACACATGGCCGTCACAGCAGCTCCATCTTTGTGTCAGTAATGGAGAGGCACCACATAATAGAAGTCTCAGTGCTCTACGTATAAGAGTGAATTCAGATACTTTAGAATATCGTGTTCAAAATAGTTACTCCTATCTGCTAAAACAGTCTTTCTTCACCAAATGCGGTCACGTTTACTCGCGCTTGAAGCTCATTGCCGCTTTTCCGTTCCGATTTCTAGATTTCTCATTTTATCAGCACATTCTCGAAAAGCTCTGATTTGTACCCCGAATATTGTCGCTAAAAACAAAACAAAGCAACATGTTTTCCTATATTACTGTATGATGGCCTTCGGTTGTCTATTTACGGGATTTTCAGAAAAATCGAATTTGGGGTTTTTTTATTATTCAAATTTCAGTAGAGTACACTTATGCCAATATGAGAACTTTGTGGCAATGTATAAAAATTTATATTTGCCCTACGGCAGCAATAATTTATGTACCTTGTGAACACACTATATCATTAAAACTTGTCAAGTTTGAAAACGCTGCTTGCGTTACTTTCGGAGAAAAAAAAATGGGGAATACGTAAATTATTTTAAACTGTCGCAAAATTAGACATTTTTAAAAACTATTTTCTTAAAGTCTACAAACTTGAAACCGTATGAATTCAATCTTCATTAGACATGCATTTCAGGTTAAAAATATCTTCTTTGAAACAAAAATATTTGTCTTTTTTTAGCATCTGCAATTTTCGAAAATGACAGGTGACGAAATTGGTGCCTCCGTGTTGGTGAAGTTTGATATTTTTTTTCTCGTAAGTTATGCCCTTAATCATAAAACAAAGTTGACTTTCGAGCTACCTGGTGAGAGGCGCACGAAATATAAAATACTCAATGAAATCTAAAATATCAACTTTTGGACCCGTGTCGATCTCTCGTGGAATCACCCCGTATAGAGTGATCGTTTTATATATTTAACGCCATATGCATGTCACGTGCCCTGTTTTCATGAGTGTATTCTCTCACGATTCGCAATAGACTATATTTTGCACCACGTTGACGATATTTTTGGAGCTAACTCACTGTAGAGGAATTCCTTAGCTGCCGCTACATGAAAGTGACATGACGAATTAACTTCGTTGATGACGAGAACTGAAAAATTAGTGGAAACGGAGAAAAAAATCAGCAAAGGGAAGTACTTTAGACGAATGGATGTTGTACAACTGAACACAAGTATGCTAAAAAAAATACGCGTGATAGAATAAGCGACGTCCCTGAGTGGTAGGGCAGTCGAAAACATACAACACAGTCGAATTTCATTTGAACAGACCTTACACAGAAAAGACGGCAACAAGCACCGTGGGTAGCTTAAAGCCAACTCAGCAGTAAAATATAACTTTTCAATAATTAATATTGACGTAGCACATAAACGAAAACATCAGTGTGAGGAACGCCATAGTGAAGGGCTCTGGAAATTTTGACCTCCTAGTTTTCGCCAACGTGAACCGCAATGCAAGTACATCGGCCACCAGCATCGAAATGCAGCCGGCTGCGGCCGTGTTTCAACCACGCGACCTTTCCGGGCTGCTTGTGGAAAAAATGAACTGACGAATACACTACTCAGAAATGCATCTCCTGAGCGCAGCTTCAGCTCAGGGCAACGACAACTGCGTTTGACGTGCTGGCTATCCGCATTTGTAGCATTGTAAACATATATTCCTTAAAATAGCCTCATGACCTGCGGTGAGTGAGTGCTACTCGCATCACTCTGTGCATTTCAGGCGTCACGAACCAAGCGAAATGCCGACAGTCCCTTCAGACAAGCCAAACCAGCCGTCGTAAACGTGCCAACCATGCACGCTTGCGAGCTCCAGCTGAGTGACCGGTGCACATGGCGGAAGAAGAAAGCGAGGATAGGTGTCGGTGGCTCACGATATCGACAGACTAAGTATGTGGTCGCTCTCTATCGTACCCTACTCGATTGATTTGTTGGTTACGCCGGCAACGCTAACGCCAATTGTGACAGCACTACAAGGAGAAGCAGGCGCGGAAATCTGGCCTCAAAATATACAGAGATTTCCTTGTTTTTGAGGTCTGCTGTTGAAGAACCGACAGTGTCCATACAGAAGACCTCCCAAGTCATGCATAACGTAAGACAAGCGTTCTGCGGTTACCGGCGATCACTATGATAGGAAACGCTCGAATTGAAGCACTGGCTGACCTGTACATCCGGATTTGTCGGCGTTTTCGTAGCATTGCTCTGCATGGAAGACCGTGGCCCGCGCTGCGCTTTTGCTCTGCCTGCGGTGGCTTTGGCGACTCCTGCGTTCATCGAGGACCAGCTTGTCCTGCACTGGAGGCTTGGAAAGTGCCGAGGAACCACCCTGGGCTACGCTTGCAGCACTGGTTGCAGTAGAGTCAGCATTCGGTGCTTTCTCCTGGCTTGTAGACTTCGCCGAGAATGACATTGCGAGTGATTGCTGTTTAGCGTATGAGGAACAGGAGCACTCGACGAGGGTTGGTTAGTTGGTTAGCGCTCAGATATCTGGATGCGTTCGATTCAAGCGGCTAGACTTCTTCTGCGCGTGCCTCGCGCTCACGCTACCCACGTTTCTGCTTTTTCTGCCTTGGTTCTTCGCTTCCACCCTCTGTGGGGGCGGGCCATAAAACTGGCGTTAATAGAAGGGGGAAATTATGAATTCAGATGAAGTATGAGGGGAAAAATTACACCATGTCCAACTAAAGGGAACCATGAGTAGCACGAACAGCGATGCGTGGGTCGACGTAAAGTTCCGTTCATCACAGACACCTTGCCCGATGTTGACGCGTCCACTGTAATTTCTGTTGCTGTTAGTCATCGCAAATTATTGCAAGAGCATGCCACGCAGGAGCACGTGAGTTCATCGCGCGTCTGCAGAATCTCCTTCCCTGACGCTCATCACACGGTTTCTGAGAGTAAGGGGGATAGGCCACAGACTTTTACGCAGGCCGAAACGCGCTATAGCACGCGTTCGGGCAGTGCTTGGGCCAACTGTTGCGCAGGTGCAGTAAAGGTGGTCACGCCGCACACCGGATTGAACTGCGCCACTTCACTGCCTGCTCTGTGCCGCGCTAGGCTTGAAACAGCGACACCAGATGATTGTTAAGAATGGTGTGGTTGTTGCAAGGTTCTTTCGAGGCCTTAGCTAGGTGACAGAGTTTGTTTCTAGCTTACGTCCAGATCGTTCCTGGGCTTTAGCTAGGTCATGCAAGCTTGCGTTTACATTGACTCTCAATCAAGAGAGGTTCGAGTTCAGCTACAGACAGTCGCAGAGACGACAGAGGCACGTCGTTAGTGTATGCCTTCAATCGCTTCGGGGTCTTCGCGCAGCCACTGTTGGTTTCCTTGCTACTTAGTACTACTCTCTCGTTGTACGTACTCGGCTGGCCACTGTACTTCACAGTCGGTTGTTCCTTGTCCCTTTTTCGTGGAGCTGTGAGTAGTGAAACTTGCATAATTTCTTTGGCAAATAGCCGTTTATGATGGTGATAGTTTTGTGATAAGCCGCACAAGTGACAAATAACTGTTTGTCCAACTGTCACCTTCTTCCTTCCTAGTGGTACAGTCGAAAGTGGTGGCACCTACTCTATTTTTTCGGCACGCACGCCTTCTTGAATTTTGATACAGCATGCAATTTACCGCTAGCCCAAAGGACGCGTGACAGCGAAAATTTTAGTTGCAACTTTCTTCCAGTACTTTGTAGCTTTGCGTCTGGTAATGAAGAAAATAAATCGTAAGTGTTCTAACGCATTGTATATTTGTAGTAGTGTAATTAATTCCGAACAATTTTGCATCAGTTCAAAACTCCCGCCTACAAAAATAGGGGACACTAAAGCTATGCCTTTAGGAGTTGAACGCGACAGCGACATCGTTTTCCTAGTGCGTATCACTTTCCCGACCTCTTCTTGCTATGCTACAGATTGTCCGCGTGCGGCGTCAAGCAATGACGTAGAATAACAGCCTACGATGGCGCCACGTTCTCTTCTTCCTCTTCTCTCACCATTGCTCTCTTCACCAGCATCACTTCCCTTTCCTACCCCCTCACTGTACGTGGTGACATCTTGCTGCGTCGGCACAGCAGCACGCGCCAGGGCTTTTTCCAGCGTTATGCCAAGCTCCTACGACTAACATAACCCTCCAGCCAACTTATAGTCCAAAGTTTCTACTGTTGAATTTAAAAAGCGTAAACTGACCGGACGTTTCGGGACCAATTAAGACGATCTTCAAGGGTGCCAGTTCAGCTATTTTTCTTGTGTTGTTTGTTTGTTTGTTGCCATCTTCTTTATCTTTCTTTCCGCCGTTGTTGTCACTGCGGTGTTTCTTCCACTAGTTCCGTAGACCGTGCACATATGCACTCGGTAAGGTTCCATTTGAGCGGTTGAGCTACAGACGCTGTTCTATAGCATTGTTTCGATATGCCAGTTTTCTAAGAACTGTCTTTTTGTGCGGCTACGTTTCGTGTCGATGACCCGGACGTCTTCGAAAGCTACACGACAGCGTACGACAGCTCGGGCCTCTGAATCACCCCGCGCTGAGACACTTGTGGCAGCTACTCCCCAGTGATGCCCACAGAGTTTCCTATAAGTACACCAGAGGTAACTTTGGCGCTGTCTATGCGAGCTGCAACAGGGCGCTTCAGCGAGCATGGAAATAATGGGATAGTACACAAACTTGCCTATCCTTCATACTTTCGGCTTCGTTTGGTGTCGCGTGGCTTGGAGCTGCTTTTTTGACGAAGCGTAGGCGAATGCTCAGCAGTTGCATTTCGTCGCCCTAATCTTTTAGGATCACCAATTCAAATGGAGTCTGTGGTTCACTCTTTTTTATTTGAAACAAAACGAAACCACAGCCATAAACGAATCCACAAGGCCATCTATACTCGTAAGCACAAATACTAGACAAATTTGTGTGCCGCCCATAATTCCTATGATGGCTGAAAGATCGCAGCACCAGAGTTCCCTCTAGTGAATTTCGAGTAACTTCATTGTGGTGCCAGAATTAGGCAAGCAGCGGCGCTTGTGTCCCTCTCCTCCTTCATTCCAAGCCTTCCGCACTTCATGTGGTGCCTCCGTGATCAGACCAACTTTCACCAAGCGATTCTACGGCGTAATGACATATTCCCAAGACGTGACGAATTTCGGTGCATTCTACATATACACCGTCGACGCACATGTTCATTGCCCTCAGAAACTAGGTTACAAAGAAGAGTTTCTCTCTCTCTCTCTCTCTCTCTCTCTCTCTCTATATATATATATATATATATATATATATATATATATATATATATATATATATATATATATATATATATATATATATATATATGTATATATATATTGAGCGTAGCTGCACACGATGCGTTCCATTGTCTATTCACTTCCGTGGGAGTCATATGTACAGGAGTCCGCCGTGCCAGCGTGAGACAAGTACGCCTTTGTGAATGCAACACCTATTCAAAGGCGGCATAAGAGAGCCGCATCAGAGCGAGAAGTACGCGATGGTAGCTATAGCTTCAGCGAAGGGTTACGTTTACGTAGCTAACATTTTCGAGAGCTAAAATAAGACCAAAATGTGCGTGTGAAATTCCTAGCCAACCATAAAACTAAGATCACCAGTTATTCATCAAATAATGTATAGAATTATACTGCTACACTCAAATGAGTAGCATTGCTTGAGCGTGACGCAACGTGTGCGCGAGGCACATGCAGAAGAAGTGAACGATCCGATGCTCGGTCGCCATCGTTTCTTTGTTTCAGCTGATGATTCTTCGGAAATGCCCCAGTAATCAACCGGCAAAATGTCATCTACGTCGAGGAAAGCTACCGAACACAATGAATCGAGCAACACCGAGACGAACAAGCCGACTGCCGCCGTCGACGCAAGTGCCGCATCTTTATTTGCAGCAGAGAAACCCGAAGCTGCCTCCACACATTCAGATTCGGAGAAGGCTGTCGCTGCCAGAGTGAGCAACGCTGAGGTACAGCCTCAAAATCACAGAAGGACGTCGGTGGTGAACCCACAGCCCTGTCCTCCTTCCGTGATGCCTTCACCGCCAGTGGCAGCCTCTGCCTCCGATGCTCGGACGTCCCAGGCGATGGCTCAAGACGTCCCGGTGAGTAAGCCTCGCGTACAGGTTACTGCTGTCTAGATTACGTGGACAGCATTCGTTCATTTTGCATAACTATTTACACCACTAGGTCGTCCTAAATTGGGAGGCCCTTAATCTTTGCCTTTAAGAGTTGAACACGATAGCGATATTTTGCTCCTAGTGCGTACTTCAAACACTCTGTGAATGAAATCTTTGCAAACTTGCTGTGCGCCCACTACGTGGCTTTAAGAGTGCAGTGTAGTGTGCTTTTTGTAGTGAGTGACTGGCTTTAAACTATGCAGCCCTTATGATGACGCCAAATGGCAATGTACGCTTGTTTCACGCATTATTACGCCATTATTTCATGTTGTAATGTGAAGCTTGTATACGGGACACCTGTGTTTGTAAAGCATGAAAGTTACTTTCACTGCATTCCAAACAAGAGGAAGTTATTTTTACTGCGTTTATAAGCAGAGGTGCAGGTATGGTAGAAAATGCACTTGCCACGCAAACGACCCGGGTTAGATCCCCTACTCCTACCCAGAATTTTTTGTTATCTCATTTGCATCTCTCTCAATATTTCGCTCACAATCAACGACGCCGACACTGACGCTGGCACCGGAATTTCCACGAGACGAGCTCTTTAACGATATCGCAATAAAATGACCCACAAGTCACCATCTATGAAGAACTGCTTGAAAGGATGTTGCGCATGAAATATCTCTGCTTGCGCCGATAGTTATGAATCATTTCGTAATCCACCTCTTTCATTTTCCTGTGCGGCCTTATGCAATTTTGGTAGGGCTTTGATACGGGGCCAGGGCAACCGGTATCGCCAAAAGCAATACTGGAGAGATACAGAGACATTAGCAATTTTCCCGCGAGGTGAAGGACGCATGTGCAGGGCTTCGTAAAAAAAGGTGGATTTAAAGCATTCTGTGGGAATCGCTAACAAAAGGTATTGCTAGGTCTTGCTAAGACTTGCTTGCTCTCGTAATGTCTCCCCAGGTATGGCAGCGTCCCAAATGTTCTAGCAAAATCAGGCGGAGTTCCCAAAATTTTCCCTCTATGTCTGTATATCTCCCCAAGTCTCGCGAAGTCTTCCACCGTTGCTGGCTTGTTTAAAAAAATAATAACGATGACACGCGATTCAATAAAACATAGCCAGACGTCGGCGTGCACATAGCTCCTTAACAGAAGCGTGTTGTCCCACAAATTAGGCAGTCATTATGCAGAGCATTACGACAGTCCTCACTGTCGCATAGCGCTACGCAGATCCTGATTTCAGCCTGAATCTCAGTCAATTCTGTTATTGCTTTTTTTTACCTTTCACACATTATGATGGAAACATTCACTGTGCAGGCAAAGGTGGCGGATACCGCTGTCAAGCAGGACGCATCACCCCGCACTGCGCTCTCGAAGAGAACGCCAGCCGCCAATCTTCCTTCTAAGGCAGATCATCTCGGAGATGCGCCATCGACAGGTTCCGATAGCCCCACAGTCACTGGATCCGCGATTTCTTCAGGGAAACTAGGCTCAATGGTGTCCGGGCCGTCGCAAATAGCCGAAATGTACAAGACCCTCGAGACGCTGACGGCCTTTGGGGAGAAGGAGCGCACGAGGCAGGACTCGACAAGAGCCTCCAACACGACCTTCAACATTCGCATGGAGTTATCATCTATCACTGTGAGTAAAGCGAAGATGGTTTGCCACGTCGAGTGAATTCATGCACTCATCTTTTCGCACCACTGCAGAGAATGCGGCACAGGTACTGCCGCTGTGCCGCTGTAGGCACTGATTATCTGTAAAACCCATTCTGACACCTTGCTAGCGCCTATTCACTGCCCTTATCGATTAGCGCCATTACCTCGTGTAAAGATATAGATCTCGGTGGTTTGAAGGTATGGAGGGTGTCGATGAATGTTAATAAGATGCATATAAATTGAATGAGGAAGAGAACAAGCCTAACACAGGCTGGGTGACCTTTCGATAGCGGCACCTATCTTTGTCATCAATTGGGGATTAGTTTTATGTGGGTTAGTTTTATGGAATTATCCATGGGTTCTATGGTACCGACGTCACGTTCCCAGTTATCCTCGGCAGTGATTTCTATGTAAGAGAAAATCTGGAGAGTACAAGAGAGGGGGGGGGGGAGTCAAAAGTTCCCAGGCCACGCTGCCACAGAAATACATAGGATAGTGGCCTAGAAACTTTTGACGAGCTCTGTACAATACCGTTCCCTCTCCAGATTATTCATTGCATATAAATATTTTCCCCCAAAACTCTCGGGCACCATCATAGTTCTCTCTGGGCTGTTTTTAGTACGCGTGACTCTCCCAAAAAATGCACTGCCAAGGTTGTGACGTCAGCTTTTTTTACTCTCGTACAACAGCCCAGAAAGGATGAAGGACTCCTATCCGTAAAAAGGTCCATAGCGAGTACCACCAGCGGTGAAGGGAAACATGACGTTACCATTTAACTAGCACAAACTTAAACAACCATGTAAGACACCCTTGGCGAAATACGTCCATCCATTGAAACATCGGCCAGTATGTCTGGGGCCCCTTCTTCTGTTCATTCAATCAGTCTGCTAGAGACTGTGAGCTCTTTTTTCGCAATTATTGTTTGCTTATAACCTGCCTATGCTGGCGCTATGACTCATGCGTTCAAACAGCTTCACTTTATTTTATTTCAATTAATACTAACTGAGCAGGTATTGCGACGACTTGATACAACAAAGCATTGAATACGTCCTATGCTCACTTAACAAAGCAGAACTTCCACAAGCAGATTCCACGCTTATAGACATCTGACTACAGACGCTAAAACAGCATCTGTAGCAAAAAAAAAGACAATTGAAAAGAGTTTCCGGAAGTTCCAAGGAAGTTTAAATAAGTCAAGCGCTCATGGCCACATGATGGCAGACACGAGACGCATGGCCGTAATACCACATGTTCCCCAGCCGTCGCATAATCTCAAGAAGGTGGCATGACGATAATATTATATTAAGATAGTGTTCTCAGTCCTTAATAGGCTCAGGAAACTGCCACAATTCCATATCGGGCTACAAAAGATTAGTTCACAAAAATCATTCAGATCAATTTTGTTGGTTTAAAGACGTTTGTGATTTATAGGGTTCCGCTCTCAATCTGCCAACAATCTCAGCCAAACGAGCAGGTTCGTGAATGTTCGATAGAGAACACAATTGCAAATCAATTTCCCCAGCCGTCGCATTAATCTCAAGAAGGTGGCATGACGATAATATTATATTAAGATAGTGTTCTCAGTCCTTAATAGGCTCAGGAAACTGCCACAATTCCATATCGGGTTACAAAAGATTAGTTCACAAAAATCATTCAGATCAATTTTGTTGGTTTAAAGACGTTTGTGATTATAGGGTTCCGCTCTCATCTGCCAAACAATCTCAGCCAAACGAGCAGGTTCGTGAATGTTCGATTAGAGAACACAATTGCAAATCAATAGATGTGCCACCTGAAGAGTTTCTCGCTCTATTGTTGCTTCCTGCCGACCTTTGTCTCACAACAGTCAGTGTTAGTAAATTGACCATCAAGAGACCATCCGTCCAGACGCACCTGGTTTGTTTATTCGGAAGTCGTGCATATCATTGTCACCTAAACAGCTGGGTTTCTTGCGTTAGTGTTGATGTAAGATATTACGCTTGCCATAATATCTTCGCTTAAAATGATTTTAAAATTTCGCTTAAAATGACTTAAAAAAAAACCCACGTGGTCAGCTGCAGGGCAATCATGGTTTATAGCAGGTGAGCTTTGGGAAACCACCATGCTGTCGCAAGTAGCGCTGTGTGGTGTCCTCATGTGCCTTCTGATGTACGTCTGCCATTTCACGCTGCATAAAAGCTGTTCGCCCATTGCAGAATGCGACTTTAAATCACCATTGGCAATGAACTGGACAATCGAAAGCGTATCACGTACAAGGCATTCTTCACTCGGCATTCTGCACTCATCAGCATTAGAAGCAGAATATTCCAGGGATCTCTCTCGTAATTTCTGAGGGTTAAGTTCGCGCAGCGACTTAAGAATAGTAACCGTTCGGACTTCATAATCACGCATAAAATTACTGTGAAACTGGCTAAAATCTTCGCTTCAATTAAAATAGCTGAAATTTTAATCGCATTCATACGGTACTCAATTTTATTGTCGGGGCAAGACTGTTTTTTCTAGTCATATCTATAAAAGTTATGCAATACACGTTTAAGAAAGTTACAATTTAGGAACAGCGCAAGAAACTTCGTTATCCTGCACCAAATAGTTCTGAAATGAAACAATTTATTCTTGGCTATCTGTCATTAGGATTTCTAAGTGTACATGTTGTACCTAACATTTTTGTCAATGTCGCAGTGGCTATCAGGGTGACGAGGCTACCTTTAGTCACGCACGTTTAGTGCCCCTGGCGTATAACTTGTCTAGGTTCTGTTTAGTTTTTGTCTCTCAGGCTACTTTTTGCGCGTTTTTACCTGGAAACCCTCATCTCAACAGGTAAGTACAAACCGATTGATAAAATAGACGGCATCGATAATGCTAATGTGTATAACGCGGTGCTAATCTTCTGGTAAAACTCGCAATGGACTGAACATGCAGTTGTCGCTAACCATACGTACACTAATCGCAGGATCGATACTTTTCGAGCCCTGCTCGAAGGAGATTGAAGAGGCTGCTCGCGGTGTCGCTGTTGGCGATCACCCTTCTCACGATCGTCGCGGCCTCAGTTTTCCTGCTCTACCCCAAGCCGAAACGGCGTCTTCGATCGTATTGCGAAACGAAAGGCTGCGAGGCACATCGGTGAGACACAAGTTTGCCTTTAATACAAACCTTTAATACATTGGCTGTGGTTGCACACATAATGATGCAAAGTGCATGAAATGAAGGGATTGTATGAGAAAGATGCTTGAAGTTGTACATAAAGAAAAACTATAGCTTCAATATAATAAGCATTATGTTGGGAACGATAGTTGTGGCGACTACTGGCGTACTAAAAAAATCCAAGCATATCCACGAAGTTAACGATGATGAGTGGTGCGAAGACCATCCGTTCGTGTCCGTCCGTCCGTCCGTACGACGTCTACTACAGAGGAGGGAACGACCCGCTCCCTATAAGGTCGACCCTGAAAAGGTTGTCAAAAAGCTGTTGCCTCCGGCTAGGCATGCTAATTCACCTTTAAAGACACTGTTGGAAGCATGAGTAGAATAGAAGGTTAGAAGCATGAGTGCCTTAGAAAACAAAAAAAAATAAGCGGTACCCGTCTTCACACAGCAACACCTCTACAGCATTTGCCTACGTGAAAAATCATACACACACACGCTGAAACTAGCATGCAGATCGCAAAACGGCAAGTACCGAAACGTACGTGGCACTTAAAATCTGTACAACACAAAATTTTCCGCGTTACAAATACTCCTATAAGTCTAAAAGTTCTCTTCCTACCGTCCGCTGTTTAATCTTAAAAATGGCATTGGGGACCCTTAGATATATTTGAATGTTTTTTAGAAGGCACGAGGAAACCAACACTTTTCGAGGTTTTTTTTTCAATGATTACACAGTGAACTTCATGCTTGAATCACCACGAAAGGGGTATTTATTTGGATTTCGTTGTATAGTTCACACGAGGGACGGCAATCGACACGTATTCGCCATGTTCATTACTTTGGTATTTATCTAGATTTGCCTTCAGCAGTTGACAACCCAAAGATGTGTGTGTACGTTCCTGAGCATTCAATACTCTGATTGATTGCTATGAAACGTGTGCATGCCTTCCTCGTGACATTGACATCGATGATCCCGTAGCGTCATGTTCAAAATGAACGATAAAATTAGAAGCACACACTTAGAGGATGTTTATTGCAGAACGTTCAGATAGCTCTGCCCTGGTGCCGTATGCACAGCTTAACTTTCAACGCTTCCTGGCTTTCTTGTCCACAGGTATCAGATATCTCACCAACTGGACAAAAGCATCGACCCTTGCGACGACTTTAGCGCGTACGTCTGTGCACACTGGAAGCCACGCAAAGATTTTCAGCTCTCACGCTCACAGCTGTCCGACATGTTCCTGTCCTGGTTGTACAAACTCCCGGAGACGCTCGCCAAAGGCGTGTTCCACTTCCCCGTGGGCAAGAAAGTGGCCGCTATTTTCGACAGCTGCATGACAGAGACAGGCTCGCACGTTAACGTCATGCGAGAATTTATGCGCGATTGTGACATCCTTTGGCCCGATGATCCAGAGGAACCAGTTACGCCGGCGAAACCCCTCTTCGACCTCTCTTTCAACTGGAACGTCCACCTCTGGTTCACCTTGAGAATCATACCCGCCACTTCGGAAGAAAAGTCGAGGCGCGTCTTTTTTGCACCGAACTACCTTATGGCGCTGTGGAAGGCTATGATTAACGAGATTCCAAAGACATATTTCGAGAGCGTCTACGCTCAACTTTACGAAATTTTTTCAAGCAACAAGAGTAGTGAGCCCGACACGAAAGATGCGTCGCGGACGCATGACGTGCTCACGTACATCTTCAAGAAACTGTTGCCTTCGTGTCCCTGCGAGCCCCGCATTCAAGCATCGCTCAACTTGACGGAATTCGAAAACATGACCTCTTACTTCTTTGGCCGGCATACGATAAACTTGTTAAATGCTGTGACGAGAATCAATCCACCTGTCACTATGAATGAAACGGTGCTTATCAGCGATATTTTTCAGTTCCTGAGAATGAAAAACATAATCGACGAGGTCGACGACAAGACTCTGCTGCGCCACCTGTCCTGGTTGTTTCTGCAAGGGTACGCTGCTGTGGCCTACCCCACGGCTGTTCTCCTCGTGCTCCATGGCAGCGAACACCGTGCAGAAGAGGAAAGGCCTCGATTCTGCGCTGGCCAGATTGAGCCAGGCTACAAGCTTCTCATTGCTGCCATGGCCACTGTAGCTCATTTTTCTGAAAACGAGCGGCGCAACATCGACCACCTTCTGGGTGATATCCTCCAGGTACGCGAACATTATTTATTTGTCGAGATGTTACATAGGATTGGCCAATGTATTATATTGCAAACTGCAGAACCCCTCAAATGGGCCAATATAAGAGGCAGGTAGACAGGACAGTATGTCCTGCGATTAATGTTTGTTGTCTCGAACATATATTTACCCCCATGTGACGTGGTCTTATTCAGGGAATTGTTGGAGTTGTTTGCTATAGGATACCGATAAGCTTGACCTGAAGAGGCCTGCTGCGTAGATTCTAGCATGCATATGCACCGAAAACGTCCAGTTAATAAAATTCTTCAACACGGGATCTCACTGAAGGAGACGTTTCGGCAAGTGATCTTGTCTTCTTCAAGGAGTTAAGACAGCAGCAGTACAAGACCTCTTGTGAAGACGTTGGCTCAAGTAACAGCCCTGCTTGAGGACTTCTAGTCTGTTGAAGCATTCAATATCTGCACTTCTCTTTTTTGAACATTCAGTAAGCAGGCGCAGTCAATTCAATCTCTTTCTTGAGTCTTCCAGGGTCCATCTTGCCTTAAGAAATTACCGTTCTTCAAGTAGGAGGTCCATCACATGCATCGAATGCATTGGCTGACCTCGTCACAGCGGCAATATTCATCGTCAACTCTATAGCGAAAATGACATGGAATGTAATTTACGTGCTGTGTACGTTGCAGCGGAAGAATGTAGCACAGGCTTCAAAACACAAAGCTCATCACCATATATATGTATATGCCTGCGAAAATAAATGCCGCTGTGTTGCAACTCCATGGCCACTTGGCCTTTTCGCTACATGCGGCCACAGCGTGCTAACACGGAGGACAGAAAGTGGTACAAACAACTGCGTCATTCTTTCCGATTCCTGTTTACCTGTCATTGCGCGTCATGCCCTTCACAAATTGCGCTAAATGTCGCTATTTGAAAATCACATAAGGCTCTTCACATAAATGAAAAAAAAATGTTCGTTTTGACGTACCCGTTATAAACATGGCAAGTTCCGCGTAATGCATTCGATTTCCATAATTACTATTTATTGAAGAGCAAGGTAACCTTAGTCACAAGATGTTACGTCTGGTTCACAGTTTTATGTCAGAAAGGGTCATGTTCGTTCCAAGTAGGAACTGCGTATAGAAATACATTGAGTTTGAAGAACCACGAAGACAATGTGTCTAAATTTCGACCCAGGAAGTTGCCACAGTCTCTGAGCCACAGAAAAAAAAAGAAGTGTTGTATTGAACTGTGGTTACTTTAGCGAGTGACAGTGTGCGTTTTCGTGCACCTGCAATTGACAGCTGCTCATCACCACAGTTAACAGAGTTGTCTTCTGTGTGAAGTCGTAAATACCGTCATTCCCCTTTACAGTGCCAGTGTTCTCTAAGCCTCTTTAGTCCTACACATCACGGCGTTGGGTCCTGTGGCATAGGTGCATTCGAACGTGTACTCGCTCAGAATCACCGAGTTTAGGTTCATTGCTGCAATGTCGTTTTGCTGGTGGCTCTTGGGGTCTGTATTACTTCTGCCTCATGCAATGCTTCCAGCTTGGGTATTCGACACCTAGTTTAACTCTCTATATCGTCTTGCGCTAGAATGCATGCAAAAAAATTGCCAGCATGAGATGTTTTTACCTTCATGTAGTTGGTAGTCTTTCAGTGTGAAGGTAAAGGACGCCATAGGTAGGCCTAACTCGTGAATTGGGCTGCCACTAAAATGTCATTCTTGGACAGGTTATATATAAATCATTGTATACTTCTCAGCTGCAAAGAAATATTGCAAGAATAATGCGAATAAAGTTCTCTCACTATAAAGCTATTTGCTCGCCGTACTTTTTATAAACCTGAAAGTTTCTTAAGTAAAAAGCAGTGATCATGTCATTTTCGAGAGCAGACAACACGTTTTGTTGATAAAGAATTTCCCAAAGCTCACACTGGTGCAGAAAAATGTCAGCGACAAACACGATTACTACAGGGTAGTTGAGGGGGTTCTGAGATTCCCCAAAATAATTTATCGCCTCATCTTTCTCGGTGGTACTAAAGTATCGCACGGAATCACATCGAGCTTCAGTTGCTTCATCAGTTGCGTTGCTACCATCAGTTGCGTAGCGCGCTCCATTCGCAAAGGCGGCCGCTACGGCGAGCGAAGCAAGCTTCGTGCTTTCTGCAACTTCAAGGCAAACTTTGCGGTGAAAATACAATACGTATAACTCACCCCAAAAGGGCGTGGTCACACGTGCGCGCGCATATGGCACCATATATTTCGACCGCTATAAGCGTGCCTTGAAGTTACAGAGAGAACGAAGCTTCTTTCGATTGCTGCAGTGGCTGCTAACAGGTGGTAGATGTAGAAGAAGCTCGCGAGATGCAACGAGCGGGGCGATGACCCTTGCTGCGCACCATATCACTGATGGCTTGGACAACACACTGGGGTGCTTCCGAGCTTTGCGTACCGCCAGCGGCAATTGATGTATAGATCGCCGTTAAATTTGTATGCTGACATAGCTGAGTCGTCTAACGCCATGCTCTCCGAAGGTGTTGCAAGTTGGAATCCCCAGCTGCACACTTCGGAAAATAGTTCTCTGCGTGATTTTTCTTTGTAGCTTTTATGTACACATACATATACAGTACATGACGGCGACGTTGACGGCAAGAACCAGTCGAGAGTGTCATTTTAATCGATGTCGCAATAAAAAAAAACCATATGTACCTTGGTACTCTGTATACCACTGAATCCAAGGGGAAAGTGGAGCGAGGATATTGTCAGAGAATGTTTAGTGTAAAAAAATCTATGTCTCATTTCTTTGTACGTGACTATTTTATAGTTGGTCGATATTTGGTTCATGAGTAGTCTTTTTTTACGTGCAGCAGTAAGAACTCTTAAAAATCGTCATAAGTTTCTATGCCTCTTGAACAGATCTCTTCCGTGCGAAATCCACGCCTCGGAATCATTGTCCGTGCCAAACTTCGTTCTCCCGTCGCAGGTGGCCGTGGACAAAACTTGGGCTTGTTCGTGGTTCGACAACGACACAAAGCAGGCCGCTGCAGGAAAACTCACAAACATGTCCACCGTGGTTTGGCCCCCGGAGAAGTTCCTCGACCCGGAGGTGCTCGAGGAAGTATACAAAGATTTCCCCGACAACGCTTCTTCCTTTGCCGAGTACTGGATCGAGACGCGTCGCCGCCAGCGCCTGTTGTTCGGCTCCGAGGCGTCCACTGCGGAACAGCTGCTGGGCGACAACACCCATCCGCCATACGCAGCATACGTGCAATTGCTCAACCACCTGTCTCTTTCACTCGGAGCACTGGCACCGCCTCTGTACTATCCGGACGGCACCAATGCCATGTTATACGGAGGTGTCTTGTATTTATACGCCCGGGCACTCATCACTGCCGTTGGCAACGAGGGATTTACGGTGAGCAAGAGCCTCAAAGAGTGAAGCTGCAAATAGTCAAGCCATAGAAAGTACTTAGGAACGTCACTTACATGCTAAAATGTGGGAAAACTATGGTGAAATGGTATAGGTGGGTTAAAAACATGCGGTTCATGTGAAGCATGCAAAACTGTGCTCACAAAACTACTGCATCCAATATTTCGGTACTTGCTTGCATGCGTCCCTACGGAGTGGTAGCCGGTGTCGCTGATGACCCAAGTGGTAAGCTGGCCAATAATATATCATGAATACCATACACGAATGTGGCAAGCATGCCAACTTCGAAGCCCTCTTAACGCAGTGCGAAGCTCTTGCAGATAACAGCGACGTACAGACTTCTGCAAGTTGTCAATTCCTGATTCATCAGCGTTAAGCACAAAAATACCATACGCACAGAGCCTATCACTGTTTGCATGATCATTTCATCGAACAGTTTTCACGTTTAAGCCATTGAAGTACTTGGAAATCTCCAAAAATATTTATCCCATAAAGCAATACGGTTTACTACCCACGCAGTTTCGTGGCATTGTGGCCTTATCTGCCGTTTTTAGTATTCGTGCGTACACAATGCGCTTCTAGCTTAAAATGTTTAAATGCGTATTGTACCAAAACGTATCACTTTAGCCCATTTTCACTTGACAGAAGTTCTTAGCAGAGAACAGCATGATTTCTTTCAAGTGCAACAAACTATAAAGAACCATTTGCTTCACGCAAGGGTAGCGAGTCCACAAGGTGAAGTAGTTGGTGGTGCTTACGCTGCGTGGCCGAGAGATTTCTGGTAGATGGCCGCTGCACTGAAATGTAATGATTTGCAATTGGCACGCTTCTACGAAGGATATTTCAGCAGTGAAAGGCATTTATATTATTTGACAGCGAGATATATTTACTCCACCGTCGTCCTCGGTGGTGTTGTGGCTTTCAAACTAAGCTAGTTCGGCTATGCGGAATGGTCAAATTAGCACGTCCAGCAAGGTATGTGCTCTTTAGAGCCAAGTATTCTCTGTAGACGGTTCAGCAACTTGTGTTCAGTCACACCTCTATCATTGCCACTTGGAGCTTCCACTTCAGAGGCACTTATGAATCGCCCACCACGGAGCTCGGAAACGTGTTAGGTATACTGACCAGACGCTGCGGCCAAATACAATACCGATAACCGCCTAGATAACTGTAGCACTGAGTACGACGATAACCACTCGTATTTCACAACATGTCGCAGAAACCTTAGGGAATAATTTCTGTACATAACTCTTCATATTGAACACAGTGCGCTAAAAAGTTTTGAGGCAATGCGCTGGAGCATGACTTCGATTTTTCACCAAATTTAGGCGATGCGTCTATAGGTCGGCAAAACACGTGGAGGTCGCTCAGACTCGCACATGAAATGTATTTTACCGTTGGGAGTCACTCCGGACTTAGATTCATCACACCTTTCCTCAACCAGACTCAGTCAGACTCAGAGTCACTAAAATATTTTTTTTCCAGCCGGACTCACTCGGCATCAGGCTCAGGAAATTTTTTCCCAGCCAGACACGTTCAGTCTCACCCTCAGTTCGCTTTGCACCTGAAGGAGCCTGAATTATTCAACTCATGAGTTTGCCGGCCTATGGATAGATCAAAAAATTACGTTCCATCCATGTGCTGACAACAAAAAAGTAAGCAATAGTGAAAACAATACCGTTTTCTTGTTCTATAACACTATATATAACATGAGATCGATAGCGTAAAATGTAAACAACCAGTAAAACTATGGTACAAGAAATACCCTGAAGCATCCACTTTACCCATGTATTCAGGCATTCATATATTTAAGATGCATGGAAATGTCTTGCATTCGCAGCTTGCCACATTTCATTTCTTGACTGCAGTGCTAAACTAAGGAGCTGGCTATAGCACGAACATTAGCCTCCACCCAAGCCGGAGTCATAATCAGTGAATCTACAACCGCTATTGAAAATTACGCTAAGGGCGGAATCTTGCCCCCCGGACAAAGAAATCTAGGTAACTTTCAAGGAGAGTTTGTTACTAATATTTTGGCGCCAGCTCACTCCTCCCTACCTGGCTCGAGAAATGGCCGGCCAAACAGGCAGAGCGCGAAACCCGGGGACGGGCAGAAACAGCATGCATGGTTAGTTATGAGGACACTACAAAACAGTGCAAGACTTCGAAAGGCCCGCTTTCTCCCGGTACACATCTCGCGAAGCAAGCAGCAGGCGATGGCATGGCACCTTTTACAGGTATTAACACGTTCCCGAATCCGGTTGCCTAACACTACTTCTACCCGAAGCTATTCCAAGATCTGTGTAGCTTTTGTCAGCAAAGGGTGGACCTATAGTCATATAATTGTGGGCTTGTGACAGGGCGACAGTGCAAAACTGAAAATTCATTAGCGCAAAACAACGGCAGATCGCTCTAACAAGCTTGGACTCTTAAGAGCAACTCTAAGTCCATAGGCGAGCCGAAGATGCCACCATAGCATAAGGACTTCTGGCTGCCACCTATATAGACGGAGGCCTCTCAGTCTGGCTGTTTTCAATAAAAGTTATTTTCCTCTCTCAAGCGCAAGTCGTTTACATTAACTTATAGATTAATAATTTATGGTTAGAGCTATTATACAGTATTTCTCGAATGAAGCGTAAGTCTGTTTGCCTTTTCTCAGGTCAATGCGGAAGCCGAGGTCACCTCGAGTTGGTTGAGCAGGGAAGTCCAAAATGCATTCAACCGACGTGCACTTCATTGTCTGCCTGGTGGCGTCAGCATATTTCCCGAAGTTCCGGCGATGGAAGTGGCGTACGAGGCCTTCAAGCGACGCATCGACAAAAACAATACCCAGCTATCAGAGGTAAGTGGCATGATTGATTTTTGGGGTTTAACGTCCCAAAACCACCATACGATTATGAGAGACTCCGTAGTGAAGGGCTCCGAAATTTCGACCACCTGGGGTTCTTTCACGTGCACCCGAATCTGAGCACACGGGCCTACAACATCTCCGCCTCCATCGGAAATGCAGCCGCCGCAGCCGGGATATGAACCCGCGACCTGCGGGTCAGCAGCCGAGTACCTTAGCCACTAGACCACCGCGGCGGGGCGTAAGTGGCATGCAAAAGGTGCAAACTGTGTAAGGTGAACACACTACATCTAGCATCTTGCGAAACCAATGTGTCGACCATTTCTTGGGTATTTAGTTGTTTATCATGATATCTTCATATATTAAGCACGTTTTACTCCAACGTAATATAGAAAATCACACTGCAGGTCATGGTGACATTACGTGAAACCATGGGCGAGATGTGCAAAGACCCATCAATATGTCAATTCTAATGCTTTCTAAATTTAACATATATATATGGTGCAATTACTTCGTAGTTTTCAGCCAAACAAATTTGGAGTCAGAAACCTATGTATCACATTTTTGTTTCTCTGTTATAATACATCAGCACATATAGCCTATTCGCTGCTCTATAGATCTATCACAATGGCGCTGTATTGTACACGTTAGCGAACATGCATTTGCTGTCAAATATGCAACATTGAGTTATTTGCAAGACCATCATAAAGCGTGTACTTTAATTCCTTGGTTTGTCTGAAGAACACATTTATTACCGTATTGGCGTTGAAGAGTTTGTTTCGCAGAAATATTGGTGTCGGCGTCGTTGACCTGGAGTGAGAAAGCAGCGCTGTCCGTGACCAAAAAGTCGAGGGAGATGCACAAATAAAAAAAAAACATCGAGAGTGTCCATGTATTTGCCATTGCAATAGAAAGCTTTTGTCAGTATTTGCTGTGATGTGTAGAATTTTTTCCTAAAACCACGAAAAGTGCTGAAGTAATGGCGCTTCGACTGCACCCAAGCCCGCAATTGCACGTCACGATGATAAAATTTACCCATTCACGAAACCTAACAACACTGCTGTTTATTTTAAGTGTAGAAAACTTGGGGGGTCCAGAGTGACGTTTATATCGCTGCTTGGGGCCATGCTTCACTTAAGACAGCATAACTAACCTGAAAGCTGTGGAGGGCCAAAGCGCGCAGTGATGGGCCGCTGTTTCCCAATGGAACATGTCAATCGCTGCTATATAAGGGCTATGAGAGACAGAAGACACAGCTTGTTTCAGCTATATACAAATGTACATTTTTATTTACAACCAGCAAGGCAACGACGCTTAGACACTTACAAATGAATGCACATCCAAATCTGGCCTTTTTTTGCATAACATTTGCCCAGATTCTTAAATTAGCAGTTTATTCCGGCGTTCCGGGAAAGTGGCTTACTTAAAGCATATGCTCTGGCGATGTCCCTCGTTACTGGGTAGTGAGCAAGCCAACCCGGCCGAGTGGTGCTCCGCCATGAGGAACCCCAACAAAGGGCATCAGCTTTGGGCCATCCATAGAGCCTACATAGCAGCGGTCAGGCTTAGCCTCTTTGTCCCAATGTGAGACAAGCCCAATAGCAACTGCGTTATATATATTCGCATCTCTCCGGGCAAGAAAAAGTTTCACCATCCATCCAATCGTTCTTCTTGTCTTCATGCTCCTGGTCCTAATGAGGTTCCTGCGAACACAGAAGCCATGACACTCTCTTCCGTTGAGGCGGTTTGAATCAAGCACTACAGTAGACACGAGCCATACAGCAGACGAAACGAGATGACACCCTATAAGGGGCTTAGCCCCTTATGCTGCGGGCTACGATGATACACAGAGACCCGCAGTCCACTTTTAGTAACACGCACGAAGCAAATCTTTATTGTCTGACTACGTACAATAAAATCTGCCACCGGCACTTCCTCAAGATTTATTGCATGCCATGTATCCCAGCTGGGTGGCACCGGTTGTGCAGTGAAACCAGTGTTTTTTTTTTCAAACAAATGTCCACCATCTGTGACAATTTTTTAAAACGCAAACGTGCTAGCAGACGTTGCATGTCCATCCGTTTGTCTGTCCATCTGTCCGCACCTATCACACTAGAGCACGCATTGGACGGATGAACGCTTCGCCCTACTCATCATCGTTCACTCCGTGGATATGCTGACTACGCAGAATTGAAAGACGACCGACCATGTGATGGATGTAAGCAGCTTTGCCCCTAAATATGTACACTTCGGCTGGAGCTCGACGGACGTCGGGGAAGAAAATGCCCGCCAAATCGAGAGGCAGCGTCAAGATATATACGCCACCCCTCCTCCCGAAACAGCTGCACGCGCGTGGCCACGATCATTTCAGATAAATCACGACACATTCCGTATCACAAATATATGAAACGCTGCGTGCCGGCAAGTGCAAAAAAGACATGAAAATTCCGCACGGCACTACTCTCCCCTAAAAAAAGCAACGCCCTGATGCTAAGACTGCTTGCACAAAACTAAAGACGAAACTAAACACTAATTGCACACGCGTGAAAAACAAAAGATAACTACAAGTGCAAATATAGAACGTCTTTTAGCATGACAGGGCTTTAGACAGACGACGTGCACCACTTGTGGTTGAGCGCGGCGTCCTTGTAATACGCTGATACCATCAGGAACCACTTCGCAGTACAGTTTACCAACATGATGGATGAACTTGTAAGGGCCAAAGTAACGTCGCAAAAGTATTTGACTTACCCTGCTGCCATGAATGGGTGTCCAAATGCCCAATCTGTCGCCTCGCTTGAATGCCACTTCTTGTGTCGTTGGGCGTTGGTGTGCTGCTGGTGTTCTATGCGTAGCTGCGCAAGTTGCCGGGCTTCTGTGCCCCGGAGGTAGGCGGCGAGGTCTAGACTGTTGTCGGCGACATTAGGGAGCATGTCGTCCAGAGTGGTGGTGGCGTCTCTCCCATGGACAAGTTTGAAAGGCGTCATATTAGTGGTCTCCGGCTGCACGGCGATGTTGTAGGCGAAGACCACGTCAGGTAGAATCAAGTCCTAGGTCTTGTGCTGTGGGCCCACGTAGATGGCAACCATATCGGCAATGGTCTTCTTGAGGTGTTCCGTGAGACCATTTGTCTGCGGATGATACGTTCTTCTCCAGTGATTCGTACGGCCATAATGTAGGACGGCTTGAGTCAGGTCCACTGTAGAACCTGTTCCCCTGTCTGTAACGAGTACTTCAGGGGCACCGTGTCACAGGAGAATGAATGCGACTAAAACTTTGGCGACTTCTGCCGATGCACCAATCGGTAAGGGCTTCGCTTTGGCGTATCATGTGAGGTAATCTGTCGCCACTATGATCAACTTCTTCCCTGATGTTTACCTGAGAAAGGGGCCAAGCAGGTTCATATCTATTTATTGAATTGTCCTCAAGGGCGGTGAATTGACTGTAGAAATCCAGCCGGTATTGTTTGCGGTGTTTTCCGGCGCTGACATTCTCGACAACACTTTACGAAGCGCGCAACATCAGCGGAAAGACGGGGCCAGTAGTGCCTCTGTTGGATTCTGATGTGGGTACGAGAAAAACCGAGATGGCCAGTGGTGGGTTCATCACCAGGGCTTCTAGTATTATTTTCTCAAAGGCTACTTGGGACGACTAGAAAGTTAAGTGGTCTTATTTGGTGCAAATCTCTTTTTCACGACCACTCCGTTTTGCACACTGAAAAGTCACGCCTGAATGTTGCCGAAGAAGGGGGATTTGCCATCCAGGTACTCGACGAGTTGTTGGAGGTTGGAGTCTGAGCGTTGCTGTTGTGCGAAAGCTCCGAAGCTGACATGCCCTAGAAAGTCGTCGTCATGCTTTAGAGGTCGGTCGACGGAGATCGTGACAGGCAATCTGCGCCGGAGTGGTTACGGCTGAACGTACCAACCACCCTGACGTAAAACTCCTGAAGCCGCATGCGCTCTAACGAGCTAGCCAGCCGGATGGCCCTTTAAGATTAGCCAGCCAGCATAAAGCGTGATGGTCAGTCCTTTAAGGGTCTGCCGTACAAGTACGGTCGGAATTTTGACGTGGCCCAGACTATCGCAAAACACATCTCTGCCATAGAATAGCTACAGCCTCCGACTGAAAGTAGCCAACGTACTTCCTATTACTTCACGAATAACTACCCGCAACTCATGGGTGGTTGGCGCGCAAGTGGGTGGCCCACCTAGCATCAGTTTCAAGTAGAGTATGCGGAAATGGATGGTTGGTTTGCCGAGTTTTGGCCTCAGGGGCCCTTCCAATTGTATGTAATTCTCAGGCGAATTCAGTCACGGTTTTTAGAAGGATTTCTTAATAAGCCGGCGAAAAACGGCTTTTTCACTCCTCGCATTATGCCCAGCGTGCACCTCTTTGTATTGTGTCATTTTGGTCTGCGCGCCGAAAAGGACGTTGCGTTTCTTCGAAGTACATGTTGACAGTTTCATTGAGTTGTTGGGTTTTCGACTCATGAACAAGCTAAGCCCTTTCTTTTCGCATGATGATGAAAATCCCGAGCACCTCATTCCTTAAAAATTCTGAGGTGGTCAATGTGGTTTCGTGGTTTCCGTACCATGTTTTGGCGGGGCCATCCAGGAAAAAGTAAACGTGTTTACATTTCTTCATCTCATGGAATTGTTGATGTTAGCCACCTGCTCGAATCGGTCCAGCCATTCTTCCTTGTCTTCAGTGGCGTGACCGTGGGAAGTTGAAGGCACGGGGTACTGTTGCAAAAAGACGGGAGTGGACGTCTGCGCGTCACTGATGGCGGATGTGGGAGCCACTAACCGTGATCACGTGAGGTCCTGTAGCATGTCCCAGCTCAGGTGGCAAGTTTCTGAGACGGCATCTGCTTCGAGTATTCGTGTCCTCAGTGCATGCACTTGTTCTCTGCGGTGGCTGTTGCGGGATTGCTGTTGTGGAAACGCCGCACCCCCAACAGATGTCATGTAGCGACAGTAGCCCGGAAAATGGAAGACCGGTATGGTCTGAAGAATGAACCAGAGCCCGCTTAGTAGGCGAACTCTCGCCACTAAGAAAAACTGTACACCTCGGCTTCGGTAGCGGCGAACATGCGGCCGCCGGGGAACAGAATGCCCGCTCAATTGCAAGACAGTGTCGACCATTCGAGATTCGCCCTCCGAAACAGCTGCATGCATGGGGCCGCGACTGTGGCAGATAAATAGCGACACGTACCCTATCATCAATGCCTCCTGGTATCACATACAGAGGTTACCGGCCGGCATGCACGAAAAAAAAGGCATAAAAATTCTTTGCGGCAATATTGCGCGGAAAAAACACGCAATCGCGTGCAGGCGTGACCATAAGACTTGCGCAACATGTGTGTTTTTAATGCCCACCAATTACAAACTGTTCAGACATGTTAAACCATCGTCACCAGTAACGCATCAACGAAGTGAGCAGCAACTTAGGTTCCTGAATTGCCTCAGGGACGAAAATTGGTCTTATCGCCAATTCGCAGGAGAAATTATGGCGTGTGAGAACGTTACGCGCACAGTAGTTAGTTTCATTGCGACACGGTTGAGGCATCCACTGGGAACAAATCCGAAGCCAGGTTAGCCACTGAGGAGGCGATGTGCACTGGGCTTGATTACGCTGTCACGTTGCGCTCCTAAAGACCAACCTCAGTCATCCTCCAAGTTCCATGTGACCAACTGTTTTCGCAAATTTAGAAGTACTATCCATGCCTACTAGATGTTCTGCATCCTGGTTTTTCTGTGTTTCTTTAAAATCTACATAAAAAGTACAACAAGAAATTGTCTGGGCCGTCAGAACTTGATTTTTTAGACTGTGTATGCTCCAGCAACCGTTATTTTAGAAGATCCAGCGTTAGAAGTAAAACGAATAACAAAATAAATATTCCAGAAGCGTGTGTAAAATTTTTCTGGAGAGACGTTACCTACACATTTTTTTATATGAATGACGGCACGCTATTCCTTGATTGAAGAAACAAGAGCCTTCCCATTAGAACAGCTGAAAAAAGGAATTTGATATACATATTCGTTTTGACATTCTGCAAAATATTTTTAAGTTGACACATTTTATGTGAAATTTTTGAGAGTTTAGCGTATTTTAATCCCTTTAGAAATGAAAGTGTGATTAATTTCATTATCTGCTATCAAATAAACCAAATATTGAATGGCGCTTTAGTTCGCCACATAATTGAGCAAAACAAGGGTTAAATTTAGTAATGTTTCTTTAGGAATGAAACTCTGCAGAGCACATTTTTTTGAAGTAAAAACAGAACTTCCGTTGTCTCATTACATGGCACTTAAATGCAGTTGATTGAGTTTTTGGTTCGATAGAATAGCGGCAACGTCTACTGACATCACATAGCTACACATAATGCGCTCTTTCTTTTTTTTTTTATTCTCGCTTTACTCGGCTTTTTTATTTTCGCTTTACTCGGCATGGCTTGTCACGCCGCAAAGATGGTGATTGGCACACAAAGCTGCTCTACTAAACTTTTTGCAAGTTGATAATTCAGTCTGCTTAGGACAGCACTTCATTGAATATGTTTCATTTGTGATTTTAATCGCGCAATTCCTCTGGTGTGTAAAGTGGTCAAAATTATGCATTATCAGCACGATCCAAAAGTGTGCTCACATTTCAGGTGCTATAAATTATTTGTAAACTATTGAACAAGCATTACAGAACTATTTGATTCGATTTGCTCCTGCTACTATTCGACTGGTGTTTGATTTGCACTCCCAGTTTATTGCCAGGCACATCCTCAGGGCAGAATTTTTGCCCCACTTCTGCGCTTTGAGTTCTGCATGTAACAAATATTGTCTTAATGGTCCTAAAACATGAGTTTTGAACGCTTCACCAGCTCATTTGTCACCGCGAATAATTGCTGGCAGTTAAAAATCTTGACCACAAAAAAAAAATGCTATAGGATAAACGCTCTTGTTTTGCACTGCAGGATTTGACAGAAGAGAAAGTGTTCTTCATTACGGCCTGCCTCTCAACTTGTGCCAGGACGCCGTCCGACAACCTTTTTGGCGGGGACTGCAACAAGGCCGTCATGAACTTTGCACCGTTTGCCGAGGCCTTCAAATGTCCCGCGGGTTCAAAGATGAACCCGAAAAAGAAGTGCTCGTATTACGACTGATTTCGCGACACTTATTGATTTCGTGGCCAACGTCAAGTCTGCCAAGCTTATCGCGATTCATAGCGTTCTTGGACAAAATGTGCTATTTCACGCTGCGCAGGTTTTTAAGACTGTGACGCTCCTGAATTGCATGGCTAATTCGTTCCATATCTTTTTTTTTTCTTCCGACTGCTAATTCTTATGCCTATGTTACTGCAGGCACGTTGCGCATACAGTTGCGTGCCGTTTTCTAACGACGCAATATTTTGCGCAGTTGTTGCAAGGGCGTAGCCAGTAGATGGCACACCAGCCCGTGCCCCCCCCCCCCCCCAAAAAAAAAGATCATTTCAAAGATGTGTCCATCCCCCCCTGCCCCACCCGGAAAAAAATTCTGGCTACGCGCCTGAGTTGTTGCGTGAATTAGAAAAATGTGTGGCTGAAATTTTAAGGCAGCTGTTGTGATCGAAATAATTAAAGTGACTTAATATAGGAACATACAAAACAGCGCAACCAATAGTAGTTACGGCGTAACTAAGGGAAGCAAAAAAAAACAATGTGGAAAGAGACTCCCGACTTTCACAAATGGTTTTAATAGAGCAGTGGTGTAGAATATATAGCTGAAAATGGTTCTGCGTATGGGAGATTGGGGTACTTGTCACCAGAACTTGTCACACGCAAACTTAGCGCATTGATGGGGAACTTCCACGTATACTGTCAAGCTTACTTTGTGATAGGCCTCAATTATCTCACGCGTGGCCAGCGAGTGGTGCTTACATTTACGTCGCTACGCTCAACAGAGGTGCACGCAGCCGCAGTCATGGCAGTGAAGTCCGAAGTGTCCTTGAACCACATAGTGCACATTATCATAATGCCACGGTCATTCAAGAGACCTTTAGGTTGGTATATCTGCTTATTACTGCAAGATATATGCGAAGAATATACACGACACCAGTAGCACAAGAAACGGAGCGCGTTCTGTGTTTCACAAAGCATCTTACTCTATTTGCAGCTAGATGATTCAAATTACAAAGCTTTAATAGGTTCCACGGCTTGAAAGACAACAGTGATGCCAGTGCGTTCCCGATTTTTTTTCGGGCTATGCTATCGCTGTGCAGATAAGGGACTGCAAGACAAATCTTCGGAACTGACTCATTTCAAGGCTGAGATTGCCCTCATTTGATGTTTTATTTGCTTCAAAAGCTTTTCTGCAACAACGAAAATTAGGGCGAACTTGTGCTTTGGGACAGCGTTGGCTGCATTGCATCGAGTGCGGGCATGACCTCCTCAGAGCGTTAACAAGACGAACATTATTGACACCCTTTTTCACCAGTTTTGAAGGAGCCGAGTGTAAAGGTAAAAGGGGTAAAAGGTAAAAGGGTAGAAGTGTTAGTCTAAGAAACTGATCGGATTGCCAGACGGTAGCTCATGTGTAAGTTCCAGGGCAATGCAAGCAATCTTTAAACAAACCTAGAAGACTAAAAGCAACTTCAAAAAGATCTTCGCTTGTCTCTTGTTGTTTAAGTCTTAGGAAATTTTTAAACAAACCTAGAAGATTAGGGACAACTTCAAAAAGATCTTGAGTTCTCTATTGTTATCCAAGTTCTTAGGTTTCTGGATGATTTCATAAACTTTGTTTATTGTTCGAATGCCAATTTCGAAGTTGTCCCTAGACTTCTAGGTTTGTTTACAGATCACTTGCATGCACTGGAATTTACATACGAGCTACCTTCTGGCTACCGTCCAATTTAACCAGACGAAAATCGAGCTTTTGAAGCACTCACGCCATTTCCCATGGTAACGTCCGGCGGTTCTTTTTCTTATGAATCAAACAAACGCACAAGCAGTATTTGACTAAGTCTCTTAATGCACGGAAGGATTTATTTGATGCACCTAGTTAGATTACTAGTGATGAATTGTAGGCGGTAACTCTGACGTCATCTGGATCATTTTGCGATTGTCCTGCTCGTGGCGTGACCGTGGGAAGTTGAAGGCACGGGGTACTGTTGCAAAAAGACGGGAGTGGACGTCTTCGCGTCACTGATGGCGGATGTGGGAGCCACTAACCGCGATCGCGTGAGGTCAGTAGCAGTCCCAGCTCAGGTGGCAAGTTTCTGAGACGGCAGCTGCTTTGAGTATTCGTGTCCTCAGTGCATGCACTTGTTCTCTGCGGTGGCTGTTGGGCTGCTGTTGTGGAAACGCCGCACCCCAACAGATGTCATGTAGCGACAGTAGCCGGAAAATGGAAGACGGTATGGTCTGAAGAATGAACCAGAGCCCGCTTAGTAGGCGAACTCTCGCCACTAAGAAAAACTGTACACCTCGGCTTCGGTGGCCGTTTTCTAACGACGCAATATTGCGCCGTTTTCTAACGACGCAATATTTTGTGCAGTTGTTGCAAGGGCGTAGCCAGTAGATGACACACCAGCCCGTGCCCCCCCCCCCCCCCCCCAAAAAAAAAGATCATTTCAAAGATGTGTCCATCCCCCCCTGCCCCACCCGGAAAAAAATTCTGGCTACGCGCCTGAGTTGTTGCGTGAATTAGAAAATGTGTGGCTGAAATTTTTAGCAGCTGTTGTGATCGAAATAATTAAAGTGACTTAATATAGGAACATACAAACAGCGCAACCAAGTAGTAGTTACGGCGTAACTAAGGAAGCAAAAAAAAAACAATGTGGAAAGGACTCCCGACTTTCAACAAGGGTTTAATAGCGCAGTGGTGTAAATATATAGCTGAAAAATGGTTCTGCGTATGGGAGATTGGGGTACATTGTCACCAGAACTTGTCACACGCAACAGCGCAATTGATGGGGAACTTCCACGTATACTGTCAAGCTTACTTTTGTGATAGGCCTCAATTATCTCACGCGTGGCCAGCGAGTGGTGCTTACATTACTTCGCTACGCTCAAAGAGGTGCACGCAGCCGCAGTCATGGCAGTGAAGTCCGAAGTGTCCTTGAACCACATAGTGCACATTATCATAATGCCACGGTCATTCAAGGACCTTTAGGTTTGGTATATCTGCTTATTACTGCAAGATATATGCGAAGAATATACACGACACCAGTAGCACAAGAAACGGAGCGCGTTCTGTGTTTCACAAAGCATCTTACTCTATTTGCAGCTAGATGATTCAAATTACAAAGCTTTAATAGGTTTCCACGGCTTGAAAGACAACAGTGATGCCAGTGCGTTTCCCGATTTTTTTTCGGGCTATGCTATCGCTGTGCAGATAAGAGACTGCAAGACAAATCTTCGGAACTGACTCATTTCAAGGCTGAGATTGCCCTCATTTGATGTTTTATTTGCTTCAAAAGCTTTTCTGCAACAACGAAAATTAGGGCGAACTTGTGCTTTGGAACAGCGTTGGCTGCATTGCATCGAGTGCGGGCATGACCTCCTCAGAGCGTTAACAAGACGAACATTATTGACACCCTTTTTCACCAGTTTTGAAGGAGCCGAGTGTAAAGGTAAAAGGGGTAAAAGGTAAAAGGGTAGAAGTGTTAGTCTAAGAAACTGATCGGATTGCCAGACGGTAGCTCATGTGTAAGTTCCAGGGCAATGCAAGCAATCTTTAAACAAACCTAGAAGACTAAAAGCAACTTCAAAAAGATCTTCGCTTGTCTCTTGTTGTTTAAGTCTTAGGAAATTTTTAAACAAACCTAGAAGATTAGGGACAACTTCAAAAAGATCTTGAGTTCTATATTGTTATCCAAGTTCTTAGGTTTCTGGATGATTTCATAAACTTTGTTTATTGTTCGAATGCCAATTTCGAAGTAGTCCCTAGACTTCTAGGTTTGTTTACAGATCACTTGCATGCACTGGAATTCACATACGAGCTACCTTCTGGCTACCGTCCAATTTACCCAGGCGAAAATCGAGCTTTTGAAGCACTCATGGTAACGTCCGGCGGTTCTTTTTCTTATGAATCAAACAAACGCACAAGCAGTATTTGACTAAGTCTCTTAATGCACGGAAGGATATTTATTTGATGCACCTAGTTAGATTACTAGTGATGAATTGTAGGCGGTAACTCTGACGTCATCTGGATCATTTTGCGATTGTCCTGCTCGTGGCGCATGTGGTGTCGTGCATTTACAATATTTATCGGCAAGTATGCCGTTGCTGTTCATAATATTGCCGTTTCAGATGCTGTCATAGATTGACTTTCACTCGGACATCAATTGTTCTTTGATTTTAGTGTGCATTTAAATGTACGTTGTTTGGTAAATCTTCCAAGTTGGGATTAGAATAGCGGCAGACGTCAGCTGCAGTTGAGAAAGGGCCAAGATAGCTGGCAGTTGTCCGTACTTCGGTAAAAGGGGAAAGTCTAGGGATTTTAGGCCACACAGTTGGCCTCGCACGGCATCGACAAGCCGACACCTTAAGGTGCGCGGAGCGCTATTGTTTTTCCGTTCCACCCCGCTGAGAAATGTTGCTCTCAGTCGCTGAGAAGGGCGCGAGAACCTCAGTATCAGTCGCCACTCAAAGGTGGATGACGTAGCACATTTGCGCGGAAGCACAACAAACCCCAGCTGTTCCAGATATAACTTCTAAGAGCAACGTTTCGCACTTGCTACTCCGGATTAAAATTTCATAACCCACGCCTCGTCTAGGAGTAGCATATCAAGGTGATATATTAGCAGAGAAGAGCAAGCTTCTTGATCTCCTCCCTCAAGAATGAAGCATAATGGGCAAAGCGTACATCAACAGTTACAAAAAAAAAGTCACAGCTTTTCTGCAAGGGCGAAGCAAGGAGTGCGAGAGCAACAAATTGGAATGTTACACGAGAAATTGCAATCGGATCGAAACGCGCCCCGCTTTGCTCGCGCACAAGTGACGCACTAAACGTACTCACACGTACAGATGAACGCGATTAAGTGCCTCATTTGTTACTTGGCTGTGTCTGAAAAGCAATCCCTTTTCGCAAAAAAAAAAGACTGCAGCGAGTGCAGTGACTTTTGTGCGCCCAGTAGCTACAACAGAATCATTCCGATGAAAGCCCAGGGCGTACGAATATCCTTACCACGAGACGAGATAAGCGCACGCACGCGTGAGCGCCTGCCCCCCCCCCCCCCCCCCCTGTGGGGCAAAGTACGCGTGGGAGATGAACGCATAGACGCTCGTCGCCGCGTCGTGACAATATGACGACGCTGCACTCATTGCGCCATCTCGTTGGATATGCTAAATACGATAGCTCCACTATGATCAGATCAAGATATATCAGATCAGGCAAGATTATAGCTTGCCCTTTTCAGCGTTGAAGGAGGTGCTCCTTCACGGCTAAACGGTGAAACGCGACGCACTTCGCAAGCAGGAAGCCGGGCGTTCGATTCCGCAGACCGGGGTCTTTTTCTGAATATTTTTTTCCTTGCCATTTCACAAATACAGATACGTATACAACATACGGCGAATGACAGCCGACGCTGGCGGCAAAATCCCGCGTCCATATAATAGCTATCGCAATAAAACGTTATTGCAATTCTGACGTGATGACAAGTCATTATATTGTGCGAACTTTAGCTGTAATGACTTTCTAAATTTGGCAATAAAAATAAATGTCAGACATAAAATCACTGCTGATAAAGTTTGGAAAAAGCATTTGGGCAAAGTACAACATATGTTAACGTGTAGACAAACTTTAGTAGATCCAAATAAATCTTAATTGCCACCATCTCTGTATGTCATAAATACAGAATGTTATTACAGAGTGTTGTTACAGTCTCTTAATGCACGGAAGGATATTTATTTGATGCACCTAGTTAGATTACTAGTGATGAATTGTAGGCGGTAACTCTGACGTCATCTGGATCATTTTGCGATTGTCCTGCTCGTGGCGCATGTGGTGTCGTGCATTTACAATATTTATCGGCAAGTCTGCCGTTGCTGTTCATAATATTGCCGTTTCAGATGCTGTCATAGATTGACTTGCACTCGGACATCAATTGTTCTTTGATTTTAGTGTGCCTTTTAAATGTACGTGTTTGGTAAATCTTCCAAGTGGGGATTAGAATAGCGGCAGACCGTCAGCTGCAGTGAGAAGAAAGGGCCAAGATAGCTGGCAGTGTCCGTACTCGGTAAAAGGGGAAAGTCTAGGGATTTTAGGCCACACAGTTGGCCTCCTGCACGGCATCGCACGCCGACACCTTAAGGTGCGGGAGCGCTATGATTTTGCCGTTCCACCCCGCCTGAGAAATGTTGCTCTCAGTCCGCTGAGAAGGGCGCGAGAACATCAGTGATCAGTCGCCACTCAAAGGTGGATGACGTAGCACATTTGCGCGGAAGCACAACAAACCCCAGCTGTTCCAGATCTAACTTCTAAGAGCAACGTTTCGCACTTGCTACTCCGGATTAAAATTTCATAACCCACGCCTCGTCTAGGAGTAGCATATCAAGGTGATATATCAGCAGAGAAGAGCAAGCTTCTTGATCTCCTCCCTCAAGAATGAAGCATAATGGGCAAAGCGTACATCAGCAGTTACAAAAAAAAGTCACAGCTTTTCTGCAAGGGCGAAGCAAGGAGTGCGAGAGCAACAAATTGGAATGTTACACGAGAAATTGCAATCGGATCGAAACGCGCCCCGCTTTGCTCGCGCACAAGTGACGCACTAAACGTACTCACACGTACAGATGAACGCGATTAAGTGCCTCATTTGTTACTTGGCTGTGTCTGAAAAGCAATTCCTTTTCGCAAAAAAAAAAGACTGCAGCGAGTACAGTGACTTTTGTGCGCCCAGTAGCTACAACAGAATCATTCCGATGAAAGCCCAGGGCGTACGAATATCCTTACCACGAGACGAGATAAGCGCACGCACGCGTGAGCGCCTGCCCCCCCCCCCCCCCCCCCCCCCCCCCTGTAGGGCAAAGTACGCGTGGGAGATGAACGCATAGACGCGCGTCGCCGCGTCGTGACAATATGACGACGCGCACTCATTGCGCCATCTCGTTGGTAATGCTTAAAATACGATAGCTCCACTATGATCACATCAAGATTATATCAGATCAGGCAAGATTATATCTTGCCGTTTCAGCGTTGAAGGAGGTGCTCCTTCACGGCTAAACGGTGAACGCGACGCACTCGCAAGCAGGAAGCCGGGCGTTCGATTCCGCACACCGGGGTCTTTTTCTGAATTCTTTTTTTCCTTGCATTTCCACAAATACAGATACGTATACAAATACGGCGAATGACAGCCGACGCTGGCGGCAAAATCCCGCGTCCATATAATTGCTATCGCAATAAAACGTTATTGCAATTCTGACGTGATGACAAGTCATTATATTGTGCGAACTTTAGCTGTAATGACTTCCTAAATTTGGCAATAAAAATAAATGTCAGACATAAAATCACTGCTGATAAGTTTGGGAAAAAGCATTTGGGCAAAGTACAACATATGTTAACGTGTAGACAAACTTTAGTAGATCCAAATAAATCTTGATTGCCACCATCTCTGTATGTCATAAATACAGAATGTTATTACAGAGTGTTGTTACAGTATGTTATAAATAAATGTATGTTATAAAAGCGTGCGAAGCCAACGTCCACCAAACAAGGAACTGCTTATGTCAACATGATGTTTTCGCTAAGCATCACGTGCAAACGGAACTTTTACATGCCAGATGTTCATGGTCCTATAGCATATTCTTAGTTAACGGCATACCATAACGTCCCCTTCATCACATAGAACCATAGGCTTAACCTATTACATTCCTCTAACATGCATTTTTGGCATTCGTGTGTCGTGGTGTATTCCTTACGGCAGTTTTCGTTTGGCCACACAGATAGAAATACGTGATTGAAATTCAGTTTGTGAGCCAGCACAATAAGCCTGACCTAATGGTTCTTCAAAATGCAATTGTTCTTTGTACAAATCTTTACAAACAATCTATACAACTCCAGCTTCAGTTTATATCATACTTTAACGTGCATGTTAGGATATACATACGACCTTTAGCTGAACCAATTCTAATTATTTTACAGATAGCTCTATTTTTATCAAGGCTTTTGGACAACTCCACCTGGCACTTGACAAGGTTGTCTAGAATATTCAAAAATGTGCCGCTCGGCGACACTCCTCAGGCCAATAATAATTGCAAAACAGGACTAAAACTCCCAGCCACTGAACGATATATTTTAACAGACACTGGTGATATGTAGGGGCAGCACACACGCACTAATACGATGTCATGATAGGCCTTACAGAAAACTGACAGCCCTAGTTGTCAATTCTTGCATACACAGTGGCGATTTCTAGTGCCATATGCCCAATTGTACTAGTTTCGGTGAAGACTGTTGGAAGCAGAGATAGAGTAAACATATAAAAGCTTGCATAAAAGAATAAGAATTGGATTAGTGGTCAGCTTTACTCACAGGATTTCCTAACGAATTTTTCAGCTGGGCTATCTGCTATGCAATCAATATTGTTACGGGGAATAAGTATACACTGGTGAGCAAATTCGTACTGGCGAATATACTGGCGAGCTAATGCGTACGACGCTGCTGCAGTCCGAGCACGTTCCCGTTCAGCACTTCGTCGTCGTCATCCTCAGGCATCTACTTAGCCCGTGACATTACCCGCCGGCGGCAGAAGCACCGTCCCGGTGCGATCAATTCTCGTGGCGTGAGAAGTATGGCTTAAGCCGTGAGACGTGTACTATATCGGTTGGGACTGAAGCTGGTACTGACGTGGTATGGAGTGGAGCTATCTCATAGGTAACGGTGGTGACCTTGCGTATGACGCGGTAGGGGCCAACGTAACGGGACATTAGTTTTTCGCTCAGACCAACACGACGTGATGGTAACCACAGCAAGACGAGTGATCCCGGAGAGTACTGTACGTCGCGGTACCGGCGATCGTAAGCACTCTTTTGGTCAAGCTGCGAGGCACATGAACGATCCCGGGCGACTTGGCGGGCGATGTCAGCTCAGGCCAGGGCATCAGGAGCATAAGCAGTCGATGAGGGGGCGTCAGATTGGAGCATAGTGTCCATGGGCAAAGGCGGGTCATAACCGAACAGTAGGTAAAAAGGGGAAAATCCAGCTGTATCATGACGTGAACTATTGTATGCGAAGGTAACGAAAGGTAAGTGAATGTCCCAATCTTTGTGATCCTTGGAGACGTACATCGCTAACATATTCGTCAAGGTACGGTTGAGGCGTTCCGTGAGGCCGTTGGTTTGCGGATGGTACGCTGTAGTGAGCTTGTGGTGGGTAGAGCAGGACGTTTTTTCCCCGGGCGTGCCTTACTCCAGCAATTCACTTTCCAAGTCCCTTCCTCATGATACCCAGCACCTCCACCAATGATGTTACGGGAAATAAGTATACACTGGTGAGCAAATTCGTACTGGCGAATATACTGGCGAGCTAATGCGTACGACGCTGCTGCAGTCCCAGCACGTTCCCGTTCAGCACTTCGTCGTCGTCATCCTCAGGCATCTACTTAGCCCGTGACATTATGGCGAAAAATGCCCTTGGTGGAATAGTTGATGAATGTTTTAAGATATCTACACCCATCCATACATATGTCACAGATTTATATAAATGAAGAGGAGGCTTGCTGATACCATCCTGCAAGCTTTGTCTTCCTAAGCATCACATTTTTATACAACTAGTCCCACCGCCTTGCCATAAAGGAGCAATTTTCTGTAGAACGGGAGTCTTAGAAAACACAAATGTATTGCATTTATAAAATGGTCAAGCTGTATGCCACTTGAGCTCCAAAGCATGCTCAAATGTTTGCTTAAGATGACATGACAGGTGAACTTGAAAGATTCATACAAAATAAATAGCATAGCCTTTATTTCAATACCATAAATTATACTGTACACAGGCATGCTGACCCTCCATAATGCCCGGGCCTGCAATAAGGCAGCTGCTGTATCTAAAACAGGTGGTTGTCACTTAGTGGACGATTTAGCATTCACTACATGTCAATGCAAAGCATCAGCCAACACCCTCTGTGCAGGCCACTGCAAAACCCCCTAGGATAATTTTTAATGTTTCAACCAAACATGCGCATAGAGTTAAGAATGTCATCAAGATAAAAAATGCCTAACACAACAGAACTATTAACCACAGGCATGCCACAAACTTCAAGAAACAATTGCTTGTCCACTCAAAGAACTGCGGTATTCCTGGTGTTGGCTGTGATGTCACCATTCGCCTTTTATCCTGTCGTGCACAAAAGGAACATTTTTGTCTGCTTGCACAAATGCGTGCTCACTGCATTTCTCTTCACAGCATGATGAAGAGAACACAGTTAAGAGGAGAGACACAAATAAAAAAGTGCAGCGAAGAAAAGGGCAAAATGAGTGAAGGCTGCTTTGAGTCACCAAATGCCAGTAACTCTTTTGTTAACGCAGAGAGAGAGAGAGAGAAGTAAACGCTTATTTCGAAACAGTGTTCCGAGCAATGCCCTATGTCACCCAGAGGTGGGAGGGCTCCTTAGTCTAGGAAGCCTCTGGCTTCTACTGCCCTCTTGGCCCTGGCGACGAGTTGTTGTTGCTCTTCCAGGTCCTCGAAGGCGAGCTTCGCCTCCCACGTTTCGGTTAGGTCTTCGTTCGTCAGTCCTGCTTCGTTATCAGTCGTGTGTTGTTGCAAATTACGTCTGGTAATACACTGGCATGCAAGAAGCAAGTGCGCCAGGGTGTCCGGTACGTTGCAAAGCGGACACATAGAGCTATATCTCGTTGGGTAGAGACGGTGCATTAGGGCCCCATGTGTGTATGTGCTGCTTTGCAGGCGTCTCAGTATTACGCTTTCCTCTTTTGTAAGTTTTGGGTGTGGTGGATGGTATACTCGTCGCTCCAGCCTGTAATGCTGGAGTAACGACGAGTAGGTGTTTTGAACAACTTCCGTCTCTTCAACGACGGATCGAATGTCCTGTGGGCAGGGGGCAGCCCGGCTGACGTGCTCGCGGGCAGCGGCGTGGGCCGCTTCATTTCCCTGCAGACCCTCGTGTCCTGGCACCCATAATACACAAGTGTATGGGAGTGGAGTGCTTCGCCGTTTCAAAATATTGATGGCATTGGCTGAGATACGGCCCTTAGCAAAATTCCTGCAGGCGGCTTGTGAGTCGGTGAAAATCACCGCGGCGTCTGTACATGTTGTGGTTGCTAGGGCGATTGCCGATTCTTCTGCAGCGTCTGAATTGAGTGCGTTGACCGTGGCTGACGCTAATTCTCGGCCTTGAGAATCGACGACGCTGACAGCGTACGCGTTTCTATGCGGATACTTGGCTGCGTCAGTGTAGCGGGCATCCGGGTCTTGCTTGAACTTTCGTCGAATAGCCTTAGCTCTAGCCTCGCGTCTACTTTTGAGAAAAGTAGGATGCATGTTGCGTGGAATAGGTGCGATGGGCAGCGACTCTCTAATGTACAGCGGGATGTGCTTTTTCCGGTCTGCATCGGCGATGAACGTGTCGCTGTAGTTGAGGTACCGGAGCACCGACCTCCCCGTAGGCGTCAGCTTGAGCCTCTCCAGCTGACTATTCCTATGTGCTTCAGTGAGCTCTTGCCACGTGTTGTGGACGCCCATCTTTAGGAGACGTGTGGTAGAGGCCATTGGCGGAAGTCCCAGGGCAACTTTAGTGGCCTTTCTTATCACGATATTAAGTTTTTCAATTTCAGCGGTTTTCAACTTTAGGTACGGCGTGCCGTACGTAATGCGGCTGGTGAACAGAGCTTGCATTACACGTAGAGTGTCGTGCTCTTTGAGTCCGTTTCGTTGATTCGCGATCCTCTTGACGAGGTGCGTGAGTTGTGATAGTGTTCGTTGGAGTCTCGGTATGGTGGCAGCTCCCGATCCATTCTTGTAGATGTGAACTCCAAGCACTCGCAGGGTCTCGACTTTTGGAATTAAGGTCCCTTTCAGCGTTACGCAAGGGTCGGGCTCGTCGTATAGAGGGGGTCTGCCTCTTGTTCTCGCTTTGAGGACGAGGTGCTCGGATTTCTCGGGGGCACAGTAGAGACCGCAGTCTCTGAGATACCGTTCGATGGCATCTACGGCGGTTTGTAGGCACGTCTCTTGTCTCCCAGTGTTCGAAGCCCTGGTCCAGAGCGTGATGTCATCAGCGTAGATCGCGTGCCGTAAATCAGGTATTTTGTCGAGAATTTTTGGCAGATTGATCATAGCCACATTGAAAAGTAACGGCGAGATGACCGAACCCTGCGGCGTTCCTTTTTTCGGTAGTTGGAAGCTTTTGCTGCGGATGTTGCATATGCCCACAGTTGCTGTACGGTCTGTCAGGAAGTTTCTGACATACGTGTAGCTTCTAATGCCGCAGCCAACGCCTTCGAGGTTGTTGAGGATCGCGTCGTGGCTGACGTTATCGAAGGCCGCCTTGACGTCAACTCCGAGTATGGAGTACTTACTTCGATGGGTGAGGTGATCAAGGAGGTCTTCTTTGAGTAGTAAGAGCACGTCGTGCGTCGAAAGATGCTGCCTGAAGCCAAACATGGTGTCCGGTAGGTGTCCACTATCTTCCAGGTACTGGGTTAAGCGGTCGTGCACCATGTGTTCGAACAGCTTTCCCACGCACGAGGTGAGAGAAATCGGGCGTAGGTTCTCGATGCCGAGTGGTTTGTTAGGCTTAGGGATCATGGTGATTTCCGAGTGCTTCCATACCGCAGGTAGCTCTCCTTTATCCCAGCAGTCGTTGTAATAGCGGAGAAGAGCCGTGGTGGCCTGGTGCGGTAGGTTGCGTAAGTGCTTGTTGACAATCCTGTCTATTCCGGGGCTGGTATTTCTTGTCAACTTCGTTAGGGCTGTGTCCAGCTCAGCCAGGCTGAAGGGCCGGTCGAGTTAAGTGTTTGGTGCGCCAGCGTATTCTTTGGTGTGAATTGAAGCCCTAGTGGGTGCATCGGCACAGAGCTTCTTCTAGGAGGTGTTCTTCTGTACCGGCGTAGTTTCGAATAAGCCTCTGAAAGTGCTGCTTCTGTGCTGCTTTGGAGGGTTGCGTGGCTAGAAGTGTGCGTAGCAGATGCCAGGTTTTCTTGGTGCTCAGAGTCCCCTGCAGCTTGTCACAGAAAGCATGCCAGTTCTGCCTGGCCAATCGGTTCGCATAATCTTGAGCTTGCTCGGTGAGGAGAGAAATGCGTTTCCGTAACTTTCTGTTTAGTTTTTGTCGCTTCCACCGTTTTAGAAGTCCTCTTCTAGTCTCCCAAAGGTGGAGGAGATGCGCGTCGACGGCGGGTGTATCGACGTCAAGCTGTATGTCCTTAGTGTAGCGTTCGGCTATTTTGAGCACATTCTTAAACCAGTCTTCAATGTCGATTATGGTGGTTTCAACGTCGAGGTCATTCCTAAAGGATTGCCATTCCGTTAACCGCGCTATTCCAGTCTTGGTCTTTTTACGAGTGTGCGCTACGGAGAGTTGAATGATGTGATGATCACTACCTAAAGTTTCCGGTAGCACACTCCACTCTGCCCTAGTGACGTTCGCCGTAAATGTAAGATCTGGATTTGTATCCCTGGAGACGCTGTTCCCGATTCTCGTCTTCTGAAGAGGGTCGTTCCACAGGGTTAGTCTGTGATATTGAGCAGTATCGTGCACTCTAGAACCCTTCCTCGTGGTGATATGATAGCCCCATGCCGTGTGAGAGGCGTTAAAGTCTCCCATTATTATGATCTGGTGGCCATTTGTGCGCTTCCTGATTTCTCGTATTAAGTGATCGAAGTCTGGTTGTTGGCCTCGTGGGGGGCTGTATATATTGGTTATGAAAAGACTTTGCTGCGTCTTTCGTTCCGGCAGAATCTCTATTAGGGTATGCTCTATTTGAGTGTCCTCGATTTCGTGCTTTTGCATTGAAAGTGCTTTCTTGACAAATATGGCAGTTCGATGGGTTTGTGCGCAGGTCGTGTAGCCTTGCAGTCGTACGTTCTGCGTGTTGGTTTCCTTAAGTGCAATGATGTCTGGTTGGTTAAGCTTGATGAATTCTTGTAGGCTTGCGCGTCGAGGGCGGTATGACCGACAGTTCCATTGCCATATGCGTAAAGTTGAATGCTGGTTCTTATACTTATGGTTAGGGACTGCCATCTTCAATCGATTCGATGTCACGCCTGCCATCGCGACTCGGCGAGACTGAGTGAGAGGCATTGTGCCTGTTCGCTCGTGTCTTCTTCCGAGTCATTTGGCGTGGGTTGTTCAAGCTGTCGAACTGTGCCATGGTTACGTAAGTTTTCTTCACTTGTGCGATGAAATTGTTGACTTGCGCAGCAATCCCATCAATTTTGGCATTAAGCGTAGTGATCTTGTGTTCAAACATTGAGGCTGTTTTTTCTATTGCAGACTGGACAATCTTTTCCATCGTGGCGTGCATGTTATTCATGAAAGATTCTTCGAATATCGTGCACCTTGCGTTCAATAGAGCTTGGACGCCTACCTTGGTCAGCGTCGTTGCCGGCTCTGTGCTTGAGTTTGCTTGTTCTCGATACTGTTGTTCTGCATTGCCCGAATGTCCTTGCTGATGCGTGCACTTTTCAAGTAGTTTGTCAATGAGCTCTTGTTGTCGTTTTTGACTCTGAAGCAGTTTATTTATGAGACTTTGTTGGCTTTGCAGTTGGCTGTGCTGATTCTGGAGCTTTTCTTGCTGGTTTTTCAGTCTATCTTCGAGACCCTGTATGGATGAGGTGTCCGACTTCGAGGAGGTTAAGCTGCTGCGGTCATTAGCTCCACTTGCCATGGCAGCGTAGCTCGCACGTTTAACGGAACGCGAGCGCGTGCGAGAGCGGGAGCGCGAACTGGAACGCAGTATTGATTTGGATCTACTGCGCGCAGAGACGGAACGCTTCCGAGAGTGGGAGCGCGAACTCGAACGAAATTTTGACTTGGAACTGCTGCGCGTGGAAACGCGGCCCTCATTGTTACTGTTAGAGGTAGCGGCCGATATGCTAACCTCAGGGAACTCTTCTCCGCTGGCGTTCCAGTTGTTGTCTATTTCTTGAAGCCTGTTGAGGCGCTGTTGTCTTACGTTGAAGGGTGGTGGACTTGGCTTTAGTCTCCTTTTGCATTCTTTACTTGCTGTTTTGTGTCCTTCCCCGAAGATCTTGCAGATGGGTGCGAATTCATGTCCCTGCGTTTGTCCGGCCTTGCCACATTTATAGCGGAAATCCGGGACAGGTTTCGGACAGACGCCCTGGCGGTGACCCGTATTGCCACAAGCTCGACAATACTGCACTGACTTACGATATGGTCTGCAGCGGAAGTCTACGCTCTGGAAAATTATGTAGTAGGGAACGTGCGGTCCTTCAAAGAAGACGACTGCCGCGGTCGATTGACCTAGCATTCGGGCATGAAGAACTGTGTATCTTGCCGGTGCGCGAATTCCAGCCATGAGTTCTGCGGTGCTCGTACCGGGTATCAAGCCGCTGATGACGCCTCTGGAGACATCGTCCGGTGTTCTGATGTTGCCGTTCACAGTGTAAAAATTTCCTCCAAGCTGTATTTTTTGAATGCTTACGAGCTTCTTGGCGTCTTCTTTGGCGGCGGTGCTTGCGATGATTAGGTTTTCCATTCTCTGGACTTGTACGCGTACCTTGTCGTTAAAGTCTTGCTGTGATAGTCCACTCACTCTGCCGATGGCATGCGTGAACGCGACGGTGTTCCATTTGGCGAGGTCAAGACCTGCTTGCGGGCGGTAGACGATCTTGAAGTCATCGAGCGGCAGAGGTGACATCTTGGGCCTGCATTTTTGCTGCGTTGGTGATGACTTTAGCGTCTGCTCATTGATAGGTGGCTGCTCTGTGGGTTGGTTGGCCGGTGACCTTGGATTGGCGACAGCGTTCTTGTCTTTCTTATTTCTCCTGATCCAAGCGCTTTCCGTTGCAATTGTTCTGCCACTGCCAGCGTCATAGGTCCACAAATTTTCTGTTGTTTTGTTTGCGTCCACTTGGTCAGTTTGCATTGTATTTTCTTCGTCTTGCTGGTTTCTTTGCATTTTGCTTGCTGCGGCTGCGTGTCTGCTCATTCTAAGCTTTTCGCCACGGTGAGCGCGAGCGCTCGTGCCGTGCCGTCAGGAACGCCTGAGCACGTTGTGCACGCGCCGCGCGGCTTTGCCCAGGAACGAACTTGGCGTTAGGCTTATTAAACTGGACGCGCGCTTGTCGGGAATTAGGTCTTATATCTTGAGACAGAATGCACTCACCCAAAAGAAGCAGGTGTCCGCCGATTCCTCGTGTCTTGGCGGCTGAGGCTGTGAAACTCTTGGGTTCGTCACCGGCCTTGTTTCGGGTTAAAAAGCACGAAAATCAGGAGCCCATGCGAGACGCGTCTGGTCTATACGGCCCCCTAGCGGTTGATCTCTGTTAACGCAGAGTTTCAAAAATTTCTCATGGCGGCATGCTTCTTGTAGGTTTGTGTGCAACTGTAGCGCGGACTTCTGGGTGGTCTAGAGGCCCTATAGGGCCTTCAGAAGAAGCCAAAACGTCGTGCTTGTAACGCTGCAATGAATGAGAATTATGAAAGCAAGCAAGCGATGATACACAAAGCATAGCTGCTGTACACAACAATTTACATCACTGCCTAAATTCTCAAGTTCCAAAGCTACACCCTATTGTTGCAGTTTAGTTAAATATAGTTACACAGCTTTTCAATTTCCATTGGCAATTGCAAAAAAATTTGGTGTGCAACTGTGAAACCCACTTTGTACAAATACCCAAGTTCAACCCTTCATTCAAAGAACAGCACTTCTATTTTACCCAGTTCAGCACTAGCCCAGAAGATTGACACATTTCATACGCACATCACAGTGTTCTTAAGAGCTGAAGATATCTCTACAAGAAAATTCAGTCATGTATCACACCAAAATGACAGCGTCTATTCTATATACATTTGTGAACATATTCATTGATGCATTTTTATCAAAGACACACCATAGTCATTTTTGTACCACTAAGGTTGCCTTATCATAATCACTTTTTTTATCAGTTTTAATGCAGAGATTCGATTCATAAGAAATGAATATTCCTTTCAGCCTTTGAGAAAAGCCGACATTATGTCACAACAAACAAAGCACAATGTGCTGCAAGTGACACGTAGTGTTAACTCCATGTCCCGTGACAAAACTCGATCCCAGTGAGGATGTGACGATTCAAAAATCTTAAAATGACTAAAAGGAACAGAAGCACCAACTAGGAAGGGTCGGACATGAGATTATTCTTTTTTCCGAGTGCTTCTACACAATGCTCAGCAATTCATTTTTCATTTTTTAAGATGGAACCATTTTTGTAAGGTGGCTTCAGGAAATGTGCGGGCCCAATGCATGTTACAGCCTTAAACATAACGCACAAAAACGGCAATAGTAAAGGCGTCCTCTTGTCTGACGCTGGACGGACACGTGACCCTCTGCAATGCGGAAGTCTACGCACTGATGAAAATTGTGACACCTAAGTCAAAACCTTGTCATGCCTGGGGCCCAGAATCGATAGCGCCACTCAGCCGTAGCACTTGGCCTGCATAGCACAAACAAAACAAAAATGCTAGCGAATCTGAATGAATTGAGTACGCCATTTTTCCTGTTGAATTGTTAGGCATACGCGGCTGCAATCACATGACACCTAGAAAAAAATACTACAAGTACTGTACAGAACTAATTCAGCTCTTATTCATTATCATGTCTTTCTCTAGACTGCACACAATTTGGTACAGAAGGAGAAAAGTGCAATTACAGGTAGTGTGCAGAAAACCAGCAGACACAGTCTCAGCAGCTTGGCACTCTGCAGTAGCTGGAATACAGGAGTTTTGAACTGTGCAACGCACAGTTGCTCTTTACTAGTGTGTCAATCAGGCCCTTAAAGGAGGCTAGCTGGAGTATTGGTGCGGTCTATTGAAAGGCTGTTTCTTCCTCCTATTGTAAACAATGGACAGTGAAACAAAACGCGGGTGGCCTATTGAAAGGAGTGAGACACAAGCTGTGGGCCGCCTATTGAAAGCAGCTGTTTGTGAAAAAATGCGGCGGGAGGTCTACTGAAAACAGTCGACAATGAAACAAAGCGGTGCGCGGTCTATGGAAAGCAGTGGATGGTGAAGCAAAGCGGTTGGCGGTCTATTGAAGGTAGTGGTTGGTGAAGCAATGTGGTGGGCCTTGCCGCCGCTTGTCTTGTCGCCACGACACGCAAGTGTCTTGTTTGGCAACATTTGCCAAAATAGAGCGGTTTCATCTGCATTGAAGATATCTTGGGCTCTATATCTTGCTGCGATATCTCGCCAGTTTTCCTCGAGCCATTTTTCTACGCTGTCAAGGTCCGCCGCTCTGCTTTCACCTGTACCAGCTTTGCAAACGATGTCGTGCCGTTCTTTGAACCACTGAAGCCAGCCTGAACCGCCTTGGTAATCATTGCTGCCAAGCAGAAAAGCAAGGTCCTTGGCTTTCTGCTCGATCATAGGGCCGGACACCGGGATGTTTCGCGACCGAACGTCCACAAACCACCTGTAAACGGCCACTTCAACATCTTCGTACACAGCAGCGCGCACACGTCGGGCGCCAAGGGCACCTGGCCTTTTGTCCGACTTGGCCCTGATGTCTGCCTTGTTCTTCAGGATAGTACTCAAGGTGTTCCTTGGAATTTTGTACGCGGCGGCGACGTCGGACTTCTTTTCACCGCGCTCAACCCGATTGATGATTTCGAGTTTCACGGCGAACAGCAAATTTTGCCTCTTTGCACAAGCCATGATGACAGCACGCCAATACAATTCACAGAGCACCAACAGGCAACACCACAGAGCACGCTGAATCGGCAGCAGCAGGCACACAAGCATGAAGAAAGAAAAAATGGCGCTCACTTCTACCGACTCCACGCCTCGAAGAAAGCACGACGGCCTCTGATTGGCTGTAAGCGCTGTGAGCGGGCCAGGATCATTTCTTGGAGGGGGGTGTTCGCCCGCGCACAACCGGGTCTAACCAACTTTTTCTAGGGTGGCGCCGGCAGTTTTCCCCGCCACCGCAAGGAAGAGCCAACTTGCTGGAGCACTTTTGAGGCACACGGAGTTTGATATATCAGTTGTCGTTGCTATTTTCGTTCGATAAAACAGTAACTTTAGCTATATAATCTCAATGTAAACTTACCATGTTAAGGAATTGTTTGATATACGGTATAATTTGATATAAACGGGTTCGATATAGCCGGGCTTGACTGTATAGCAAATAACACACTATTACAATATAGAGCAGAATCTCAGTGATGCGAATCTCACGGGGGAGTGAAAATTTTCATGTCACCTGATAATAAGTATCACAAAAAAATTGACCAATGATTCTGAGACTGCCTACAGCAAATTCTGTGAAAAGCTGTTTATTTGTTTCGATTTTGCAACAAGTTGAGGTAAGCAAATTTAGAGAGATGTAAATGTATGTACAGTTGATGATTGATTGATTGATTGATATGTGGGGTTTAACGTCCCAAACCACTGTATGATTATGAGAGACTGCCATAGTGGAAGGCGCTGGAAATTTCGGCCACCTGGTGTTCTTTAACGTGCACCCAAATCTGAGCACACGGGCTTACAATATTTCGGAAATGCATCCAAAAAATGCAACCATCGGAAATGCAGCCGCCACAGCCGGGATTCGATCCCACCACCTGCTGGTCAGCAGCCGAGTACCTTATAGCTACGAGATCACCACGGCGGGCATCGCGCATTTGTTGATCACACACTACATTTCTGGACATCATCTCATACCAGCTCATCCGGGGCCGTATGTACAGTTGCATACGATGCGTTGAGTAACGTGACTTGCGTAGACCATTTCGTGTAGTCCCTTTCACATGAACTGCCATAAACAAGAGCGTGGCGTCACCCCCTCGCTACCCAAGAGACTGTAGAAGGCAAGCGTTCCACAACAGCTGCCGCAGACAGGCCTCCGTTCATGCAGAGCTTTGTTGCCATATGTGGCACTGGAGGATGGCCTTGCTACATGCTCCATGATTCTTTCTGACGATTCCTTTCAGCCCCCTGCAGTCATTTTTCCTCGCTGCGATCACCAATACAAAGTCAAACGAGCCATATGTCACAGTTATCGTTTTGTTAATTCATTCATGCCACACACTCTCATTGAATGGAACTATTTATCATCTCACGTAACTACCGCGAAAAAAAAGATATAACGAAATTTCAAGATATTCTACCCACTGAGCGTAATATCTAAATGTGGTGTCCATCTCTTCAAAGCAATCTCAGTGATAAGAACACAAAACTTTATTGCAGCACCATAGTAACAGCAAAAATGTACTTGGTGTGTCTATAAACTGATAAAATAAGAAATGTATCACTATTAAGTTGCCTTCCTTGCATTACCATGAAGCAGCTCCGCAAAGCAAATTTGCACACCGCAATTAAGACTCAGAATCTAAACAAAGAGAGCAAAGAATCTGCGACGAAATTCCCATCACCTCAGAACTTGAACCGGGTCGTTTGCAAACACTACCGTCTAATTGTATCAGAAATATATTAATTTCTGTTAGAGCATACACATTGTCACCCTCTACGCAATTCGCCTCGGAGAATGCTGAAAGGCCAAAGAGGTTCGATAAAGAACTTGCTGCTTCAGCGTTCAATGCCTCAATACGTCACCAGAATTTATTGAATTACACTAGAGAACTCTATTGGTTTCCGCGAAATGAACATCTCCTTTACCTCGAACATCTCCACGCATCGACAGGCACGACAAACATGTGAAGCTAGGAGCTGAAAGTGTTCGAACCGACGGACTCCGAAGACCATGCAAAGGGTGGCATGCAAAGGGTGCACACTATCTTCAGACTGCCTTAGAAGTTACCCGGCAACTGCCTATACACAGGTACTACACAAATATTTTGTCTTTTGTACACGAAATTTTTATTTGAACAATGGACTGCAAGCATGGAGCGCAGAAGGGGCGTGCCCTTGGGTGTGTGTTCACTCACTAGTATCTGATTTTGGAAAAAAACGGTTTTAAGCCATACAAAATACTATTTAGGAAAAGCACGAAATAGAAAATATGCACAAAGAAACACCCTTATTAAACTGCAAAAAAGAGTGATTTCTTTATGCTTTTTTATGAAGCTATATATTTTTTATGCAGCTATGTAAATAACAGACGATGACTACAAAATTACGGATGATATGCCTTTGATTATGAAAATCCATGGCAAAAGACTGACACCACGAACAAGAGAGAGCTTGTTGTGCTCAGAGGTGCACTGTCCTAGCTCAAACATTGCAAAACATTGGGTCTTGTGATATCGATTTTAGACAAGATACTTACTACAACTATTTGCACAGTTAATTGACAAAAGGCTTCATGATTGACGAAGTTAGCTGTTGCCAAGGCAACCTTAAGCTTATTTCACTGTTGCCACAAGCACCAAAAAGCTCCCGTTTGAAAAGGGTTGCTGCGTGTTCGATAGAAATGAGCATTGGATGAGCAATATGTAACAACTCAGCTGCCAGAGATGAACAAACAAGCCTATAATAGCATTGCCATCTGGGCAGCAGCCAACTTTGCCTTGAATGAAACTATCTTTTTTTTTCTATAATCTTTGCAAGTAAGTGACAAGTACTGCATTAAATGATCAAAACAATACAAAAAATAATAATTACTTCAGCGCAGCAACATGCACACATTCACATTTGAAATAAATGTGAAAAAAACCTCAACACAACGAAACTAAGGGGACGGGATGTTTACGTTTTGTCAATGTCCAGGTTTTTTTTGACGCTTTCTTCAACTATGAATCTGCACCAACTCGCCGAACCCTCACAGCTAGGTCACGCGCAGAATTTCACAAAGCAAGATTATGTGTCAAATACGCACGCCCCTGTACTCTACTAACTGAGCGCGCTTCAGAGAAGGTGTGAATATAAGCAGAGGCACTGTCAATTAACTGCAATCAATGACTGTAAAGGCATCAGGACGTTTGAGGGTAGGGTAGATCGTTCGAACTACAGGGCTGTCCAATCTTGGGGCTAACACCGCCCAGCGTGATCCCACTCCGCAGAGTGGTCCTGCATCCACGGCAGCATATTGGAGCGAACAAAAGGAGCGAAATGACAAGCAGTTTACGGCATCAGCTACAGCACTGGAACACGCTGCTCTTGCGCTGCCGAGAAGTACAGGCAGTGCAGGCACACACCCGTATGCCTTCAAAGATTGCTTTGATGCATGGCCACGCCGAGTGCACCACACAAAGCTGTATTCACTCTAAATGTGGACGGCACTCTGCAACCGATTTAACGAGTGCTCACCTTCGAACAGTGGCGCCAGTATCCATCTGCTGCAGGGACGGGTGCGGCAAGCAGGCGAGCCTTGTGCGCAGTGTGTGGAAAGCCTCGCTCTGGGGTAGCAGCATGAGCAGGCCGTACAGAGACTTGACCAGGTAAGACTGTTGTGGGCTATCTAGCAGCTGCAGGCGCAAGTCTATGCGCAGACAGTCCGGTGCGACACAATCAGCGGCCGAACTCACAGAGGGTGCAAACACTTTGTTCATCCCTTACTGTCAGAATAGGAAATACAGTCGAACCTCGCTACAATGAAACTGACGGGACGGAGAAAATATTTCGTTGAAGCGAAAATTTTGTTGTAGTGAAATCGAAAAAATATAGCTGATCTGAGCTAGCAAAACAAAGCAACGTTTATTCTCAAAATTCAAAAAGTGTCCACTGCTTCCTATTTTTTCCCAGCAGCGTCATGGCGCGATTCTCACCCATGCATAGCAAGGCCATGGTGAAAAGCACCCTGAAACAAGGCCTATAACCGCTTTCCTGAATGAAAAAACAGCTGCATTAGCACGTTAACACCAGCAGCTGTCTGCCGTCAAATCGTATCCTACAATTCTGAGATGGAGGCAGAGTATCGTGGACCGGTGACTTTTGCATTATTCTATGCCATTCTTATCATCCATCACTCGCGGTTAGCTGATTTTGATGATAATTTGGAGGAAATGCCGCTCTGATTAGTGACCACAATGGCCAAGCGCGAATGAAATGATACGCATTGGAATCGAAAAAGGCATCGTTCTGCACAGCTGGGTGAAAAAAACCACGAACTAAGCGACTGAACTTCAGCTTCAGTTTGTCTGTGGCTCAAAAGCAAGCCAGTGGCAAAGGAGGGCAGTCTCATTACCTTCGCTATCGAGCAATGATGGCGCCTATGCTTGCTGAAGGGCGGCGGTTTTTGGTGGTGCCAACGCGTGTTTTAGACTTAGTCACGTACTTTCAAGTTCTGAAGATGCATCGAATGTTAAGAACTGTGTTTACTGTATAGCAATAAATATCTGAGACTGGTATTGCATCGTGAAATTTCGTTGAAGCGGGACGGCAGAAGAAAAAGTGTTCGTTGTGGCGACATCATTCATGCATTGACTCATATGAACTACAGACGACAAACCGTGAATTTTTCATTGTAGCGAAAATTTTGTTGAAGCAGCGTTCGTTATAGCGAAGTTCTACCACCTCCAACCCAAAATTTTGGCTATTCGTACAGCTATAGCATCATGCCACGCTGAAATGCAGTTGCCGTACTTCGAAACACGGTGCAGAAGACAATCACACCAGTGTTGTCAGGAAGCCTAGCAAAACCAAAGCTTTGGAGTTCAGAGAAGCAAATCACCTTTGCTTATATGTAACGATTGAAACTGTAAATGATCCGTCTCTGTGCCGGGCATTACACTGAAACACTCGAAAGTTGCAAAAAAAAAAACTTTGGCAAGGGTGTTGAATGTTCCATTGCCTGTTTGATTTCTCTGGTGGATACTTTCCTCTGCACAGAAAATCGGGACTTTTAGGCCATTCTCATAGAACACAAGTACGTTCAGGTAAAGCATGAACTGCACGTCAACATAAAAGACGATAACTCACATGTGAAAATCGGAGACTCAATCAGCTGTACAAGCTTGTCGATTTCAGTGAGGAACTCGACTGTCACCTCCATGTCGCTGCTGTGATACAAGTAGAAGCTAAGGAAGGAATGTTCACGGAAATATTGATTGCACAATGACAGGCACAATTATTTAAATTGAACCTTTTCACCAATCAGTTTTTATTGTTACATGGTAGGTTGATTACAATGTATAAAATGCACAGCCGACTCCTACACGGAACTCAAAGGGGATCCATAAAGCTGTTCCATTTATCACAAGTTTCATTTAAGTAAAGTACACTTACTTAGTGAATCAAAACCTTTATTCAAGTTGCACAAACCTCACCGTACTCATGAGGATGAGTAGGAGAAAAAAAGGAGTGAAAGGTGGTTCGTTTGGCAAGCTTGAGTTGTTTTTTCACAAGGTACACACCCATTCCCAACAAACTAGCCAGAAATTTTGGACAAGCCTTATGCTCAAAATTGTGCTGCAAAAGTTCAACAGCCCCTTTAGCTGATCGGTCTCGTGGCACCACTACACTGGCAATATTGTCCCCACATTCATCGCTGGAAGGTTAATCGTCATCTTGTACTTCTGCAATCACTTCCTCGACAGTTTCCTTACGACAGGTGCGAACATTTTCACCAACTGGTTCGTAGTCCTGCAGCGTGAATGGGGCAGAGGGCACGACCTCACTGAATACTGCCTCAATGTCGGCATCAGCAGGGCTTTGTTCTTCATCAGGTACAGCTTCTTGCACTTGAAAGCCAGCATGATGAAAGCATCTGTATATTGTTGTTGCCTTCACTTGCTCCCAGGCATGGGCCAAAATAAGAATGGCTGCCAATAAATCTATGCTGCAGCATTTCCCACTGTCTGCACCAACTAGCAATCGATGGAGCAATTGTCTGCGGTAATGAACTTTAATGTTCTGAGTAATCCCTTGATCTATCGACTGGATCACTGCCGTTGCATTGGCTGGCAAGAACTCCAGAGCGATGGCTTCGAGTCAACCTGACCGTGGGCTGGGCAATTATTCATGATGAAGACAATCTTCCTGCCTTGCCTCAAAACTCTTGCGTCTTCCTGCCGTAGCCAGTTTTCGAAAATGGTCATGGTCATACACGCTCTTCCGTTTGCATGGTACGCAACGGGAAGGTGTCGAACGCCTTTGAAACATTGTGGGTGCCTTGATTTTTCCATTACCAACACCTTCAATTTCTCATCTCCTGCCTTGTTTGCACCGACCAGCACAGTGATGCGATCTTTACTGCATTTTCCTCCACTACAGGCTTCACCTTTGAAGGTGAGAGTCTTTGATGGAAGCGCCTTATAAAAAAGACCCATCTCGTCTACGTTAAGACATCTTGTGGCTCAAAGCTCATCAAAATTTCCTTAAAAGTCACCCCTTTTGCCAGTCGGTGCAAACGTCCCTGTTGACTGCAGTACGCTCACCTGAGATTGCTTTGAAGATTAGGCCATGGCGTGTTTTGAAGCGGCTGAGCCATCCGTCGCTTTGGACGAAGTTCTCAACAGCCATTTTCATGGCGATCTCTCAAGCTCTGTGCTCGAGAATTGGTCCGCTTATGAGCAAACTGGAACTCTGTGCACGCTTGAACCAGAGAAAAAGAACTTCTTACTTGTTTCTAAGGGGTCGTCCACATCCTTTTAGATGTAAAGGTCCCGTTCTTTACAGTGCCTTCAATCTTTTCTCTGCCTTTGCAGACCCGCGACAGCGTCGACTTCGAGATGTATTTTTTCGCCCCTTCTGTCTTGGGCAGGCCACTCCTGGAAAATTTTTAGCTTTTTTTCAAGCAAGAGTGCATAGTGCGGCGGCTTCCTTTCCATCAAACTAAAAAAACACTGTGATCCACCGCACTTAGCTGCACAAGCTTGTCGATTTCAGTGAGGAACTCGACTGTCACCTCCATGTCGCTGCTGTGATACAAGTAGAAGCTAAGGAAGGAATGTTCACGGAAATTGATTGCACAATGACAGGCACAATATTTAAATGAACCCTTTCACCAATCAGTTTTTATTGTTACATGGTAGGTTAATTACAATGTAGTAAAATGCACAGCCGAACTCCTACACGGAACTCAAAGGGGATCCATAAAGCTGTCCATTTATCACAAGTTTCATTTAAGTAAAGTACACTTACTAGTGAATCAAAACCTTTATTCCAGTTGCACAAACCTCACCGTACTCATGAGGACGAGTAGGAGAAAAAAAGGAGTGAAAGGTGGTTCGTTTGGCAAGCTTGAGTTGTTTTTTCACAAGGTACACACCCATTCCCAGACAAACTTAGCCAGAAATTCTGGACAAGCCTTGATGCTCAAAATTGCGCTGCAAAAGTTCAACAGCCTCTTAGCTGATCGGTCTCGTGGCACCACTACACTGGCACTATTGTCCCCACATTCATCTGCTGGAAGGATTAATCGTCATCTTGTACTTCTGCAATCATTTCCTCGACAGTTTTCTCACGACAGGTGTCGAACATTTTCACCAATTGATTCGTAAGTCCTGCAGCGTGAAAGGGGCAGAGGGCACGACCTCACTGAATACTGCCTCAATGTCAGCATCAGCAGGGCTTTGTTCTTCATCAGGTACAGCTTCTTGCACTTGAAAGCCAGCATGATCAAAGCATCTGTATATTGTTGTTGCCTTCACTTGCTCCCAGGCATGGGCCAAAATGTGAATGGCTGCCCATAAATCTATGCTGTAGCATTTCTCACTGTCTGCACCAACCAGCAATCGATGGAGCAATTGTCTGCGGTAATGAACTTTATTGTTCGGAGTAACCCCTTGATCTATCGGCTCGATCACTGCCGTTGCATTGGCTGGCAAGAACTCCAGAGCGATGCCTTGGAGTCAACCTGACCGTGGGCGGGGCAATTATCCATGATGAAGACAACCTTCCTGCCTCGCCTCATAACTGTTGCGTCTTCCTGCCGTAGCCAGTTTTCGAAAATGGTCATGGTCATACACGCTCTTCCGTCTCCATGGTACGCAACGGGAAGGTGTCGAACGCCTTTGCAACATTGTGGGTGGCTTAATTTTTCCATTACCAACACCTTCAATTTCTCATCTCCTGCCTTGTTTGCACCCACCAGCACAGTGATGCGATCTTTACTGCATTTTCCTCTACTACAGGCTTCACCTTTGAAGGTGAGAGTCTTTGATGGAAGCGCCTTATAAAAATGACCCATCTCGTCTACGTTAAGACATCTTGTGGCTCAAAGCTTATCAAAATTTCCTTAAAAGTCACCCCCTTTGCCAGTCGGTGCAAACGTCCCTGTTGACTGCAGCACGCTCACCTGAGAATGCTTTGAAGATTAGGCCATGGCGTGTTTTTAAACGACTGAGCCATTCGTCGCTTTGGACGAAGTTCTCAACAGCCATTTTCATGGCGATCTCTCAAGCTCTGTGCTCGAGAATTGGTCCGCTTATGAGCAAATTGGAACTCTGCTCACGCTTGAACCATAGAAAAAGAACTTCTTCTAGTTGTTCATAAGGGGTCGTCCACATCCTTTCAGATGTAAAGGTTCCGTTTTTTACAGCGCCTTCAATCTTTTCTCTGCCTTTGCAGACCTGCGACAGAGTCGACTTCGAGATGTTGTATTTTTTGGCCTCTTCCGTCTTGGGCAGGCCATTCCTGAAAAATTTTCAGCTTTTTTTCAAGCAAGAGTGCATGGTGCGGCCGCTTCCTTTCAGTCAAACTAAAAGAACACTGTGAGCCACCGCACTTAGCCCGCACACAATCAGGCCTAACACATACTGACTCGCCGACAGCTCCCACCAGCCATAGAGTTCCTAAAATTAATTAGAGGGGACTTTGGTGCTACGATCGTTCAGCGACCATGGGAATGATGGGTAGTACACGCATTTGACTAGTCTTCGTACTTGCGGGCGGTGAATCGTACTTGCGGCATGTTCATTGCTGTGTTCGGTTTGTTTTTGAAATAAAGATTCTAACCTTTTGAACTTCGCGACCCAATTTTGGAACGTTAATAAAATAATGAGGGTGGTGAATCGCAAACGTGACATTTTGCATGATCGTTGTTTCATGAGAAACAGCTTCAAGCCACACACACAAACACACAGAGCCAAAGCAGGCCAAAGTCCGAGATTAGACAAATGTGTGTACCTACCATCATTCCATGCTCGCTGAAGTGCCGTGCTTGCAGCTCCCATAGACACTAGCGCCAGAGTTCCCTCTAGTGTATATTAAGAAACTCTATGCCCACAGCCACCGCAAGCGAGAATGGCTACTGGATTGGCTTCTCGAGGTGCTGTCATGGTTGTGAGACTACTTCTGGCCTGAGCGAGTCTATGCTGTGTTTAGAGTTTGTGCCATTTAATCGTAGGTGACCAATAAGCACTGTTTCGATCAACCGATGAATTTTACTGCACAACACATAGAAATCCAGCCACATGTGCTCGTTTAGTTTTATTAATGAGGCATTTTCGTTTAAGCGAGTTTTGTCTATTGGGAGTCCACTGTACAGAGATTCCTTACAAGGCCTTTTGCAGCCACTTTTTCTTCTCACGGCATACCACAAAATGGGACTGCGTCATAGAAGTAGGTTCCATAAACATGTAACAAACTGCACGTGCCTGTTTAGTTCAAAAAATACGAATCAGTGCCATAACGTCTAGCATCATTGCAAACTCAGTTAGCGAGTTTATAAAAACAAAACAAAAAAACAAACAGATAATACGTTTGTCATATGTTGGTAAAAAGTATCAAAGTACTAATCAAACATTGAAGATTCATTAAAACACCATGCTAATGAAAGCCCAAGACATCTAAGTTTTTGCGCAATAAAATTTTTGAACTAGTGATTTCTGTTAAAAGGGCTTTTTTTCATTCGGCTTACTAAGAATTAACACAACTAACCAGGAAGCCTCCCATTTCTGAGAACGCACACCTGTGGCGTACTTTGTTACAGTAGGTTAGAACTCTTCAGTGAAGCACAATTCAAACAACTGCTGAGTGCACCTTTTGCAGCATCGGTGCCGATTACGACACAGAGCTTTATCACTGTTCTTTGTTCAAAAATTGAGGGCCCGTTTAACGTCATCAAAGTGCCATTTCATAAATGGTACTGGCAATAAAAAAAAAGATAAAATATGATGTCTCATGCAGATGATGAGACGGCAATGCAGTGATGGTAACATGAGGAGCATTTGCGTGATTACACTCAAACTTTGATATAACAAAACCGGATATAATGAAATATCCCTCACAATAAAGTAAACTGAAAATGGTCTTGCAGTAGGTATAGTATTAGAAGTTAACCTCCACAACAAATTTTCGAGTATAACGAACTTATTTTCATGTAAGATGCAACTTTCTTATAATGAGGTTTAGGGTATGGCCTCCTCAGTGTGATTACTGTTTAAGCGCTTAAGCACACCACTCACAAAGTGGTTTGACACTAGTAATAATGACATGACAAAAGTTTTCTTATTCGGTTGCAAAGTGTAATAAGAGCTCGTTTGTTTGGCACTCATTAATTCAGAAAATTGGATAATTCAAACATATTCTTTGTGTGAGGAACGAAGCCCCTTCTTCCCTCTTATTTATAACACTCTGGTCCTGGAGAGTGTGTTATTTAATGATTTTTGGTGATTCAGTCATATATGGCCACAACTCTGCTAATTCAAATGCTCCGCAGAGAGCGCCGAGCGCAAAGTGCTGTATATGTAGGATAGAAAAGAATTAAATAGTGTTCGCTGACAGCTGAAATGACTGGACTTTCGGAAAGGTGTCGTCCCCACCCGAAGTTGTGTTTTCGGTATGTTACAAAGCATGGATACAAAGCAGGTTTCAGATTAAAACATGAAGTTCTTTCATTGTTAACATTGTGAACAACGACGAAAGCTGCGGCTTTTGCACTGCTCCTATGTAAAATATTTATTGGATTTGCATATGCCTAGAGAAAATGAAGGTGCATTGATGAATACACATTCGTTCATTGTGGGTTGATGAATACATACATTCTTGTTTTCTCAATACTTTCAGTAAATCAGCAGTCGCTTGTTTCAGACAGTTTTTTTTTCAGTCTTGTAAAATCTGACTTCACGAGCTTTTACTGTATAACATCACTCCACATATATATAATCAGGTATGATCCTTGCGATTGGTTAGGTCCGACATCCCATCACAGCATCGTCATTTCAGTGCCACAATGTGAGACAAGTTTTGTGAGATTGGCACACTTGATCAGCATGTTGCTGTATGAGAAGTACCCAGACGAGTGGCAATTAACCACATTAAGGTACGCGTAGGCTTTATGAATAGTATTGTAGTTAAACTACCGAATGCCTACACAGCATTAAACGTACGCTCGAACCTCATTAAAAGAAAGTTACATCACACACAGAAAAAGCTTTGTTATATCGAAAAATTTATTGTAAAGGCAATATTTCTAACACTACAGTTATTGCGAGACTACTCTTGCTTTACTTTGTTATAACTGATATTTTGTTATATCAAGGTTTGAGTGTAGCAGTTTCCATTCTGCAAATGATACAAGAGGTGCAGCAGGGAGCAGGTGTGCTCGTAGTTCTGGGTGAGCAGGCACAGGGATATTGTGGCGACTGGGTTGTGGCACCACGACTGGTACAGGCAGCAGAACAGCGAGCAGCTCTCCTACACACAGAGCATGAAAAACGGAGGCATTCTTTAGCACAAGAGGTTCGACAACACTCGGGAACACCCCAAGGCAATGAAAATATTCCTTTCCTTCAAACACACACACAAAAAAACAACAACACTGTACTGCTTATTGGCGCTTGGTCAGCACCAATCGTAATGACAGTCTGCTTCTGCTATCTGTAGAATCAACCAGCCAAGAGTAGCGGAAGACAAGACGAGCACTGTACAGTCGAACCCGGGAATATCGCACTCGCCAAAAAAACGTTTATTAGTTCGATATATGGCATAATTCGATATAGGCCTGGTATAGGTTTTGACACAAAGGCACATAACAAACTAGAAAAAAAGTACTTTATTAATATGGTAGCTTACTGCGTGCCCTGCTGTGGAACAAAATAGTCCCAGATTCTTTTCTGTGTCAATGGCTTCGCTGCCTGCGACAGCACGCATGACTCCACGTTGTTCAACGAGTCGGAGCAGCTGAGGCCGCAACCTTCCACATTCAAGCAATAGCGCCGGACCAACGCAAGTGCACTAATCACTTCGGAGGATGTAGGCAATGGGCCGTTGTCGATTTCCATATTGCTGTCGCTTTGGCTCGTGGTCGGCATGACGTCTGCAATGTAATCCTCATCCTGTAATTGGCCCATGATGGGTATATCGTCGTCCGCACTGACGAACTTGTCGAATGTCGATCCGTCGATAGCTCCTGGGAACTCTGCCAGCTCGTTCCAAACTTTGGCGGAAACACCTGTGGTGTCTTCAGTGCTGTCAGAATTTGGGGTGTCATCACCAGGCATGCAGAAGCCGGCATGCCTAAAGCAGTTCTGGATCGTCTCCTCCTTGACATCTGCCCACGATCTACTCAACATAGAAATAGCTCCGAGCAAGTCGATCTTAAGCTCCCTGCCGACACGAAGGTTCTGCAGCAGCCTCTCCACCAGGCGCTTCCGATAGCTGGCTTTCATTGCGCGTATAACCCATTGATCCAGTGGTTGCAGTACAGACGTAGTGTTCGGGGGCAAAAAATGCAGCTCCATGTTGCTGAAGGTCGTACTGCAGTGGTGCGATGAACAATTGTCCACGAGCAGGCACACCTTGCGATTTTCACCTACCAAATCATCATTCCACGACGATAGCCATCTGCTGAAAAGCTCCCCGGTCATCCACGCTTTTGAATTTGCTCTGTAGGTAACTGGAAGCGACAGTGCAAATGGAAAACACCGCGGTGCCGTGCTTTTTCCGATAACCGAAAGTCGAAGCTTTTTCAATCCGTCTAAATTAGCTGCCAACAGCACGAACACACGAGCTTTGTTTGCCTTGCCCACCGCTTGTCTTGTCGCCACGACACAAAGTGTCTTGTTTGGCAACATTTGCCAAAATTGAGCGGTTTCATCTGCATTGAAGATATCTTGGGCTCTATATCTTGCTGCGATATCTCGCCAGTTTTCCTCGAGCCATTTTTCTACGCTGTCCAGGTCCGCCGCTCTGCTTTCACCTGTAACAGCTTTGCCAACGATGTCGTGCCGTTCTTTGAACCGCTGATGCCAGCCTGAACCGCCTTGGAAATCATTCCTGCCAAGCAGAAAAGCAAGGTCCTTGGCTTTCTGCTCGATCATAGGGCCGGACACTGGGATGTTTCGCGACCGAACGTCCACAAACCACTTGTAAACGGCCACTTCAACATCTTCGTACACAGCAGCGCGCACACGTCGGCCGCCACGGGCACCTGGCCTTTTGTCCGACTTGGCCCTGATGTCTGCCTTGTTCTTCAGAATAGTACTCAAGGTGCTCCTTGGAATTTTGTACGCGGCAACGACGTCGGACTTCTTTTCACCGCGCTTAACCCGATTGATGATTTCGAGTTTCGCGGCGAACGGCGAATTTTGCCTCTTTGCGCAAGCCATGATGACAGCACGCCAATACAGTTCACAGAGCACCAACAGGCAACACCACAGATCATGCCTAATCGGCAGCAGCAGGCACACAAGCATAAAGAAAGAAAAACTAGCGCTCAATTCTACTGCCTTCGCACCTTGAAGAAAGCGCTTCGGCTTCTGATTGGCTGTAGGCACTGCAAGTGGGCCAGGATCATTTCTTAGAGGGAGGTGTTCGCCCATGCACAACCGGGTCTAACCAACATTTTCTAGGGTGGCGCCGGCAGCTTTCCCCACCACCGCGAGGGAGAGCCAACTTGCTAGAGCACTTTTGAGGCACATGGAGTTTGATATATCAGTTGTCGTTGCTATTTTCTTTCGATAAAACAGTAACTTTAGCTATATATTCTCAATGTAAACTTACCGTGTTTAGGAATTGTTCGATATACGGGATAATTTGATATAAACGGGTGCGATATAGCCGGGCTCGACTGTATAGCAAACAACACACTATTACAATATAGAGCAGAATCTCAGTGATACGAATCTCACGGGGGAGTGAAAATTTTCATGTCACCTGATATTAAGTATCACAAAAAAAATTGACCAATGATTCTGAGACTGCCTACAGGAAATTCTGTGAAAAGCTGTTTATGTGTTATGATTTTGCAACAAGTTGAGGCAAGCAATTTTAGAGAGACGTATACGTATGTACAGTTGATTGACTGATTGATTGATATGTGGGGTTTAACGTCCCAAAACCACTGTATGATTATGAGAGACACCGTAGTGGAGGGCTCCGGAAATTTCGGCCACCTGGGGTTGTTTAACGTGCACCCAAATCTGAGCACATGGGCTTACGACATTTCGGAAATGCATCCGAAAAATGCAACTATCGGAAATGCAGCCGCCACAGCAGGGATTCAATCCCACCACCTGCGGGTCAGCAGCCGAGTACCTTATAGCCCCTAGATCAACACGGCGGGCATCGCGCATTTGTTGATCACACACTACATTTCTGGACATCATCTCATACTAGCTCATCCGGGGCCGTATATACAGTTGCATACGATGCGTTGAGTAACGTGACTTGCGCAGACCATTTCGTGTAATTCCTTTCACATGAACTGCCATAAACAAGAGCATGGCGTCACCCCCTCGCTACCCAAGAGACCGTAGAAGGCAAGCGTTCCACAACAGCTGCCGCAGACAGGCCTCTGTTCATGCAGAGCTTTGTTGCCATATGTGGCACTGGTGGATGGCCTTGCTACATGCTCCATGATTCTTTCTGACGATTCCTTTCAGCCCCCTGCAGTCATTTTTCTTCGCTGCGATCACCAATACAAAGTCAAACGAGCCATATGTCACACTTATCGTTTTGCTAATTCATTCATGCCACACCCTCTCATAGAATGAAACTATTTATCATCTCACATAACTACCGGGAAAACAAAGACGTAACGAAATTTCAAGATATTCTACCCACTGAGCGTATTATCTAAATGTGCTGTCCTGCGATTTTTAAAAAATAGCATATCCCTTTGGTTAGTCTCAGTGTACTTCCTTGTATGTTTCGTATTTACTTATCGAGTTCTGAACCCACCTTTTTTACAGAAAAGTTGACACTAATTTGGGTGGAGGTTTCATTACGCGGGAGAAAGAAATAAGTCACGGGAATTATAATACCTAAAACTTCGCTTGGCGGTATTGCTTGTTTTGGCCCGTGAAATGCACGACAAATCTTTTTTTTTTTGATAGCCCGAAGCTCTTTTTGTTTCCTCCTATAATGAAAACGCACGGATCGACGCCGAAGTGTCCTCCAGCCACCCGGTTTCAACGCTCCAGCGCATGCTGTTAGTAACCAGCCGTGTAGCTAGCGCACCGGCCGAACGCGCCCTGCGCGGCAGGTGTCCCAACTAAGTTCACGACAACAAACCAAACAACATAAACGCAGCGTCGGATGGCGGAGCACAAACGTTGCGGTAGACATTGCAGATGCACAACGTGCCATTGACGCAATGAGTGCGGTTGCGCATTGCATAAGTCTGAGAAGGCGAACACATGGCGCGTTTCTGCGCCGTGTGCGCGACGTTTTGGAGACCGGGCTTTTTGTTTTTGTGCTGCTGTGCTTTCGTGTTGCTATCAGCAAAGAAATTTCTCATGCGTTCACCAGATGGCGCTTTGCCATAAAAGGCAGATTATAAAGGAAAGACTGCAGGCATGCATAGAGGATTAGGGGGTGCTGGGGGAACTACAGAATGGGTTTCGGAAACACAGGAGATTGGAAGACAATGTGTTCTCACTGACGCAGTGCATCAAAATAGCAGTAAAGGAACACAGGCCCCAGTGGCTAGCATTTTTGGATATCAAGGGAGCGTACGATAGCGTGGTTCAAGAGTAATTGTGGGGAATACTGGACACTCTAGGTGTGGAAATGTAGTCACTAATCTTTTAAATGATATCTATAAAGGTAACAAGGTAATTATTATAAAGAGGGAAAACAGATATCCAAGCCCGCAGAGGTAAAACGGGGGCTTAAACAGGAGTCCCTTTCACCCTTATTATTCATGATGTACCTACAAGGATTAGAGGCCAAATTAGAGGGAAGTGGAGTGGGCTTCAACCTCTCTTTCGTCAAACAAGTAAAACTCATTGAACAGGCACTACCAGCATTGATGCACGCCGATGATATAGTGCTAATGGCCAACAACAAGGCAGATTTGCAGAGATTTGAGGACATCTGCGGTAATGAGGGAGATAGGTTAGATTTCGAATCAGTAAGGAAAAATCGGCAGTGATGATTTTTGATGATAATGAAGGTAGTGAGCTTAGAATACAGGAAGTCGCGCTAGAGATAACAGGTAAATACAAATATCTGGGCGTATGGATAAGCATTGGTGCCTAGCACCTTAAGGAAGACGAAACATACGTGGCGACTAAAGGTAACAGGAATGCAGCGGTAATGAAAAACAGGGCACTGTGGAATTCCAATAGGCATGATGTTGTGAGAGGAATATGGAAAGGGGTCATCGTTCTTGGTCTGACGTTCGGCAATGCGGTCTTGTGCATGAGATCAGAAGTTCAAACAAGATTAGAAATTAAGCAACGAGGAATAGGTAGGTTTGCCTTAGAAGCTCACGGGAATACACCAAATCAGGGAGTACAAGGTGATATGGGATGCACATCATTTGAGGGCAGGGAAGCTAGCAGCAGGATAAAATTTGAGAAGCGATTGAGAGAAATGAAGGAGGAGCGTTGGGCTAGGAAGGTTTTCAGCTACTTGTACATGAAGAATGTCGACACAAATTGGAGGAAGTGAACCAGGAAGTTGACTGGTAAATACTTAGAAAACAGCAGGTGGCCAAACCAAAAAGAACTATCGGTTAAGAAGAAAGTGAATGAAAACGGAGACTGACATGTGGAAAATGGGCATGATTAAGAAGTCCGCACTAGAGATCTATCAAACTTTTAAAAAGGAAATTGCCAAGGAAAGGATCTATGATAATACTCGGGGTAGTTCTCTACTGTTTGAGGCAAGGACGGGAGTACTGCGAACCAAGACATATCGGGCCAACTACGAAGGGGTAGACACAGTATGCAGTGCGTGTGGAGAGGAAAAAGAAACTGCCGAACACTCGATAATGTTCTGTAAAGGGCTTCACCCTATAGTTCAGGATGATGGCGCAAAGTTTTTCAAAGCACTTGGGTTTAGAGACCGGGAGGGCAAAATAGACTTTAAGCAAGTAGACTTAACTAGAAGGAGGTTATCTGATTGGTGGCTAAGGTCAAGGCACGAGTGAAATTTAAACCCTTCACTGCAAAGTACGAATCCCCAGCCTCAATATTTAAAGAAAAAATAAATAAATATAGTTTTTGGTTCATTAAGTATTACGGCTTGGTGGCGCTAGCCACCGCCCGGTCTAAAGGGTACAGCCATATCCATCCATTCATCCACGACTTTAAAATATCCTACTTACGTCGACCACGCTCGCGACTGTTTGGCATAATTGCAAAACTAAGTTTTCACTTTTATTGCGCTGTTATTTTGTGATATATTCGTTTGATTTAACATTGTTTTGATCGTCAACAGCACTGGCTATAATGCCGACATAAAAGAATAGATAGATAAAGACGTTTTCTTTTCTTTTTTCAAAGACCAAGGTGGAAGGTGGGTTCTTTAAGAAGTGGGTTCATTAAGCGAGTAAATACGGTATTTCGTGTACCCTGTTTGAGAAGGCGTTACGTAACTGCCTGTTGCTTGCACTTCTAGCTTTTTATTACCACTTGTGTATAGTTATTTCAGTTCCTGATTTCAACTCCAGAACAACTGACAACTTTCCTGTTGAGAGCCAACAGTTTGATAAATGTTCAGTACGCATGAATCTAAACGAGACAAAATTTTTTTACTGTAACAACTTGTATGCCCGATGTCTCGAACTTATCACGCTATTTTGCGGTGAATCTGGTCTCTAAAGACAAGGTGGCTCAAATATCAATGTGTTTCGGGTCAAAGTTACTCCGGTAGAACTTGATCTGAAGTGGTAAATATAAACATGAGCATTACTTAACCCTAAATTGTCCTACACTTGAACCTCATTATAACGAAGTTACATATTACATGAAAATAAGTTCGTTATATCCAAAACTATGTTGTGATAATATATTCCTATCACCATGTTGCAAAACTCATCTTCATTTACTTCATTATAACCAATATTTCGCAACATCCGGGTTCCACATATCGAGGTGTGAGTGTATTTCAATCAATAAGTGCCATACGCAGAGGTGCCATCTTGGTGTGGAGGTCCTTGAGCTAGTCGCGCAGGTCAAACAGTTTGGTGGAAGTGAGCAGAATAGTGTTGAGGGTTTGCACCATGTGTGCCGTAAAGCGCAGGTCCTCTCTGCCCAGCAGGATCTCGGACAGGTACTGGTAGATGTCCTCCGCGCTCAACAGCACGCACAGCTGCCTGGGCCATCGCAGGACAAGCACACAATTTTTTTTCTTAGAATAAGAATAAGGCGTTTTATTTTACACTGAAAATGTTTTCGAAATTATTGAGAGAAAAACTGGGAAAATGCTTTCACTAGTAGATGTCTGTTTACAGGAAACACAGGCCTTGAAAGCTTTTTTAGTTTTGTTTTTCATATGAGATGAAACTTGTCGAGTTTATGTATACACTTGCACACAGTCCTAAAATTATACAATAATTTGCCTAGCACAGTCGAACACGGCTATATCGAACCCACAAATATCAAATTTTCGGGTATATCGAACTCGCTAAATATCCCCTTGAAACTCCTTTGTAGAAGTATAGAGATTCGCACGCTTATATAGAACGGTATCTTTACCCGCCTTCGGCATCCGCGCTTCGGCACCTGCAGCAGCGCCCAGCGACCTCAATGCAGCGCGACGCCTCCGCCGAAGCTCGAAACGCTTGAAAAAAGGTACGGGCGAGAGGGCTCGGACTGCACAATCTCATACTTTCGGAACACTATTTTTTTCGTTTCTCTTTCTCAGTGCTTTCTCAGTGTACCCGTCTGCAGAAACGAAGGAGTCGACGCTCTTCTCTTTACGCCTTTTCTTTTACTCTTTTGCTGCTGTTTTTCGAGTTTTTATCAGCCAACTACAGTTCGCGCCTTTTGCTGTTGCTCTCGCAGGTGGCCATCGTCTCGCGACCACTGTGTTGCTGCCGTTCGCGCGTCACCTACGCACCACCGCTTGTGCAGCATTTTTCTGACGCATGCGTGGTGTGCAAAGCTGCTACCGACTCCTTGAATTGTCGACTTCTCGTGTTCAAGAAGCGCAAGACCCTTGACTTTGCGACGAAGTTGAAGGCTATTCAGCGTGTTTAGGCGGGCGATAAATGTTCGCCCGTCATGGACTACTTCGGGATACCATGGAGCATTCTGGGTACCTTGTTGAAAAGAAGGCAGATATCTAAGCAAAGGCGGCGGAGCAGCGAACGTCGGGAGCTTGTCATGTGTGCGCTTTTGCCCATTGGAATGTAGAGAAGGCACTCTATGCCTGGTTTTTATAAGTGAGCACAAAGAACATTCCGGTTCGCCAAGGCCAAACGGTCTGCCACTGCACTCAGTGGAGCCGAAAACACCGGGTGGCTTCACCGATTTAAGCAGGGCTACAATATCGTTGGCAAAACCAACGCTGGCAAAAGCGAATCTGTCAGCAGCCAGGACATGCAGCAGTGAATGATGAAGGAGTGGCCGGATATAAGTTTCCTCCCGCGGAGATCTTCAATGCCTGGCGAGACGTGAAGACGAACTATGGTGGTCAACTGCCTCCTCAAGGCAGGCTTCGAGATGGCGGAACTTGCGGGAACCAGTGAAGACGACGACGACAAGCGCATAGACGACGCGTTTCGCAAGTGGTCGTCCCGCTTCTCGGCAGCAGTTCCATGCGATGACTTAGTGGAAGCGGAGTGTAATGTCCAGGCCGACAGCTCATGTGACGAGGAGGATTGGCCGGACGACGCGCTGCTACACGCACGTAATCTGCCGCTAAATTGTGGCGGCAGCGTTTGGCATCAATCGCCGTTGCATCAGCCGCATGGAGGGAACCGGGCTGTTGCACCTGGACAGCCTTGAAAGATCGAGACCAGCATCTTCAACATTTCGAAAACAAAAAATAGGCCAAGACAGGTGTTCTTCTTTCTTCATGCAAATAAATTATTGTATCGCCGCGTGTGTGTGGAAATAGTGGTCATTCTTGAATGCACTTATTGTAGGTGATGATTCACTACAAGTAAGCTCTCGGGGTCCCTATTTTTTTACATAGAATTTTTCATGACTCGTGATTCCCTTCGAGTTCGATATATCCGTGTTCCACTGCTACACCATTCAGTTTCTTACATATGGAACATCTTATATGCTATTAGGAGCAAGAGTTTGCTTAAACTGAGAGCTAATGCAAAGTAATAAGCACGTTAGAGTAAGCATGTTAGAATGAGGAATGATTACTGAATTAAAGTAAACAATGACGGATGTTGCAAAGCCTATCTGGGCAAAAGTTATAATAACCTGAACATTTCCAGGTGCATACCGTAATTACTCAAATCTAACGCGCATATTTTTTTCCGATTAAGCGAATTCATAATTCGCATGCGCGTTAGAATCGAGTATGAAAGAAAAATGAGTACGGTCATTTTAGTGCCATTGGCATTTCCAAAATGGCTGCCTCCATACGTGCAGTCGGCATGACGCGTTGGCCATTTCTGCCTATGTTTCCAATGGCGGCACTTCGTACGTGTGCTGAGGAGTTCGTCATATTGTAATGCATTAGCATCGATGGCATGGAAGGTCCGACTCCAAAAACTCGAAGAGTGCACCACGATGCCGCTTTTAAAAGAAAAGTCATCGCATGTGCAAAAAACCGGACGGAAATCCGGCCGCATCACGGTCATTCGGAGTTCCCGAAACGTGCATGCGGGGACTGGCGGAAACAAAAGCAGAAGAGTGTCGACAGCGAAGCTTCATGCAAAGGCTTCAGTGGACCACAGCAGGGTCGGTTTCCGCAAATCGAAGAGCTGCTCGGTGAGTATGTGCTTGAGCAGCGAGCGGCACAGTGGCCCGTGACTGACAGAACTGCTCCAAGTGCAGGCTATGCAGTTAGCCATAGAAAAAGGGCTAATGCAGAGCCACTTTAGAGCGAGCAGGTGCTGGCAAACTAAATTTATGAAGAGAAAAGGCTTTTCTTTCCGAAGGCTAACGGGCATATGCGAAAAGTTTCCGGAGGAGTACGATGAAAAGCTTCACAGCTTTCAGAGGTTCGTCCTTAACTTGCGGCACAACAACGGCTGCCTGCTTGGGCAAATCGGAAATGCCGATCAGACGCCTCTTTACTTCGACATGCCTGGCACCACAACCGTTGAGAAGAAGGGGGCGAAGCAAGACTGCGTGCTGACATCGGGCCAGGGTAAAACTAGAGTGACGGCAATGCTCTGTTGCACGTCAGATGGGCACAAGCTTCCCCCATACCTCATATTTAAATGGAGGACGTTTCCGAAAGGAGTCGTTTTTCCCGAGTAGTGTGATCATGCGGCCCAACGAGAAAAATGGGTGCGCGATGCAATCAATGTGTTACTTTTTTTTCTTTTCATCATGGAAACCGGGTGCGCGTTACAATTGAGGGCACGGTAGAATCGAGTAAATATGGTATGTCAAGCTGTGATTTCAGATACAAATGTGTCTAGAAACTTCGTCATTCCTTCCTTGCAAGACGCACCAGCCTTCTACCCACACACTACCTGCACGACAGCCCCGTCGTGGTGGCCTAGCAGTTATCGCGCTCGACTGCTGACCCAAAGTTCATCAGATCGAATCCCGGCTCCGGCAGCTCATTTTCAATGGAGGGAAAAATGTTCAGGCCCATGTACTAACATTTACGTGCACACTATAAAACCCCAGCTGGTGGAAATTTTCAGAGCCCTCCACTACGGCGTCTGTTACAATTACGTCATGGTTTTGGGACATTAAAGCAGATATTAGTGTTATTATTTTTACCTACATGACGGGCCGACGTGCGTCGATGAGGAACTTGGGAAAAAAGCACGTGAAAGCAAGAAGTAGCTTCCACTCACTCCACGTGGCGCCCTGTTAACCATGCTGCTCGCGTTCCCAAATCGATATCAAAAAGTACCCTTCCGCGAGCAAAAGCCCGCTTCTTGTGCTGTTTTGAACTGTTCGATGTTCAATGTATGAAGTGCTCCAGCTATTTTTGGTTATGTAGCTGTAAGTATTCTTGTGCACTGATGTTAAAGCATGGCATTGCTCGAAAATGGTTTGATATAAAGAATAGTTAAATTTATCCTAGTTGAATGCACTACTCAAGTTTGACTGCACAAGCCTTTATTATAGCTCTGATAGCCAAGGCTGATATTCACACTCAACATGCCCAGACATTTAGCACTCCATAAGCAAGATAAATATTTTTCACTTATTGCCATTCTAAAAATTAACATAAACGGCATTTACTGTTATCTTCTATTCTTAAGGCCAGTGTAAAACTTATGCGACTTGCACTTGTGATGTTTGAATTACAGTTAAACCTGGATATAATGAAATTCATAAATTCCTGAAAAAATTCACTATAAAAAGGATTTCGTTATATGCAGGTTCAGTATGAAAATTCGAAAATAAACGTGCAAATAAACAAAAAGGAAACTGAAGGCAGAGCTAACCTAAAACATTCATTTTACAGCAAAAAAGTGCGTTATTATTGCGGCAGCAATTCTATGGACGCTCTCGGCCGGTATTTACTGTCACAGCCATGTTCCGTAATAAGTCCAAATTGACCACATGCCCCCCCTCATCTTTACTTTCAGGAGTGGGTAAAAGCATGCGAGCGCCGCAGAAGCAGAGATCAAATGAGTCGGCCCATCCCTATCGTCTGGAAAGTGCATAAAATAACATTGCCTGTGTGTTAGAACTGCCGTCTAATGTTCGATCAGATAGTAAACCACCCGTCTTGAACGAGCATGAAACAACGCGGGAAGGGGAATCGCTCGAGTAGTAATAATGAACTTGTATTTTAAGTGCGCTCGTGCTGTCTCGCCGAGTATCAGTGCGGTCTCAACTCGAAAGGACTGTGTGAAAAGAGCACTTCTCCCTGGAGCGGCCGCATTTGCTCCCACCAGCGTTTTGTAGGAGTTCTGCGTTATTGGATTCAAAAGAGTTGGCTACCAGCCTTACTTCTTATAACATTACAATTTTTCCCTATCGTGTTCATTGCATTCCATTCAACAGCCTGTCGTGTTGTTGCCAGAACTAATCGGCTAATCGCGAAAAGCTACCAGTCTGCGAACTCGCGGCGCAAGACGGAAGCGCGTGACGAGTCGACCTCCGAATATCCATCGTCACCGTGGCCTCGAAGAGTTTCCATCAGCGCCCAATCTGACATACCCTCTGGGATTGACGACACGGTTGTCCGAAGTTAACAAAAGTCACAGTTTCGCCGCAACAGCGAAGCAATGCAATAGCAACAACTTGGGAATTAACGCCGAGAACAGCAAGCAGGTTGAAACGGGCAGCGCGCTGCTCACACACAAATGACACACGAAAACAACATACACAGGACGAGAGCGAACTAACAACGTTCACCACTCGACACTTAAAGGGAGCCCTGAAACACTTTTTCAAGTAACTATGGAATAAACCATGATTAAAATTGGACCTCTCTAGTGATTCTGACAAGGTTATTGTCTTACAATTTCAATGCTGAAAAATCTTAGGAATCCGTCCAGTCTGAGTGGAGTTACAAAGGTTTGTCGCATGCTGCAAATGCATTCTCTCTTCTCTCGTCCCGACGAAAAGCGCTGGAAGCTAAGCAGGGAGGGATAGCAGGGCCACAGAAAAACATCATGCGCGCTTCGCGACCTGGAGCACTTTTTTCTTTTTTTTTTTTTCTTCGAATGCGTGGCTTTTTTAGTGTGATCGCGCGTGCAGGCGTGGACAAGTAGTGGCCTCCCGCAGCGATCTCTGTAACCAGCGAGCGCGCTATGTCCAAATCAGCCAATGGCTGATAGATGGGCTTGCTACGTGTCATTTTCGGACATAATCCGTGATTTGTCAAGAGAAGAGAAAGCAATTTTCAGCTGACTTTGATAATATTGTGTATTCCAGGACGCGTGCTGTGCTATAATATTTGACTGGCGTGTTGTCGGGAGCCTCTACTACCGACCGGCAGCGTTTTCTGACCATGCTAAAACAGTGTTGCAGGGCCCCTTTAATGCACTGTTTAAACAAAAACGAGGTATGAAACATAATCACAGGTACAGATATGAGTGCGAACTAACAATGTGCCCTAGTTGCTACTTTGCTTTGTTTGAAAAGCACACTCTTTTCGCCAACGACGCCTGTCCTCCTAGCGAAGTGATCTTCGTGTGCCTGGCGGCTTTTTTTTTTCGTCAATGCTGATGTTTTCCAGCCAAAACACATAGCGAATTTCATCACACTGCCCTTTATTAAATTCTTCATTTTACAAGAAAAAATGGGCGAATGGTCGCATCATGACGTGCATCATGACGGTCGCATCATGAGGAGCAAGCGACAGGCTGCCCGTGTGTCACTACTGTATTGCAGTGAAGATGACTTGTTTTTCGCAAACGCGAATATCAGTTGGTGATGATTTTTTCTTTTTTTTTTGGTGACAGCAGTTAGGCCCGGAACTGCCCCTTGTTTGCGGCAAAACTGTCACCAGATTTTGCTAGAAAACATGACCCTTAAAGCCACAAACTAGCCAGCACAGCAAATGACCAGCCGTAATTAATTTGAATAATTTAAAGTTCCTTGTATTCCACATTTTGTATGTTCTATTAATTCGAAAACCTGCCCGATTCGAAGATTTTTTACGGTCCCAGTGACATTGAATTAACCAGGTTTTACTATACATGTGCTTTTAGGGTGCAACAGCGGGGAGTAAAAAAACTTTGTTATATCAAGGAATTCATTATATTGAAGTTCGTTATAAGCAGGTTTAACTGCATAGTCTATGGCAAAGGTGGATTTTAGAATCGAAGCAGCAATAGTTTCAGCTCAAGGAGATGCATCAGTGCTGATAAGATGCCTTGAATCAGGGTCAACTCAATGCTTCAGCCGGTATCAAAATAAAGCAGATATTGAAATTTCTGGAGCCCAATCAATGAGAACATATTGTATGACAATGTACATGACACTTTTCTCAGGTGAATATATATACATCGCGTTGCATCGCTCCGACGAAACAGCTTAAAGAACACCTGGGCGTCTCGCACCCATGCATTCAATTACACCTGCACACACACACACACCTGATTATGAAGGAGCCTCTGTCCTCAAGCAGCTGCAGATCAGACTGGAACAGGTCCAGCAGTGACAGCATAAACTTTCCGAAGTAACAATTGGGTGCTGCGATTGCATCCCCGGCAGGCACACTGCCATCGCTGTTTATGGCCTGCTTCAAGGCACCGCTGCCTCCGGGTGCACTTGACGACGAGATCTCAGCGAGCACCTCGAGGTCTAACAGGACCACCTGCACAGAATCCAAAGAAGGCAATGCTGCGCGACACTCACTAAAAAACTCAGGGTTCCTTATGCATCCGCCTATGAAAACTCAAAGGTAAAAGCTAATATTGAAATACAACGGTGCAGCTGACGCTTTATTCAAGCAACAGCAAGATGGCCCCGATGATGAAGAGGAACGGGGCGAAGACTGATGATGGTTATTGATAGATGAGGAAGATGACGTACAATGAATTCTCACACTAATTTCCCCCGTCGACGGAAGCGGCCAGCCTGGCCGCGAATTACGCTGTGGAACGCATACAATAGGGCTTGAGGCGCGAAACGTGCACAATCTCTGTCCCGCGGCAGCGTTGGTCAGTGGGGACATGAACAGGTGTGACATGGTAGTTCACCGGTGAGGTCTGTTCGATAACTTTGTAAGGGCCAAGATAGCATGACTCAAACTTTTCGCATAAGCCAGGCGTTCGCGCAGGAGTCCACAGAAGTACATTGTCGCCAGGGCGGTAGAGAACGACGCGGTGAGTGGCACCGTAACCATGTTTGCGATCTTCCTGGCTAGCTTCGGTGTTTACACGGGCAAGACGACGGCATCGAGCAACGCGGGACAGAAACTGGTCGCAAACGAATGGTGAAGAGTTGACGGGGCCAGAAAAGAATGAAACGTCGAGTGGTGATGTCGGTTGGCGTCCGTATACTAGGAAAAATGGAGAATAGCCTGTGGTTCGTTGAACTGACGTATTATATGCATACGTGACAAAGGGAAGTATGGCATCCCAATTGCGATGGTCCGGTCGGATATACATGGACAGCATGTCACACAGCGTGCGATGAAATCTTTCCGTTAAGCCATTGGTTTGCGGGTGATAGCTAGATGTTGTTTTATGAACTGTTTTGGATGCTTGAAGAACTTCACTGAGCGTGCTTGAAAGAAATGCCTTTCCCCGGTCGCTCAAAAGGACACGAGGGGCTCCATGACGTAGATAAATAGCATTCAAGAAGAAAGTTGCTATTTCCGTAGCACTTCCTGCTCACAATATCTTCATTTTCTTCTCAGTTAGTGTAGTATTGATCTTCCCCCTGCCACCTCCGAAAGCTTTCCGTACGTAACGTCGTTTTGCAATGCCTCCATGATCAGCCTTGTGACCAAGTGACGGTGTAATGCGATGAAGCCATCAAGTGACGTCACCGCATGCGACATCCCTCAATTTCACGATCTGTGACATCATCATGAGGTCATATGGCCATGTCATCACATAATAATTTCATTGCGATAGCCAATATATAAACATATCTGCTGGATTTTGCCGCTGGCGTTTATGTCACTGTCATTCAAACGCAAGAAAAAAATAATCCAGAAAAAGACTCCGGCACGCGGAATCGAACATCAACTTCTAGCTTGTGAGAACAGAAAATCGAAAATTATAAAAATAATACCGATTTTTCGACCCGCATCTTCCCTTAATATGGGTGATTGACTTGATAATCCTAATTATCACCGGCCTGTATCACAGTTGCAGGAAGGTCTTTCCTTATAATGTCCAGTTTATCCTGCCTTTTGCGTGCCTATGCCAATTTGTTCCTGCAAACTCCGTAATTTTGAGACTCCGTTTAACCTTCTCCCATCTCCTGACTACGTTCTCCCACTTCTTAGTATCCATCTCACTGCTCTAACTAAATCGTACGTTCCTTGCACTGGTGACCTGCCTAGGTCCACTTTTTCTTTTTTACCTTAGTTTGATGCACAAAAAACAGGGTTTTAAATGGAGACCAGTTGGTATGACATCACCTTGTTTTTTCAGGCTCTACTTCAAACATTAAGAAAGACAAAAAAGCACTTTGCCCATTTTACTGTTTCATCTATTGCATTTTAAGGTACGATGCATAGGAATGGGATAATGTAAGCAAACTCGAACAGCGAAAGTTGATCACTTAGACTGACACAGTCGCATCCACAGAAGACTTCATTATATAAAAAAACACATCTATCTATGCGCAAGCAATGACCCATTTTTTGGACATTCCCGATAACAGGAGTGCTAAATGCCGATGTGCAAAACAAACAAGATTTTTTGTTCGCACCAAAGTTGCATACCATCAGCCAAGTCTGGCTGCTTGAGATCTCGAAGAATAAAGCATACATCAAAGCTCAAGTGAATAAATGGCCAGTTCCTATATGAACATGACGCAAAATTAGTCAGTGAATACATTTTGTGCTGGCACATTCTGATGCAATTTTCCAGTTGGCACAAAGTATGAAACCAAACTGGAGGGGCCTTACCTCATCCGATGGATCCGAAAGTGTCTGTAGCAGCTTTGGAAATATCTCCTCCACATGGAGAAAAATCTAAAATGGAAAGTTTGGAGCATAGTGTCAAGTCAACCAAGTTGCAAGTTTTTTGGTATAGAAAAGATGCATCATTTATACTTCTTTTTGTCGAGTAATCAACCTAATGTTAATGCATGCATAACCAAAATATATGAGAGCTTCACATATTCTAATGAATATTACAGTATTTGAACTTGCTTTAGAGCTAAATAAAATTATTGCAAATTTCAAAATGTTCGAAATTAACAATGAACATATAAGTGACTGCCTTTAATCCGCTCGAAAAGATGGTTTCAATGCAGTTTGACGCTGCTATGCGGTGAAACCACCTACTCAGAGGAAACACACACTGCCGTAAAGCCACACTTTTGAGGTTAAATGAATGCATTACCAGCACCCTGATTAATAATATATTTTAAGATTAAAGGAGCCCTGATACACTTTTTCTAGTAACCCCGAAATGAATTTACTAAAAGAGCTTATTGCCCCACGAATTCATCGCTGCAAAAATTTTAAGAATGCGTCCACTATAGGCGGAGTTGAAAAGATTTTTCACACACTGTAACCTCATTTTCTCGTCCCGGCGAAAGTGCTGGAGGCTAAGCAGGGAAGGATAGCAGGGGCAAAGAAAACATGTCATGCATGACTCGTGACTTTGAGCAGTTTTTGCTCTTTTTTTTCTTTGAATACAAGGCTTTTTCGTGTGACCACGCGTGCTTGCATGGATAGGTCACAGCCTTCCGGGACGATCCCTGTAATGACTGAGCACTCAATGTTCGATGCGGTTCAACGCGCTCGTGTTATGGGAGCATTGAATGTGAGGGTGTCATTTGATGCACTCGCATCATGGTACGGACAATTTTGTGGATCGGCATGCAAAGGCCTGTCAGTCTGTCGCGCCGATTGTTCCCTTCTTTTTCTGCGTCTACCCTGCAATGTACAGTTCATGGATTTCAGGAGTTTAGCGCAGTCAAGGTTTCACCATTCGTCCGTCCTACTTTTACTCTTCCTGTGTGATGGGCTACAATATTCATATATGCGACCAAATTCAAACTCCCTGTTATAAAGTTCAACCAAGAAAACGAGAACCGTGCCACTGCCAAGCATTTCAGTGTGAAGTTCTTCAACATGAGTCGATCAGCACGGGAGAAAGTTGAAGAACGCGCACTTGCTAATACACAAGTTTGTTGCTGTTGGAGAAGGCCTTCGGAACTATGTGTGAAAGGTGAGGTTCTCCAGTACAACCACGTTAGAGAACCCGGTTTATCTCAGCAATGTCGAGGAGAGGTTCAAGAAAACAGGGCATTTGGACACACTTGACGGCACGATGTGCTTTGGAATGGCAATGACAGCAGCCGCGACAAAGATTCCCAATTGGACCTCTCTAGTGATTCTGACATCACCGCACGTTACCAGATCTGATGGTTAAAATACATGCTAATTCTTTTAAATAAATTAGTACAGTTCATTGGTGCTCCAATTTATTTTCTTTTACAATTTACATAACGGACACATTAGGACTTTATAGTATTGCTCATTATTTTAGATGCGTTCACGAAATCTTAGAGTAATTTTCACACCCTTTTTAGGAGCTCAAAAATCAATAAAGAAGTGTGCAAGCTATGCGGGCAAACACGGTATGTTGTATGGAATATACACATTGTATGCAACATGTATGTTGAACACAATATAGTATATCATTTTGCATGTCTCTGTGTCTTTGTACTTCTGCATTGATGACTCACTATGATGCCCAGTAACATGTGCCACACACCTTGTTCGGTATTTTGGTGAAGAGGTGCAGGAACCAGCGCAGCACCGCAATGCGCGTCTGCATAGAGACGTGCATCAGCTGCCGCGTCAACACGTTCACCAACGGCGTCAGCTCCAGTTCGGTTGCGACGGGCACGGCTATTGCGTTCACGCCTTCCGGCTGGAGCTCGCCTGCGATCCTCTGCTGCACACCAAGGCCCAGCCCTCTCGTCGCGGGTGAATCGCTGCCGCTTACCGCAGGGCCCCGAGACAAAGGTTGGTCGTCCTCCTCGGTGACCAGATGCATCAGCCGCATGTTTACTGCCTTGGCCGTTTCGCGGATAGCTGCGCGAAATCATTAAAGGCACCATGGCAACCGATTTTCAAAAGATCACGATCTGCACTAGGCGAGTTAATCCACATTCACAAATAAGCTAGTGAAATCCTAGCTAACTTGATCGAGCCCTTAATTTATAATTGAATATTTCTGCACTCAGAACTCATTATAACAACGTTGAATCTTACACAAAAATAAGTTCATAATGTCCAAAAATTTGTTTTAAAAGTAAATTTAAAGATTGCTCTTCATTTACTTTAAGAGTACTGAACGCTGGGCGAGTTGGTAAATCATGACTACAAAACTGCGCGAAAAATCGACAAGAAACGGAGAGTCATTTACTTGCTCATTGTAGTCATTTACTTTGCTCTAAATGAAATTTTGTTATATCCAGGTTTTTTATATGAAGGTTTGAGTCTATAAACATGTCTATGGCTTGATATTTGGGCAACACTGGCACACTTGCAAACCATAAACAAGCAGTGGACTGTGTGAGCATCTGCAAGCTGGTAAATATTTCGTTCGGTGTTCAGCTGCTAGTGCGATTGACGTATTTCAATTTTATTTGGCTTGGCAGTGAAATCCAATGATTCACAGCAACTAAAAAGGTCGTAAAAATTGACAACTGCACTCTATAGAGCACATGATGTCACACATGCAATAGCAAAATGGCGGCTGCTGGTCATTGCTGGCGTTTATGGCTGGCAACTTGTAGGGTTTATTTCGCACTGAAACATTCTTTTAAGTTTTATTTATTTCGTAGATTTATAGGCATAATAGACCCACTACTTCAATTTTTTGCTGAAAACTGCAAACGTTTTTGGGTGACCGTGCCACAACTTCTTTAATGTTTTATCTCAGATATGCTAGTGAGAATAATTATTCCTCTTCTATGGATAGACTATGCTTTTCAGAAAAGCAGCACCCCAGATAAATATTGGAACCATTATGCTACAGAAAAATGTTTTTGAAGCTGTTTAAGAAAAATAAAAAAAAGAACTCCCTCATAAGCACTAAATTTCAAATTCGGGCAGTATAAAAGAGGCAGTCAAAGAAATAGCACAAATTTAAAGACAGGGCCACGCAACGCAAGAAAGACAACACGAACACTAAAGTTAAGTAGAATGTGCCAGCCGCTTTACTGAACAACAAAAGCATTTTTTTTAAAGAGAACAAAAGTATGTACAAATTATTCAACACCAGTAGAATCATACTTAAGCATCAGTGCACAAGGTCCGGCAAAAGTGTTCCGGTTTTGTATAAGAAGAGCATTGACTCAAGGTTGAAAAATAAAGGCAGGAGACTCATCAGCAAGTATATGGCTGACCAAGTAAGAAGCATAGTAAGAAGAAGACTAAAGCGAAAAAGACCCATATGGCTCTGTGTGCATTCACTTATGATGACTGGAAGGCTTATTAAGCCATTTTCTTTTTCTTCTCCTCCATCGATTGTCTCTGAAGTCGGAGCCATCGCAAGCTTTCAGCACCTTCTGTACATCTGAGATTTGCCCATCCATGACCGTGTGATGATGGCATCAAACATTTCGGTGATACGTCATGCCACAATCACACCATGAGGCGGCGTTCTTGTATCGTGGTGATTTTTTACGCCTCAGTTGCGTTGATGCCAATCATCCCATTTCGTGCATGACGAGGCAGGCATCTAAGGCTTTTGCCTTGATAACTGGAGCCAACCATGGTCACAAAAATTCAAAAGTGCATTTTCACAATGAACTCAGGGAAGCGACAGAAAAGAAGAAAAACATCCACTACAAAAAAAAAAAACCATAGGCTTAGCACAAAGATGTGTGACATATTAGATACCGTATTTACACGATTGTAAGACGACTCGAATGTAAGACGACCCCCCCAAAATCGCATCTCAAAAAAAAAAAAAAAAAAAAAAAACCTACGCGAGCTACGCGACCAACAACGATCGATCGCGTAGGTCAGTCACGTAGGCCGCAAGCTTCGCCTCTAGTTCCGGAAAGCGGCCAGACTTCGGCCCGCGAAAGCCACGGCGCTTGGAGTCGCACGAGAAAATTTCCTCCCGCTGAAGCTGCCACTTCCGCACCACACATTCACCGATTCCGAACTTTCGTCCTCATGTCACGGCACTCATGTCAGACAGAAGTGACTCGAGAGAGCCGGTCGTGGACACAAGCGACAGGAGCACGCGGCGACGCGCCCGCTTAGAAAATTGTATCACAAAGAGGAGCTCTTCCGTCAACTACCAATACCCCCCTACGGCGGCTCTTCCATCGATTACCGGTGCTCCCTTAAGAGCCGTGCGCCCGTCATAAAGGCACTCGTAATGCGCGCAGTAGATGCTAAAAAAAGAAAAGCTTTTGTATAAGCACGCGGAAAACTATGCGCTTTGGGTTGAGCGGGAAACTATTCGAGATGACAATACATGGTTCGATTTCGATTCTAAAACGACCCCCCAACATTGGATTGTCAAATTTGAAAAAAAGGGTCGTCTTACAATCGTGTAAATACGGTATATTTTGTCTTTGTCTAGTGCAAGTGGCATTTGAATTAAGAGCCCTCCAATTCAGAACTCTCAAGGAATGTAACCTTCGGATGAGTCATGCGGATCTTTCACATTCAGGATGAAACTCAGTTCAGGATGAAACTCAAGACAACTGTAAAGGGGAAAGGAATATTGACTTCTTCATGCGCACATGAAGTGGCTCAATAACTTCCTTCCGGAAGCTCTGGAAATGGAACTATGCAGCGGCAAAAGTGCAAGAACAATAGTTGAGGCTACTTGAAAAAGTGGCAGTAGACACAACGAAAGGGCTTTGGGCAAGCCCAGCTCAACCTGCGCTCGAGTACAGGCTACCATTGGTGAACTCCTTTCACCAGCACAGCCAATCCCACCACTCCTCTCCACTACGCCTGCTGCACTCCCATCTTAGCTTCTCCTTCGCTCTCCTCCACTCCACCCAGCTTCACCCATCTTCAAGACGTGCTACACTAGACCTTTTTCTCGGCGACATAGCTTCTTTATCCATGCTCTTCCCCTCTTCAAGCCTTACTCTCGCAGCTATTTTAGAAAGCATGGGCTACAGATCCTCAGGAAATCACCTTGGCTTTAAACAGCTGCGCTGCGCGAACTAAGAACGCCAAACATTCCAACTCACCAGCAGCATGGGCATGTGAGGGTGATTCTGGTCGCCGGGGGTCATCGTACGAGAGGGTGGGAAGGACGGCCTCCAGAATGCCTGCCGCGTGTGGCAGCAGCGTGCGCCCGGACAATGCCACGAATTCGCGCATCCAGCTGATGGCCGTGTACTGCACCAGCTCCTCTGCAACAATAGGTGGACAGGCGTTGACGACTAAAGAGCGAATGACTCACACTCATGTAGGTCTGAAACAACAAATTCATTGAGTAAATTCTTTCAGAAAAAAATGGCTGGCTTTCCTATAATCAGCGACCATGACAGAACTATTTTGTGCTTAAAACTGAACGTTAAGAGTGGTTCCCGTTTAGAACTAGAACGCACGGGACAAAGTGTGCGGACAAGAGTCTCCTTACCGGAGGAATGAGAGTGTACGATGAGGTTCCGGATCATCGCAGCAAAGTCCACACGGTCGGGGTGCTGCAGGATGTTGCGCAGGAATTCGCTCAACGTCGTCTCGCACCTGCGCAACACAGAGAGACATATTACAACGCTACCAACCAGTTGACAGGTAAAAATTTTGGCTATAGAAAAGCTACTCTGCTCAGGTGGGGCAACGAAAATGCACATGTGGGGGCGCCAAACGAGTTGGCTCAATAAGTCCTTAGGACAGGGCCACTGGCAACGTTGAAACACATACGAAACATTGCACGGCGTGTTATGAACTGTATCCGTTTTTGCGCCGCGTTTTGTTTTTCTGCAAAATTTACAGCCCAGAAAATCGAGTTTACGCGTATTGTCGAAGACAACAGATCAGGAGCTCTGACGAGAGCAGGCTGGTGTACCGAACGAGCAGTGACGCCTCCGGTTATAATGCTGAATGGCATCAACAGTGTGGTGTTCATGGGGGGGTGCTTTCGCAACAGTGCGCAGTCGAAAGGACACAAGCTTTGCACAGAAAGTTATGAGAAGCCAAATTACAGCCAAATGCCATCTACAAGCCAAACAAGCATCGTACGACCTTGTGCATGAATTGAGCATAAAAGAGCTTGCCTTAGTCTGTGCTGCCTGCAAGTTATTTTGTCGCTTTCAATTATAATTATTATCTGAGGATGCGTTCGACCAAGTGGCAGCTCATTTGAGCGATCATGGCGTCAATGACGCAATCTCCAGCTGTTGTGGCGAGTTAACCCGCAGGGGAGATGCCGTCTCGTGTCGCGCTTTTGTTTTCCATGTTTTGAACAGTGCCAAGAGCAAAAGACTCATGCATGTTCGGTAGCTAAAGTTTCCATAGCTCCTCAACTCACAGGTGGGAATCTATTTCGTGTTGCGCTTTTCATTGCAGTCTTACGAACAGTGTATGAGTAGTAAAAGCATGCAGATAACTCTTCGACCACCGGCAGTTCCAGCTCTCGTAGCATGTTAACGCACAGTTGAGAAGCCGTTTTGTTTGGCGATATTATTTGCTGTGCTTAAAGGGCCACTCACCAGGCCCCGCACCAAGTTTTAGTAAGACAGTGGAAGTCGTTGGGTGTTCGCATTTCGGCAAAAAAATTTTTTGAATCGGTTCATCACGAGCGGAGAAAATGGGTTTTTTGAAGCGGAGCGAAACGAGGATGAGATGAGGCAAGCTCGAAACCCTTGCCGCTCCTCAGCGTAGCCTTTGCAAGCCAAATCTCTCCCCCCTTCCTCTCAGGCATCTGACCAAGAGGTTACGTGCGTATGACGTGCCCAAACAAGTCCAACCCCCGAGCACGCGAGCGGCGTTGCTTTGTTGACCAGCGTTATTTTGTGGTCTTCTGCCTGTTTCCGCGGGATGGTTTGAAAACGCTGGCTTAGACGCAGTAGAATAGATGAGCACAATGAGTGCGCGAACCCGTGGGTGCATTCCACAATGGTCGTGTGCTCGATGCGCTGACCGCGGGGACACGAACGCATGCAAAACACCGACACATTAGCCCCGCATCTCGTTGCAATTCACGGAAGAAAAATGAAAAAAAGACACTCACATTCTCTTAATACATCTCATTATTTATCTACAGCTTTATTAACCTCTTCAAGCAACAAACTACATACACTACGCATGCCGTGTTAGATAATTTTCGCCATGTTACGTGCCACTATTTGCAACCTCAAAGCAGATTCGTCTACGTAGGTGACCACCGTCGCTGCATTGCCGTGTACGTAGGGCCATTTATACGCGCACGTCAAGCCCTCATTCTCTGGGCGCGCACCGGCAGAAGGGAGGGGGAGCAGCATTCACCTTGAAATTTTACCCATTTCTATGGCATGTAGCGTTGCAAATTTTCGCAGACTTGATCATGAACGCCTCGTCGATGCATTGCGCTTATCAGCTCAAAATTGTCAAACCTGGTGAGTGGCCCTTTGAGTGGTGAGTGACTGGAGGGGGGGGGGGGGGGACATTATTCACCAAATTAATCTTCATTTCACTTTCTTCGTAGCTGGCAGCGAAGCGCGAGGTGTGTGGGTGAAGCTGCACTTGCAAGGCCTGCGCGAGTGAAAACTGCAAACAAGTTGCAGCGGTCGTGCTTTGGATAAACAATGCCGTCTCGCCATTGTCAACAGACCAATCACAACCTTGGGGTCGGCCGTCGTCTAAACCTGAACCCCAGTAAAGGAGCCCGTTGATGAACTTTTTGGAGGTAGGCATAATGGGCATCCGTGCCGTGTGTTAATAAGATAATGTGTGCGCGAAAAGTAGCGAATCGCTTCACCTAAGCGATTTTTTTCAGTATTTTCTTCTTGTAAGGATGTCTAGAACTGTGTACGTAGCAATTTATTGAAATTAAATGCGCAATTCTCCGCGTGAGTTTACATACCTAAGCTGTAAGGTGCTTGCTAAGTAAAAGTTTTGTTGTATTTTACAGACCCAGTATTTTCACCGCTCTTTCTCGTACGGCCTTGTTGAGAATCATTATAAATTAATGTTTTGGTGGTACCCCCCTCCTGTGTGGCACTTTACACACATTAATACCATCGTTTTTTGCGTTTCTTTTTGGCGCCCTTCTATGCATTCGTCCATGGTAGCCATCACCATACTACTACCCGTACTAACCGTAGATGTAATCACACTCTAAATAATTGTGCGGCAAACACAGTGCGGCAAACACAAAGTAAGTGCGGATGCGTCACTTAGTGAAGTCGACAGCCGTGACCTCGCAACAAGCAAGCAGCAGAACGCACTCTCCTGCAACGATGATCGGACTGATGGCAAAGTAAGATGCAGCAACAAGATGGACACAGCCAATTGAAAGCCTCATAATGAGCTTTGAATTTTTGTACACTTGTTTCTGAACGTAGGATCTAGCTAAAGCAGTAAATTTTAAGGAGAAATCTTTTTTTCTCCTAAAGGAGAAAAGCTCTAATTTTTTTAAGAATATAGTTTAGAATGAGCTTAGGAATTCTCTGCAAGTTTTTCCTGTAATTTCACTTTGAAAAATTTGAAAATATTCTAAATTTATTCCCTTTGATTAGCACTTAAACTTAACTATTCAAATTCATTATACACTACAAAATTTTGCTATTTGTATGTAGCTAATGTAGCAGTAGATTAGAAGCAACGGTGTTATAAATATGTACTAACCCCCATATTTATAAATGCTCATTGACTTCAACTTGATTTGAAACCACCTTCAATGCAGCGCGTTTGAAATGCGTCTGTGCATTTCTACTGCCTTAGTACTGCCTAAAAACAGCGCGTTCAAAACAAGTTTGTGCTGCATTGAAGTTGGTGGTAAGTCAAGTTCAAGTCAAGCAACATTTCTGAATCCAGGGGTAAGTGTTTCAGCGTACCTGCCATTCTCTTACGAGTATGGTGAAGCGGACTTCGGCACTCAATTTACGACTGTCCTCTAGAAAACCTTCTATGCCTCTGTTCGTGGCAGCCAGGTGCACAGCCGTCCCTTTGTGGTCTGTTCGCATGTGTTTCAAAGACACGGGTTCCTTCTACAAAAATTAATGTTTTGTCTGTATACTGGGCTATGAAAATAAATTTCATAGCACAATATACAAGCCTTGATGGAGCACTTCTTATTGAAGCAATTCTCCAGCCAAGAAGGCAAAGCAGCAACAACCACGCAAGCGCTATTTTCAATTGTCATCTTCATCGCCTTGAAGGAGCGTTGCTTGTTGTTCCCCATGGCTTGTAACACTAGTACCGAATTTACTCACGTAATTCCCACACGTATAATTCTCGCACCCCTCACAATGCCCAACAAAAATATGATTTCTTCTTTCTTCGAGTAATTATCGCACCCTCGAAAACTGCCGCGATAATGTCATAACCGTACTGACAGAGACTTACATTTTCTTGAGTTCAACCGAGGGATCTTCAAGTATGTAGAAAAGGCCATCAAGGATTTCGGGCAGAAAGATGAGCATGTCAATGTCTGGCACCGAGTTCATCACAGACACCTGGAAGACAGCAAGAAATGCTCACACAAACACTGCTGTTGAAAAAACGGCCGACACTGGCATAAAAACATTTTGGAAAGACAAACTCTATATTTGCCGACAAAGCTTCCTTGAAATGAGGTCACATGAACCGGAAATTCAAAAAAAAAATTTATTCAGTTCCACGTGCCGCAACCTAGATTTGTCACGAGGTCGTGACGTGGACAAAAGGCAGCAGTCGGCATATTCAAGGTGGAAGTTTATTTGGCCGAACTTGTGGCTGGGAAACCGGAAGTCAGACTACTGTGAGAAATACACGCTGTACAATGATAGTGGCGAACAGAGCATCAGCCGTCAGCGAAAGTGATCATCGATGAAACGCGCAGTCTTTTATAAATCCCGCACCGAACTTTCCAGTTTTGTCACTGGCGGTGGCGCAGTTCCGAAATAAGCTCGACCGTTCGAGTGCTGCGCGCAATCTTAACAATGTGATCTATGCTACAGTAGTGAAGGTTCTCGGACACAGAGGCGCAGCCTGTGTCGAGCATTGCCGACAAAGTTAGCGGGTGTAAGCTGAATACGAAAAAAGCGAAACAAAAACTGAAAAAAAAAGCGAAACAAAAATGTGCATGGCAATATGATCGCAAGATACGTCAAAAGGGTGTGACGCAAAAGGAGTTAACTGAGTGCAACTATTACTGAAGAATAAATGAAATGCAATTCATAACATGTACATTACTATTTTTTCACATGTATGTGCTAAGAATTCTACTGCCAATCCTACCATGAAAGAATGAAAAAAGGAAATTTTCGAGGGCTCATGGCTTTGCATGACACAACCTAAATAAAACCAGCAGGTAATAAAACCAAGGGAGGCATCGGGAACGCTGATTGTACTGCTTCAAGTGCATTGTAATAACTGTGACATAGATGTCAAAAAAGAATGAGTGGAAGAAAACACAACTTGGCGCTGGCAGGGACAGAACTTGTGTGCTTTGGATTACGTTCCCAATTTTCTTACCAACTGAGCTACAGCAGTGATCATACTCTCGTCCCAATATAGGGTATTTCAATAATCGGTGTTAGTCAGCGCCACTCTCAGCCATGATGGCAAGTGTAGAACACTCTTTTTACCAGATGGGGTAACGTAACACGTCAACATTGAATGAGCGAACAGCTTGTTAATCCTTCCAGCGTTTTGCCGTGCACGTGCAGAATCGTCTAACAGGCACCAAATTGTTCTTGCCGCACATGTACGGCATTGCCTGCATGTTATAATGCATGCCTTTCTCAATCATTTACTCTCACTTGGCATGTGCTGCCTCACTTCGGGAATACGTAGAATTTTTTCGGTGCACCGATATCTCTCCGCTTTTTTTTCTTCCAAAGTGGTGCACTGGCTGTCGCTTGCACATCAGAGCATGCCAACAGTGCAGCTGCTTTAGGACGCACACCTTTTTAGATCATTTATCTGGCTTGGCATGTGCTGCCATGCTTTGAAAATACGCATTTGTTTTTTCTTGCGCCGATGTCTCTGTGCTGTTATTTTTTCAAAAGTGAAGCACTGGCTGTTGTTTGCGCATCCAAAGGCACACAGGCAGTCCAGCTGGTTTGTTTCGTCCTTTGGGTCGTTATCACTTCTTGTGCCAACTTTGTACAGCATTCCAATTCGTAGCTATCACATTGATCCTTTCACCCTTACAGCAAAACAGTGATTTTTTTTTTCCTTTGGACTTGGGTTTCCAACCTAGAATGTGGGTTGGTAAATGACAGTAACTATGGCTTGCTACAGGTGATCTTAATCAGAATGCGAACGCTGTCGACCCTGCAGTCACACTTGCTGTGTGCGAATTTCCGCGCAACGCCACGTATCAGGGAGCACTCACCCAAGAGACCACAAATGCTCGCGCAAAGTTGTTCTTTGTGTAGACCCGCTCACGCAGCAGCGGCATGAAGGCCACCAGGTCGAACGAAGCGCTCTCCGTTACGATGTCCTGCGTAGAAAAGACAGAAAGCTCGCTTCTTTGATAACATGCCAGCGACAAGAGTGTACAGATTTGTGCTCCACGCCTAGGATCATAGGCTAAATGTATAAAAGGATAAAACAGTGGCCAAGTGAAACAATAAACAATGTGAGAATGCTCACAAAAGCAGGAAAACAGGGGGCAGTATTTCCGGGCAATCACTTCGAGAGGCAGTCTCACCTTCGCGTGTTGCATACCGAGTTGGCTAACAGCAAGGTCATGATTTCGGCACAATATTGAGCGTGCTCTTGGGCGCACATTTCAACGTGCCCTCCATAGCCAATTTCTGTAATAATAACTAATAAATAACAGCGATAATAATTGTTAATGTATAGCACCTCAAAATCACGCCATGATTACGAGAGATGCTGTAGCGAGGAGCTCTGGAAATGGCGCCCACCTGGGGTTCTTTATGTGAACCTAAGTATACACGCACAGGCGTGAAGCATTTTTGCCTCCCCCCAAAATGTGACCGACCCTGCCGGTATTCCATACCAAAACCCACAGTTCAGCTGTCGAGCACCATGGCCCCTGGACCACCACAGCAGGTGCCGACTCTCGTGCACACATTGAAAGTCTGAAACTAGGTACAGAGAGCAAACCAAAGAGGCACCGAAAGGCATGCTGATTTGATTGCATATGCTTGTTCACATACGTAACCTAGTAGATAAATGCAGTTTAAAGCTTAAAGTCTAGATTCAAGCCCACAAGACTGCTCACGGGTACCATCAATAAGTTCTCTGATGCTCTTTTGGCAGGATGAGGCTACATAACTTTGATGCAAGTGATGTCAAAGATGCGGTCAAGCTTGATAAGTTCACATTCATATTGATAAGTTCAGAAAACATGCAACAAGCATACACTCGGGGCATCATGATTTCGATGGTTTGACGAAGCATTGTTTGGTCCGCAAGAAGAAAGAAGAGCAAACGAAATGAAAGAACATGTTTTAAACCTTTTCATTTTGGTCAGTGCTCTTTCAGTTTGTTTGCTCTTCATCGTGATTTCAAAGTATGCGACATGGTTTGGTGCTTCCCCTCACCTTGAGAAGACGGTCGAGAAGCTCCGATCCATTTCTCACGTTTTGGTCAGGATCGGCGGCCAGCTAGTGTGCGCAGAGAGAAACACACGGTATGTTGAGAATTACACTACCACCACCTGACGACTCACTGGAGTACCACTCATGCATATTATTTACTTGGAATTCGTTTATTTTACATCGCCGCACAAAGTGCACCAATGCAGAAAGACAAACATACAAGTGTCGCATACGTGGGCAGATATCAGTTTGATCAGTGTGTGCACTGAACAGCGTAGTTGCGTTGTAAGACGACACAAAACATGTTGCGAGGAAGGAAGTAAGAAATGATGAAATAATTGAGAGCAAGGAATAGTTTATATGCATAGAACAACAATAAAAATGAAGCTGCACATAGAGAGACAAACAGTTCTTGCATGATGAGACTAGTGTGATGCCAAAAAGTATACAACAGATCCAATAAATGAAGCTTGAAGGGACCAGAAAAATATGTTGCACTTAGAAATAGTTAGGTTTACTGGGGCAATAAACAGAGGTGCAGTGTACAAGTCCTAAACAAATCACACTTGTTCTATTCAGGCAGCCACTCTGTTTAACATATTTAAGTTTACTCAGAGTCTGTTGTATATATATCAAACATTAAGAAAGCAAATTTTTGAGATGATCTGACAAAGAACCCTTTGAGAACACTAGCTGTCACACGGCCACGTGTTTACCGGCAACACGCACCACACATTATCTTTGCAAAGAGACAAAGATTGTAGTAGATAATTTTAAGGCTTTGTGTTAATGCAGCTTAGAAGGAATTTCAGTCAGAGCACATGTGGTCTCCGAACATTGCTTTTGTGCGTACTATACACAAAAAAGATACACCGTCCATGCATCCAGCAGTGCAACTGTGCAGTCGAGCTAAGCGAAACCGCTGTGGTGTTGAAGTACAGGGACCAGTGCACCCGTGAAATCGCAGAAGCGTTTAAAATAATAAAAGTGTAAGAGAGATGCGTGGCCAGCCTTCAACTGTTCTCAGTGACCCTGAGGTTTGGTATCTACAGCACACGTGATTAGATGCTTGGTCGAGGTTAATAGGATTTCGTTTGTGCCTTCCTTTATAACTATATATGCCACGCTTTTTCCATTAGACACTTAGTTTTTAGCGCTTGTCTCATGTGCTTTCTTGTTGTTGTTTTTTTGCCCCCTTCCCTTTCTTGAAAACGTGCAGCCCCAAGCTGACGCTTGTGGCTGCACGTTGTCAGGTTTCCTAAACTGAGACATCACCATCGAACTCGATGGCAAGCAACTGCAAACAAAAGTTGGTCACATATGCAATGTGAGACTAAATTATTAAGGAGAATACATCCATCTTCCGAACATGTTTTATGTTTCTTGGATCAATGAGAAGCATGCGAAAGAAAGAACACATATGCCACAAGTTTGATGTCTGAATCCTTTTGACGCGGCGCTGGCATGAAAATTTATTAATCGTTTTCCAGTGTCAAATGAGAGGCCAAGCCCTGAAGAGCCTTAGAAAATGTACTACTAAGCAATAGCGCACCCTGAAAGAGTGGCGACAGTGTGTTTTTGAAAGCCAGTTTCGTTTCCTACTATACCCTGACACCGCAACTACTTATAAGCTTCTTATCACAGCTCGTGCAAGACATCATGATGTTTCAGCGGCAACTCAGCACCATGCCTCTAGTTGTTGACACACAAGCAGATATTTTGAACGTTTATGTGACACAGCAAGCGGCCATTCTGGAAGTACCGAGCCTGACGCCACAACTAGCCGGACTGCTATGTGAAGCCGCCACAATTCGTAATGTAGTCTGACATGTAAGCTAGATGCTGTCGGTAGGTGCACCATGCGACTTCAATATCAAAAAAGTATCCTTACCAGCACATGCTGGACTACACACTTGCTCACAGCCACCTCTGTATAAAGGCGATTTGTATGGCAGTGTAAACACACTACCAAAAAATAGGTTTCAGTACACCTTTAAGTGAAAAAAATGAAGGCACATTGACCTTAACTCCACACTTTTCACCCGCGCTTGGCGACACACCTTGCTCAGACAGTCAAAGATGTCATTAAAGCTGGGCAGGACGGCGCCACGTGCCACCTTGACCACATTGTAGAGTGCCTTCAGAGGCGTAATATCGAACACGGCTGTCCGAGTCGCTGAGGCAGGCCAGGATCGGCTTCACCAGGTCGTCCACGTACGGACCGGAGTCCTGTGAATACAGGCGATACTACCGACTAAGTGGATTGTCCCTTCCTGGGCACTCTAAATAATTTGTGCTTCTGTTTTGCTTAACGAGTTGTGTTAGTTCATTGCTTTATATTGTCGTCATTTTACATTACTTTTTACTCTAGAATGTTGTATGCACCATTCTTGATTGTAACCCCACTCTGCAACGATTCCACCAGGAGTTAGCCAGTATTGCCAAATAAATAAACAAATAAAATAAAAGTGGCAAACTGATGGAGCGGCACATTCTGTAACAGTTTTTATCGAGCTTTTTCCAACCAGAGCGTTCCGAAAACAGACAGTCCATCTACTGCGAAATCCCGAGCAAATGCCCTTTTTCCGTCTTTGGGTGATCGCAAACATGCCGCCTGTTCTGGTCTTTCAATATTTGCACTGTTTCCTTCATTGTCCTTATTCGCTTGATGAAGGTGAATGGAAAGAGTTAATGTATGCATACTCAGTAGAGAATTTAATTAGAAGCAAAGTTGTGCATTCTTTATTCTTAGCGGCTCTTCTATCTATATCTTAACTTTCAGTCCATGAGCGAGCAAGCCCCCCTTCCTCTAAGTCTTGGCTAGTTATCCTTCACCATAGGAGAAGGAAGGGGGGAGAATTGCTCAGCACTTTACAGCAGTGGACTGTAACTGAACGCCTCTCGAGATGCACTTCCCATGGTACGTGCCAACTGTTAAACAATTCACAAGTACTGGTTAAAAAAAAATTATATTCCCAACCAAGCGAAAAAAGAAATGTACATCAAAGTCCCTTGTACTGGTTCAAAAAATCATATTCACAATCAAGCAACATCACTCGATTGTGATATGTTTTAGTAATTCTAAAACTGTAACCATGAACTGCATTTTCATTGAAATTTGTACTTGGATTGTTCCCCCCCCTTATGTAATGCCCCGAGAGAGGCCCTTAAGGGTAAAATAAATGATGATGATATGAATTTTCAAATTCGTACGTGTGACTTTGATGAAATTTTTTTAGTTCACTTGATATTTCGTTGATACGCAATGATTTGTGTATTTCCTCAGTTTGCACATGTGGGAAGCTTACGATGGGTAGTTTTACAGTTAGTCCCGTTCTTGAGACAAAAGATTCAGCTGTGATTTCAGCGCTGTGTTTTATGTGCCTTTGTTTTCCTGTCCGTGTGTAGTTGCGCCGTCATTCCATTACGAAGTACAACCAACAAGCCCAAGTTTAAGCCTTGCTCTGCTCTAATTTATGATAAGTCAATCTGAGATAAAAGATGAGAGAGCATTTTTCTTTTTAATTTCTTACAATTTTGGCAACACAAGTGATGAAGTACCCGACATACACGATTCATTATATGGTGGATACATTTTGCTTTTTTGTTTGAAACAGTCACACTGCACAATGAAGGACCAAAATCATCATTGTAAGCCAACAAAGCACTAGTACGACCTTTTAAAATTCTCCTTACCAGAAGGAATACCGTGGAACCCCGATTATATGACTTTCAAGAGACCATGCAAAACCATCGCATAATCTGGTCGTCATTTCATGGAAAACTAAGATTATAGGCAGTGACACTCAGCCTTGCCCAAAAAACGAGCACGGACTGCCTGAATGAGCCCACAGAACAACCCTACGCCTCTGCAAGGAAGGTACATTAATGTATTCTTGCCAGTAGCAGCTAATGGCAACATTGAGTTGAAGGAGGTGCGAAGGAATCTTTATTCTCAACTTCAAAAAAAATTGAATCTGACGCACCTCTTTTTACCGATAAATGGACTCCAAAAATCGCCTGCGTGTGAAAATGAAACCAAAACCGCTAGCCAACAGCCTTTCGACACAGCGTCATCGCTATCACATAATGGCGACAGACCACAAGTTTGTGTGGAATGCCTTTGTGTGTGACTGAGCTGTGCGCATTGCAATTTTGCCTTGTGAGGTGCAACTAGTGGCGTCTCGCTCTTATTACGAACCTCAACATCAGATGAAAGTGTTTTTGCATGGTCAAAATAGCTGCCTCGCGCCAATATGCGTGCGCAAGCCTGTGACTAGGAGTGCGACAAAGGGGGGAGATCAGCTGTATGTCGACCAGAAAAAGTTTGCACGGACCAAAAATGTGAAAATATCAGCTTTTCAGCAAGCTGCATCTACTCTGTGTAGAGAGACCAAGACTATGTAGAGACTCCAATATGTACACACATGATGGAAGCATATATATAACTTCCAGGAGAATAAATTTACCATTCTAAAAAGACATCTTGTTTTACTCTTTACTTTTCTGGTCGTCGACCTAGGAGAACGCAAGTTCATATTATGCACTCAAGAATAATTGGTCGACATTTATTTTGAGTAAAGTTCATTTTTTCTTTCGAATGAAATCTGAAAGTCGCCGTGAGATGCGGGGTTGGCATAAAACTGTGTCATATAACAAAGGTTTGTAAAACATTACTTCTATTGGGATCTTGCTGGGACCAAACCGATTCGTCGTAAAATGTGGGTTGTTGCAAAACCGGGAAACATATAATCGAAGTCTACTGTACTGACACAGTCTTGAGATATCAGAAGAGATTTGTTGCTTGGTAAGTCTACAGCCTTAACACTTTTCACACACCATAGCCAGGAAACATGCAGAATAATATTAGTCTTATTTAGTAAAAGTTTTCCTCACCCAGCTAATGGCGAGCCTGTTCTGCCGCAGTGAACATTATCATGAGGAGCCAACAATATCGACAAATTCTGTCAGAATCACTGGATAACAGCTCATTCATCGCCGTTTTTGTGCACCAAACGTAACTGGGAGTTGCTGCCTCTTATTAAATAAAACCTGAAAATACCAAAAAAATATGCTCCATTTAAAAAGAGTTTCACTCACTGGGAGGTGAATACGGGAGCAAAATACAAGTACTAAACAAATCATATCAGAGAAGTTTTCCCAATTAAGCAGTGATTCGTTAAGCAGATTTCTGTTTACCAAGAGTCAACTGTACATGACAAGTTGCTGTCTTCGCACGACTTAGATCTACGTTAGTGTGTGTTGACATGTTGTAATGTCTGGTGCTGGGCCTGTTGGCACATAAAAAACTCGGGGGACCTAGCCTTGAAAGATACACACACAAGGAGAGAAATTTTGACTAACACACATACTGGGCTACCACTTTAGAGCCCCCTCCTCTGTAGCAAACCCTAATGTGTTCAAGAGAGTGGTAATTTATATATGTATTTAAAGTGTTCCGAGGTACTGAGATACTCTCTTCAGGGTTCTTGATGCCAGTATTTATATCTAGAACGCCAATACGAAAATTTGCAAACTTTATGTTGGCACTCCTTCAAGTTTACCAGTTTGATTGGTATCAAACTTGTAGCAGCCTGTAAATTAAAAGAAACTGCATTATTCTTTGAGATGCCACAATCTCGTTAGAGAACCATTAGGCTTGCTAAAGTTGGTACTGGTTTATACTGCTGCTCGTTCAAGACAGGCAAAGATGAGAAATAGCAGACACGGTGACAGGGATGTAAACACGGTTTCGACCGCTGCTCTAGTCTTATATACATTGTTGCAGAAGGTAATATGTGATTCACCATGAGCTGGTGGCATCAGTGCATCTTTCCTCTACTCTCGCCAGCACCTCTGCTTTCGAGCGAACGTTACCATGGGTCGACTCTTTCACTGGCACATCCAATCATGCTCCTGCTCCCTCCTCTTCTCCACACCATTTGCTGCACTCCCACCATAGCTTCACCTTCACTCTCTTCCTTTTTACCCAGTTTTACCCTCTCATTTGGGTTAACCTTTCCTTACCAGGCTCAACTCGCCACACTAGGCTTCCTTCTCAATCGCTTAGCTCCCTCTCATCGGGCTTCGCTCTGGCAGGTGGGCTAGAAAGTGCGAACAGATCCCCGAAGATTTACGTCGGCGCTAAACTGCTGCATTGCTAAAAAGCAGCTTTCGGTCTCATGTAACTGTTGCTGCAACTAATTACAACACATGAACAGAGACTACCTGAATTACAATGAGAAAAGGACACCACTGAACACTCCTAAAAAATTATGCACCATACTAATAATGCAATAGAAGTTCCACAGCAAAGTTGTGCAAGCAGAAAACACGTCTCAGCTGACCTTGCCAAGAGCGAGGGCAATGGCAGCGAGCCCAATGACGCCCCCCTTGCGGCTGTTGGCATTGTGCGACAGGGCGAAGTCCTGGCCGAGCAACTTGAGCAGCTTGCGGATCTGCATCACATTCTCCTTGCTCATGAAGTCCTTCACCATCCTGCACATGAATCATTCACACCTTTCAGTCGTAGGTCACCATTTACCCACAATAGACATACAAAATCTTTATAACTCCATTCAAAGGGACTGAAAGTTTAAGTGAAATACATTCCAGATGTTACAAGGAGTATTGTCAGTCCATTCTATACCAAACAATAGTTACAGATTGGCAAAAACTTTCTCTTTTAAATGACAAAAGTTTCTTATCGGCTACTGCTTTAGCATGTCCATTCTTTGCTCTGCAACACATATGCATGTGCCACAGTTCGTAAGCCACATGTTTTACAAGTTGAAATTGATGGCAGAAGGCGTACCATGGAGGAAATGGCTTCGTTTCACAAACTTCTACATTTTTCTTCAGTGTGAACTGAACCTGGTTGTGTATTTGGTCTAAGCTCGCTCGTGCTTGATGCCACGCTAGTTCAGTTTACAATATGCTTGGCTTTAGAGCACAGAATTTTTCCAAGAGAGTCAGGACAACTTGTCTCACATAGGCTACAATTTAAATAAAGGACTTCCATGTACACTGTTGTCCTTTATGAAAGGGAACACGCGAATGCGTGGCCTGCGCTCTGCGGTGGCTGTCTACAGCACCATGAACCAACAAGTGAAGAAAACACATTCGCTTTTGGCATCACCTATGGCCAAGGAAGAATAACTAGTCATGGCCGGTAGACAAGTTCTGCTAGATTACGTTCCCTCAGCGTTTGCGCGGCAAGCGATATCGAGCGATTAATGCAGCCTGCGCTGTGGTCGTGCACAACATTTGATATGTTGACAGATGACTCACTGCAGGCCTGAGCAGAGGGAGTGCAATCTAGCAGCGCTTGTCTACCGGCCATAACTCATTGTTTTTTTTTTTTTTTTTGCAACAGATGACGCTGAAAGCAAACGTGTTTTCTTTTGCTGTCGATTGATAGTGCTGTAGGCAGCTGCCGCGGAACGCAGACCACGCGTTCGCGTGTTCCCTTTCATAAAGGACGACAGTGTACCTCTAGACTGGCATCAACAAAAGCAAGCTCAGTGCACACAGATCTGTCACGTCGAAGAAAGTCAGGCAGTGGTAAAAAAGGGCAGCAGGACCAAAACCAGTAAACGAAAAACTCCATACAGAATGGCAATAAAGTGTGCCGTTAAGGATAAGCAGGGTAATATTGACAAGGTGCACACAATAATGAACGCGGTACGAGTATGAGTCTCCTACTCTAAATGGTGAATTTCAAACATGCATGAGCTTACAATGGGTGAAATCAAAGGCAAATATGTCAACAAAGTTTCATGATTAATTACTGAGGAAGATAGAAATGTCATGCAATTCATGTCTGGCAGAAATCGGACACATCTCCCAAGACATGTTTTTGAAATAATTCTACATACTCTACCACGTAAATTGTTTTTTCTGAGCCTTTTTCGTTACTTAGGTGCCCCTTTATGCAAAACAGCTCACATGCTCCGTTTTGCTTTTGGGGCACTTTTACATTCAATTCAAATACGAACTGGGGAGCCTACTCATTTAAAGCGCACCTGCCGAAAAATAAAGATGGGATGCTGCAAATACAGCAGGCATTCTCAACTTCTGGCAAGCTACTTACTATTGTCCATAAATCAGAAAGTGCGCACCTTTGAACTTTTGCCAGTTTCAACACATGGTGCCGAAACCTGGAGAATAAGAAAGGCCCTCGAGAAATTAGAGGATCACACAGTGTGCCACGGAAGGATAAAGGATTGGTTTAATACTAAGAGATAGGTAGACAGCAGACTAGATTAGACAGCAAGTAGGGGTAGTTGATATAAATGCAAAAAAAAAAAAAATAAAGCCGATATAATAGAAAAAAAAAAGAATGACTTTGGGCATGTTATACCACCAGGAGGACAGTTAGAATGATGGAATGGATACCGAGAGACAAGAAGTCCGGCCGAGGCCGGCAGAGTTTGGTGAGGCGACAAAATAAAAGAATGTAATCTACTCGCGTAGGATGTGTTGAGTTGGAGATCCGTCGAAAAGGCCTTCATTCTGCAGTGGACATGCAAGATAGGATAATGATCATGATGTACTTGGTGACTCGACATGCATGATACTAGCGGTGCATCAAGTGAAACGTATCCTGCTCGAGACCTATAGCTACGGAGCACCTTTATGGCGTGACAGCTACATGCATGTTAAACGCTGCTCAGCTCTGCAAACAACATAATTAACCTTTCATATCCATGTTTGGGACACATATTAGTTTTAAAAGACGCTACATTTTTAACGTCAACACGACAGTTCTTTAAGCATCGGGCTTACTCGCGACGAAGCATTGTGATTGTGAAGAGTGCTCCGCGGTTTGCAGCAAATAGCACTATGTCGAATGGCGCGCTCCACAGTGATGAACAGCCAGGGACCAACAGCGTGAGTACACGAGTTAATTTCGCGCTCAGATACACTTTTCATTCATAGTAAACGTTGATACTAAAACGTTACAATCAAATAAGCGGCAGCATTGCATGTCTCTACTTTTTCTTTCCCGCCTTGCACATCTTTGGAATCTATATCAATCCGTTGCCGCTGTCGCACACCACTTCTCAGGAACAGTACCAAACAAGAAACAAAAATGCTGATATATACTACACCACACTCGATCTTCGATAGCGACCATTACTTAAGAGCACTCGTACTACCACTCCGAACTCGCAGGCAGCAGTTATAGATCGACGATGTTTGTGCAATATGATCAATCCATACTTCGACTCCTAGATTTTAAAGGGGGAGGACAACAGAATTGCGACGCTGACGCTACAGCTGTGCGTTTCTAACTTTATGACGTGCAGTAACATCGCAAGACACCGCTGTCTAAAAGCAGATAAACGAGAACCGACGCGCCCACCCGAGCCTACGTGCGGCACCCACTGCCATATTTCTAGAGCGTTCGCGACTCACTTTTCAATCTCCAGTGCAGCTGTCTTGCGCTTCTCGTAAAGCTTGTCACTCAGGGCCCTCACGCAGGCCGCACTCAGCGGAGCAAAGTCCTTTTCTGTCAAGTTTGCCATCACGAATTGATCCCGGTGCTATGTTCACGCGCGTTCCACAGGAGCCATGACACCCGCGAGCCAATCCAAAAGCCGCAAAGCAGAATCGGATTCCTTTGGATGCAAGCAATAGAAGTCTTGGCAGTTTCGGAGGACAAAACCGTGAGTACATAGCTTGAGTGAAACATAATTAACATAATTGACAGCATAACTATAACCTACTTCAAAGTGATTTTCAGAGTCAATTTTTTATAGTGACGGATTCAATCGGGAAGCATGCATTCATAACTTTGGATGAGATCGTAGAGTACTGATCGCTCAGCTAGCGCGTGATTTGAAGTGATTGTGGTGGTTATGCAGAAAGAAGAACGGAATAAAATGTGTCATTTGTTCTTTTACTCTACCTTTTCGCAAATAAACGAACACAGCGCATCCTACAGTACTGACGAAATTTTCCACTAAATATGCACGACGAACACGCCACACCAGAAGGCCATCAGCTCGAACCCAGAATTCAGGAACTTACAAAGCTTTCTCCTGCAGACCCAGCGCGCTCCGCTGAGGGTGAAGAGTCTCGTATCTTCGCCCCTTCAGCATCAGTCCTACCTGGATTCACGTTACACTCACTTCTACTCGCACGTATTCCAAACATCAATTTAATGTTTATTGATCTGACACGCGAATGATGTAGAAGAGATAGGGCGTACGTGCCACCTTGATTTCGGGGAGGGCCCCCTTGAAATAGTCATTTTTCATTCTCTATGCCATAAGGGTGAAATTATGGAGGGGGAGGGGTGGGGGGGGGGGATGACGGGCATAGGTTATCCGTTACGCCCCTGTCCAAATCACTGACTACATTTGCGAAGCTGTAAAATGACAAGCACTTGATAAAACATTTCGTCAGTGCAAGATGATCGTTTGATTCACATGATTGTCTCAGTACCCGAAGAGGCCTCGTGAGAAAATCACTGCCGTCTCGTATGTACAAGATTGTCGTTTTTTCTGTATATTAGGCTTGCATTAAACAACTATTTCATAGTTTACAATGCATTGAGAGCTCCAATAAATTCAGGGCATACAAAGCTTGAGCAAATGTTTCAGTAAAGCTGACTATGTAGGGCTAGTCATATCAGGTTCGGGGTCCACACGAATGCCCACAGATATGGAGCTGAACCATTGGCTTCACCATCAGCACTGCGCGCCGTATTTTTTTTTTTTTTATTTGAGATACCAGAATCAACCACATAGTTCAACCGCCTTTTCAGATGTCTTGGATGCAACGCTTTCTTTGATAAGTAGCATGGAGCATTGGGCGACAAGGTCGACATGGCACCCGGTGTCATCTGGTCACCCCGTGGTACGCAAACTTCACCGTTTATAATGCACACGTGTCTCTGTGAACATACGATGGCTCACGTACTGAGCAGGTTTCGTTCAAGGTCTTGGGCCTTTTTGGGATGTCGGTTGCCGATGGTAAAGGGCATCTGGTCTCCGGGTCTCATTCTATACTGATCAGGTCACAGTTGCGGAAGAAGCTGCATTTGTGTTAGCTCTTTAGGCAGCAAAGGTGCCTTGTGCTTTTACTCAGATTCAAGGTCGGCCGTACGGGCCTTCTCTGCAGGTTTTTTTTTTTTTTTTCACAGCAGGTGGCACGGCTAAGTCAAAGTGGTCGCAGACAGGCGAGATAGGCTAGTAGTCCTGGTTTCCAGTGCACGTCGAGGGCATTGATGTAGTTAATCCTAATGTCAGTGCTCACACCCTTGCACGTGAATACACGAACCGTGCGGCGAATGGGGAAGCGTCGGGAGGGGGGGGGGGGGGGCATTTATTTTAGAAAAGATCGTTTTACAACGTCCCATGACATTACGTCAAGCTACAATCTGGGTCGAAGGCGCTTTCCCCTTTCTAATGCCAGACTCAACAGAACCCAGGGAATCACATTTCGACTCCTACAGGTGGGTACATATCTTTGCCCGCGAACGTATTGTAGGATAGAGCTGTACTTTCATGAAGAGTGTCTTCGTTGTGGCCTCGAGAGTTGTTTGCTAGCTCGAATGCTCGGGCAGTGCCCTGCGGAGGCGGGGACTGATTTATGTCACGAGGAGCGGGGGCGGTGGAGCTTACACAGCCTGGGCTTAGGTCTACAACTACTGGCTGTCCGGAGCACCCGTCCATCGCATAGGGTCTTCACCTTCCTGTGCCTCCCTGCGTGGAGCCACCGACTGATGGAGGGGATCTTAGGATTTATTTAAACTAGCTCCTATGGTGTTGTAATAAATTTCTTTGTATGTATGTATGCGTAACAATTCAAGACAGGACGAAAAAGGCAACCTTGAAACACAGAAACAGAAAAGAAAAAAATCCACGCCTTCTCCACGAAGTGAATGCTGACAAGTGGAGCGAAGTTCCAATGCTTATCGGTAAAACTGTGAAACATTCGCCCACGCATCATGTAAATACGTGACACATACGTTGTTATAGGGTGATTTATATGCGTTCACATACACAATGTTTTTATGACATATCGATGCAATTATTTACAGAGTGTGCGTGTGTTGGATACACAATATTTTACTTTACGAACTACTAGGAGGGCTGGTTCCCAATGAGCTTAGGGACCTGTTTTCCTTTGGAGATCACAGCTTCGTGGTCAGTGAAGTACGTGGCCTCTGGGGCGTTCAGGATAAGTAGGTGCGTGGAGATGTTCACTGACTGAGTTCCCGGTGAAGAGAAAAGAAGTGCGTCAATAACGAGCGCTTTACATCGGCGTGGCCTTCTAGCAGCAACCTATCCAAAGCACACGCGCCGAGTGTGCAGCGCAGCCGGGGTATAGTGTACTAGAATATCATATTCTAGTACACTATAGCCGGGAAGTGCAGGTGTGTGCCACGCATGGATGAATGGATGGATGGATGGATAGATGGATGAATGGATGGATGGATGGATGGATGGACGGATGGATGGACGGATGGGCGGGTGGACGGATGGATGGATGGATGGATGGATGGATGGATGGATGGATGGATGGATGGATGGATGGATGGATGGATGGATGGATGGATGGATGGATGGATGGATGGATGGATGGATGGATGGATGGATGGATGGATGGATGGATGGATGGATGGACGGACGGGCGGACGGATAGATGGATAGATGGATGGATGGACGGATGGACGGACGGATGGATGGATGGATGGATGGATGGATTCAAAGTTTCTATCTACCCAGAAACGATAAAAACAGCTAGACATTGGTAAATTAACTGGAAGAGTATCAATTAAAACGTGGCATCAGTATAGCGTTGAGCCAAGGAATACAAATATTAAAAATTGATTTCCCAGCGAAAACTGAAGCCCGGCATTCTGCGTCACAATAAAGTATTCATCCGCAGACCATTGCCAGGTATGAAACTGCTTTGAAGAAAGACCATGGAGATGCTCCAATTATGTTGGTGACACGTCAATTCTGGTTACAGTGCTGGCTATCTCATTCCACTTCAAGGTGTCAAAACTGCAGCCGTACTGTCGGCTTAACCTATGTTTAGGTTCCACTGTTGGATGCACTTTTATAACAGCCGAATATACATCACACGTACACCTATGACTCTACAAATTGTATTCAAGTGTTCTTCGTCCCCGGACCACTAACGAATGCTTCGTATGTCATTCTCAGCATGACACCGTAGCATGCGTTTCGTTTCACTAAAGCTGATGCCTGTGTATTTAACATGAGTGCTTACGTCGTGCACGTAACACCACAAGTTACATTATAATCATAATCGTTACTGACATGCCTGGTACGCACACGATATGCAGAAAACTACTCCGCTTACAAAAACACCTTGGTACATCTCTGGGCTCTGTGGCAAAAAAGCAACATAAAAAGCAACTCGCTGACTGCTTCGCATAAAAGAAATTTTCAACAATGCATAGAATCTTGCGAACGTTTTATTTAGTCACTTATTTATTTACTTTTTTATTTATTTATTTAGTATCATCGTCTGTTTCAACTTCTCCCCAACGAAAATGATTTGTCTCAAACAACCCGCAACGTGACATCGACATTGCATTATCTGCCAAACGAGTTTTTTAACGTTATCGCGCCGGGGTACTATGACCGTTCACTGCTAAGATACCCTCATTCAATTAAAATAAGAGCCGGTGTGTTAACAACAATCGTATAGACTGAAGTATGTTGCGTTCATTTGTGTCCACCTTTTTTTAAAATATCCTACATCTCATATTTTCATTTAACAAACTACTATAAGAAGGGTAGAGCGTCAGCCACAGATATGGGCACGGTTTCAGTACAGTTATTGAAGCACGAGGATGCCTTCTATACCTCAAAGTCTGAAAACTAAAAAGTGCCCATAAAGTTTCAGACTTTATGGGTACTTTTAAATTCTAAAAGCCATGCTTTTATAATTCTCTTGTTTGTGCTCGACTGCGAAAATTATTGCCTTCACTTTAGGGTATTTAGGTGTTATACTGCACGGCATGTAATACCGCACCCCAAGTGACGCGGATCGCATTACGCCCCACCAGTTTTCATGGTCGCACTGGCTGTTGTTGTGGCAGTGGATTTATAAAATGCTATAGAGAAGACCTTGATAATTTCATATAGTGACCGTGATTTGCGCATTGTTTGCTTTATGAGAGTCAATTTATCAAATAAATGAACAACAGCTATGACGACTCTCCTGTAAGCTGCTAAACCTTCGAGACACTCCGATGAAGATACAGAGGGCAGCTCTTAGCGACATGCTGCATGAGCAATCGGAGGCTTCGGAAGCGTTCAATACGAAGAGAATATCCAGACAAAGGACGTAGAGAAACGATGCGATTTACTTTAGTCCCAACTACAGAAGATATTTACGGAGTAACAAGATCTCACAAAGATATTTACGGAGTAACGAGATCTCATAAACTAGCGCGATGCACGATGCCTCTACTTTTCCTTCTATGTCTTTGATAGCCTCGTCACATAGCAGCGCTCTACAACAGAAACGTTCGCTTAGCCATATGCGAACTTCTTGGAAACGCAAGAAGAATTCCTTATTTATTTTTATG